TAAGGCCTTCTATATTAGTTAAAAGTTATAATAACCTTTAGATATAATAGTATTCTTATTAAGAACTTAGTCTTATTAAAATTATAGATATTATAATCCTATATCTTATACTTTATAATTATATTTTATATAAGTATAAACTAGCTTTATATAATTATAGAATATTTAGCTAAGGCCTTCTAATAGTTAATCTAATATTAAAATTATATTTTTAATTATAGTTATTATTAAATAAAGTATTTTACTTATTAAGGTCTAATATATATTATATTATATTTATTTAACAGTTAGTTAGCTATATTTTATATATTGCTTTATTATAAAGGAAACCCTTAATTAATTAGGTTAATAACCTTCTTAAGAATTACCTTTTCCTTTACTTCTATTATCTTTATTAATTTTAGATATATCTTGTCTTATATAACATGTCTAGCGTATTAGTAATAAAGTAAACTTTAAGGGACCTTAAAGATAGTAGCTACCTTTTATATAGATATTTTTAGGTCTTTTTTATTAGCTTAGATAGTAAAGAAAATATAGCTTTTAATTAAAATAGATTTTATATTTATATATAGAGGAATATTAATATAAAGGTTAAAGAGGTAGAAAGTAGAAGAAAGTAGGCTACTTACTATAATAGGCTACTTACTATATATATATATTAAGTATATACTTACTAAAGGTATTCTTATTTATTCTTTAGTTATATATAAAGATAAAAGTATTTAATAATAGTAGTTTTCTTTAGATCTAAGGCTATATAATAAATAGTAATTTATATTAATAAAGAATAAATAAACTACTAATACTACTACTATTAAATAGCTAGAAAAAGTCTTTTTATTATAAACTAAGCTTTTTTAATCTAATTAAGCTAGACTACTTATTTTAGATAAGTATAAAAGCTATATAATAATAGACTTTATATAGTTATACTATACTAATAATATTTATTTATTATTTTTACTACTATATACCTTTTATATTCTTTAGCCTTTTAACTAAGTAGTCTTTAGTCTTATAAAGGTAGTCTATTAGAAAAAGCTTAAGTACCTTATATAGTAAAATAATTTAACTATTATTAGTAAAAAGAACTCTATATTAAATTATTAAAAGGCTTACTAGGCTAAGCTAACTACTAGTAATATTAAAAGTAACTAAAAATACACTAGGTTATAGCCTATTAGTATAATAAAGCCTTTAATAAGCTTTTATTTATTACTAGATAAGTTAGCCTTATTAATACTACTTAATAAAAGTAAAGATAGTACTTATAATAGTAAAAATATAAAGGATTAGCTATTTACTTTATTAGTAGTTAAGTAGTTAATACTTAAAAAAAAGGAGAAATCTAGATACCTAACTATATTTATTTACCTAGCTAGATTAAACTATTACTATATAACACTAGCTCTTTAGAAAGGTAAAAAAAGGCTTCTAAGAGTAAGCCTTTAAGTTAGCTACTACTAAGCACTAAATATAGCTTCTCTAGGCTAAAGTTAATAATAGTACTACTAGGAAAAAGAAGGCTATTACCCTAGATCTAAATATAAAGTTTATAATAATTAAAGATATATAGTAAGCCTAGATTAAGGCTAGTAAAGCTAAAAGTAAGCTAGATAAATCTAGTGTATTAGATTTACCTAGTAAGGCTAAAAGTTATATTATTATAGTATCTAGGAGCTATTAATAGTTAATTAAATAAGGTAGTAGTAGTTATAATAATAATGTTCTATAGTGTCCTATATATAGGGGTGTCCTATATGTAGGTGCTTTGACTTAGTGTTATTACAAGTTATAAATCTATAAGTAAATTTTATAGTAATATAACCTTAAAGATAAACATTATTAGCAGAGTAATATAAATAATTAAGACTTGACAGACGTAACACCGCGTTGTTCTGGCTATTTTCTTCTAAGTAACTTGCTATAGGTCCACGTTAGAAAGCTGCTATGCTATTAGTCAGAGCGTCTTACAAGCGCTAACTTAGTTCCTTGACAACTAATCACATCTGTTAACCTATCCAAAGGCGAAAACCTTGCCAAGGATAAGAGACATGTTAATAGGAGGTGCTTCTAGCTTCTACACAAAACGACGTATACCTAAATGTCACAAGACTTTGTTATAAGCCAATAATACAAAGCAAGATCTTGGCATTATAGCTGTGACAAGATTGTATAGAAGGCTGTTATCTATCAGCTCAGAATAGCTATACTAAGGGCCTATAACGTCGTTCAATAAGCGCTTATTTTAGGTCATTTATAGGCATTTTCTTTCACGTTTGCGCATAGGTCTTTACAAGAATATTATTATATTAATAGTCTTAAAATCACAGATAAGTTTATAATAATTAAATATTATAACTTCTTATACTAAAAACAACGCTATTAGTCAGAGAGCAGTAACTAACGTCTTATATAGAACCTATAGGTTACAACACCCCCCCCTAGACTAAGTAGAGATATTCAATCTAGTTAACAGCCCTAATCTAAGCAGAGCATTATACTTAGTTAAAGTTAGCAGGGAAAAGTAACAACCTTTAGCCTGCTAGCCTATAATAGGAATAAAACCCTAGGTATTAAGTTACTGCTAGACTAGGCTATATGTAGGAATTAAACCTATAAGGTCTATGACGCTTAGACGCTAGACTCTAGGGCTATACTATATAAGCATTGGAGTAAACTAGGCTTATAACTGTTATACTAAAAACAATGCTGTTAGTTGTAGAGCAGTAACTAACGCCTTACATAGGACCTATAGGTCACAATATAACTTTAATGCTAGCTAGATCACGGGTTACTAGTAATGTGGCAGTGGGGTTAACACTTCCCTCTAAGTACACTTAACTTCTAGAGCTATTAAACGCTACTGTGGCTGGCCGCCTTAGCATACATCCTGTGTTCTGACAGTAGTGCCTTGTTTATTGACACGCCCTTGGTCAGAAGACTTATTAACAACGCTACACCTAACACGCCGACGTATAGCCTGTAGACGCCTTGTGAGCCATAGACGTACATATCTAAGATTTTAGACCACAGCTCTGCGTCGCAGGAGGCGCTCAACATGGCTAAAACAGCATGCATAGCTCTATATATGCCTTTGAGGGCCAAACTATATCCCTCTAGCTTAAGCAGCATTACGTTCTGAAAGGTAGAGCCGCTAACACTAACTCTGAGAGCTATGCTAGATTGTTAGAGAAAAGTATACATAGCGGCGGCAATTGCTTCATTGCCTTTGTCGCAAAGGGCATTAGACGCTATGTTCTATGTGTTCAAGATAGAGCTATAGCCAAGACCTAGGAGGATAGGGTTAGCGCCTACACCTTTGTCAGCGTCTTGACATCCTAAAGCAGCATTAGGCTAAAAGCAATAGTAGCTAGAGCCTAGCTAACCTAGATTAGCCACTAATAATTATTTATAATTATAATAAGTTAGTCAGTAATAATAGATACTAGCACTAAGGTAAATATAACTAGGAAAAGTATAACACTAGTCTAGACTAGTGTAAACCCCTTAATATCTTCAAGGTAAAGGGGTATATAGTAAAACTACCTATATATCTATAGCTATTATTAGTATTCTCTACCTTGCGCTTAACGCTATATTACTTTTACTATAAGGCCTTAGAAAGTATTATAGATATATATTATAATAGAACTAGTAGTCTAGAAGAGTTACTACTATAAGAACAGCATTATTATATAGTATAACTTATATATTATATTTAGCGCTATGCCTACTGCGTATAACTTTTGACACCCTACTGTATATTTATGTCAACATAACATAAAGCGCTATATTAATCTTAACAATTATAGTACTGTGCAAAGGAGGGTGTAGACGTAGTTACTAAGTAATTAAAGCCTAACACCAGGTTAGAAGGAAATTACGCGTATAAATACTGTAGTAATACATGTGCTCCGCTATACAGTTGTGGCTAGCATTATTTCCTGGTTCTTCCTATCTGAGAATTGTTCACTGCAGCAGCTTGTAGACTTTTTGCGGATGTGTCGAAACACAAAAGCCCTGCTGTGTGGCGTCCGGCAAACACTCCAGAAAGCACCATTGAGCTCTTGGCATGACCCAACCCATGAGCTAGAACGCTTTAAAAGCCGTTTCCTGCTTGAGTGGCGAAGTAGAGCCACGCCATAAACTGTAGTAATACTAAGCTAACCCCTAGGAAGGACTTGTTAATTGAGATATCCAACTTTGACATCTTGCCGGCCCGATCAGATGCAACAACTTAGATACTGAATGAAAGAGGTAGACATTCCAGGACAGAAACAAAACAAAGGAGAAGAAAAAACACTAGCCAACATGGTCCTCGGCCCGTGTCCACATCATCTAAGGTCGACAGCCACACATTTCAGGGGCCGACGCGCTAGCGGATGCTCTCCAATAAAAGCCTGCCATTCAGTTAGGGGTGATGCTGCACACTACACATATACATTCCGCACATCGCCGTATTAATTGTTTTCCAAGCCAGAGAACTACGTAGTCTAGGAGCTAGAGATTAACGCTTATAAGTCTTTAGGTTATGTGTAGAATGGCTGCCTACTTATGTAATAGACAATATGTGTTTAAAACTATGGACTGCCGCGTTACTTCTATTGCCGTTTTCTATCCTTATAAGATTTAATTCAATCCCTTACTCTTCCTACTTCTCTTAAGATCTTCTATACGAATTCGTCTTAATAAGAAGCCATGATAACCTTGGCAACGGTCCTTGCTGCTTTCGGCTTGTTACATGTAGCAGTTGCTGTTACCGACCAATCTCAATACGCTCTCCCTGGAAACAGTTACTTCGGCTGTGCAACATTTGCAGGTTACAACAACGGCACACCTGCCTATCCTTATAGTAATGCGTCCAACTGCCCAAAGAAATGTCAAACAACATGCGTGGCTCTCACAGATCATGTGTACACCTACGCTATGCTGTACAACACTTATTGCATTTGTCTTACTTCCTTGATCTCTTATAGCTCAATTGATGAAACAAAATGCACGGTTTCTTGCCCTTCACAGGCTGGAGACCAGAATGGGTCCCTGTGCGGCAATTATATGCTCCAGGTCAATCTCTACTCTCTGAGGGTAATGACAACCAGTACCACAACCTCCTTTCCGACCTCAAGCCCAACGTCAAGCACAACGTCAAGCACAACGTCAAGCACAACTTCAAGCACAACTTCAAGCACAACCTCAAGCACAACTTCAAGCATAACCTCAAGCCCAACGTCAAGCCTAATGTCAAGCACGACTTCAAGCACAACCTCAAGCGATTCGAACACGACTTCAAGCACGACCTCAAGCACGATCTCAAGCACAACTTCAAGCACAACTTCAAGCACAACCTCAAGCACAACTTCAAGCATAACCTCAAGCCCAACGTCAAGCCTAATGTCAAGCACGACTTCAAGCACAACCTCAAGCGATTCGAACACGACTTCAAGCACGACCTCAAGCACGACCTCAAGCACGACCTCAAGCACGACCTCAAGCACGACCTCAAGCACGACCTCAAGCACGACCTCAAGCACGACCTCAAGCACGACCTCAAGCACGACCTCAAGCACGACCTCAAGCACGACCTCAAGCACAACCTCAAGCACAACCTCAAGCCCAACTTCAAGCCTGACGCCAAGCACAACCTCAAGCAATCCAAGTATAATCTCGAGCTCTATCGCGACTACAGACCCAAGCTCAAGCACCATGTCGAGCTCTACAACAAGCATAACCCAAAGCTCCACTTCAAGCTCTCTCACAACCACCAACTTGATCACTACCACAACCACTACATCTCAATCATCTACTACGTCGTCAGCAAGTCCTTTCGCATCTTCAAGCCGCACTACCGGTGCAGCAACGTCAGGACCGATTACCTTAGGGGCCTCTCCTAGCAGCTCAAGCATTACAGCCACCCTTACTTCTACAACATCAACAGCGCTGGCAAGCGCTACGAATAGAGCATCAATTGGAAGCTATGTCTTCCTTGGCTGCCTAGGGTCTCCTACTGGATATCCCTCCTTCACAGAGGTCGGTAGAGATGCAGTAATGACGCCTGAGAGATGTATCACCGTCGCACAAGGCAGGAGGTATATAGGAGTGTTCCTTGAGTACGTATATTATGTTATAAACATTACTGTTCTATATCCAAACTAACTCTGCTGCAGCACCTGTTATGCAGCTGACACTCTTGATTTCGTTACTCCTGTACAACTGGATAGTTGTAATCTACTTTGCCCTGGAGATGCTAGACAGCTTTGTGGTGGCGTTGTAACCGTCACGTCCCCCGTACCAAGAAACATCAGGCCGTGGATATCTAGGCGTGCGGCTCCCGCAAATATTTTGCTCACGATCTACGGAATACCGATTGGTTTACTAGGCACAACTGTCGTTGGACCTGGCACGACTGTTGTGATGCCGCCCGCAACAATCGTCGGTCCGGGTATCACCACCACCGAGCCTGGCGTGACCATTATTGGGCTGACGACGATTCTTCTCCCTAATGTACCAGGCGGCACAGTCGTCCCTAGTCGTCCCCTCACTATCATCGGTCCCAGTGGAGCTCTCATTCCCACCGCCGTGCCCATCTCTGGCAGTGCCATCACCTCTATGGTAACTACTGTAACCTACACCACCGTAGACTCAGCTAGGCCTACCGCCCTTGTCCTTGTTACGCTTTGCACCACGCTCTACTTCGAGAACTGCCATTGCCCAACCCAAGTCATTCCGACGGTTCCTATGACTACGTATGAGGCCAAGTGCGACAGGTGTGGCCACGGTGGAAAGAACACGGTCACCCTTACCGTTCCGATGAATCTCGATTTAGGCAGTCTATCGGGTGGCAACAGCCCGACAGGCAGCGGCCAAACCCCTAGTCAATCTGCCGGAGGAGCCCCTGGGTTCCCTTCTAGCAACAATGGCGGTGCCAATGGCCTGGATGTTGGGAAATCCCCTGGTGCACCCGGGTCCCAGGCAGGGCATAGCGGCGCCGGCGCCGCCGCTACGCCAGTCAATGGTTCACTGCCCGGTGGGCAGTCTGGTGGACAGTCTGGTGTGCCCACCGGTAACCCGGCTGGTAGTACTTCTGGCAGCCCTGCTGTTAGACCTCCCGGTGGTTCGGCTGGTGCATCTTCGCAGGCTATCCCTGGAGGACCCCTGAGCTCTAGTGCACCTAGCTCTAGTGGTCCTGGCTCTGGTGCTCCTGGCTCTGGTACTCCTGGCTCTGGTACTCCTGGCTCTGATGCTTCTGGCTCTGGTGCTCCTGGCTCTAGCGATCCTGGCTCTGGTACTCCTGGCTCTAGTACTCCTGGCTCTGGTGCTCCTGGCTCTGGTGATCCTGGCTCTGGTACTCCTGGCTCTGGTGCTCCTGGCTCTGGTACTCCTGACTCTGGTACTCCTGGCTCTGGTGCTCCTGGCTCTGGTACTCCTGGCTCTGGTACTCCTGGCTCTGATGCTTCTGGCTCTGGTGCTCCTGGCTCTAGCGATCCTGGCTCTGGTACTCCTGGCTCTAGTACTCCTGGCTCTGGTGCTCCTGGCTCCGGTGCCCCTGGCTCTGGTGCCCAGGGAGTGGGTCAGATTCCTGGAGCATCAGGCCTGGCGCTGGGACCTTTCGGTACTCAATCAGCGCCTTCTATGCCAAGCAAGGTTGCTGTAGCAGGCGTACAAGGAAGTCAATCGGGCTTAAAGATAGTATACATGTTAGCTCTTGTCGCTTATTTAGGTACAATAGTTCTGAGATTATAGTATAGAAGTTATAAGTATATTAATACATAGATATATATATCTCTAAATCATCTTTAACGTATATACATAGTGAGTGGCCTATCATAGCAGTAGTAGTAGTAGTAGGACCCCCCCACGGCCCTGACTCCGTTGGGCTAGGGCCAGGATCTCTCCCGAGGGGGCAGGGCAGGTTAAGGTAAAAAAGGGATGGGTCAAGCCAGTCAGGTGGGGTCATTTAGGTCCAGCCATCAGCGTTAGGGAGGGCGGGTCAAGGCATAAGACAAAGACAGAAAGAGAGAAAAAGAGAAAGAGGGAAAAAGAGAAAGAAAGAAAGAGAGAAAGAGAGAAAGCCTTAGGAGGCTTTTTTTTAACCTTACCTCAAGTAAGCGCCCTTGGGAGGCTGTAATCCTCACTTGCTTAGTCCCTATATATATATAGTTATATTCTATAAAGCAGTATACTTGGCTTGTAGGGTTAGATAGACTAAAACCTATAATTCTTATAATAAGCTATAGCCTATTAACCTAGATACCTACCTATAGCTAGTAGAGTAGATTAGCTAGTAAGGGCGTAAAATAGCTTCTTTTACAGTAGAAGCTACTATAAAATACTTAGTAGAGCCCTAGTTTACTTTTCTCTTTTTATTAAAGACCTTCTAATATTACAAAAAAGAAGTAGGGATATATAAAAAAGTAAGGTTAAAAGGTAAATATAGTAGTATGAAGGGATAGCTACCTAAGATATAAATAAGGATAAATAAATATAGAGAGATTTAGTAGTAATAGATAAGTTAGTATTATATATATTCTAACTATCTATCGTTAGTTATAATATTATAAGTAATTAGTTAATAATTAATACTAATAAAAAGCCTTATAAGGTAAAGCTTAATTTATTTAATTCTACTAACTTCTTACTAAGTTCTTAATAAACTCTAAAGTCATAATATAACTAAGGGTCTAATTAAAGACAGCAAGGAGGTTAAATAATAGCCTATACCTTAAATAAGAAGTACTTACTACCTATATAAGTATATTAAGTTAAACCTTAGCTAGGTAAAATATACTATAGTATCTCTATAGCCTTAACCTTAGATTTTTAAAGTTAATAAAATATATTTTATTATACTTTTATAATATATAACCTTAATCTTTACTTAGTTATTATTATATCTAAGTCTTAAATAGCTTATAGATACCTTATAAAAACCTTATAATAAAATAGGTAGTAGTAAGGTAGTTATCTAATATTTTCCCTCTTTTAGGTAATAGAAAAGTTATTCTTATTAAGGTATATATTAAAATAGTAAGGTTTCTTGTAGGTAAACTCTACTAATAAAAAAGGGGCCTTTTTGGCCTAGCGCTGTATTTATTTGGTTTCTGACTAATATTTCCCCTCACGTTATCAAAGTTGGCGCGTTATCCAACATTCCCACCGTTGCCAATCAGGCCCTAAGTAGATAAGCTAACACTAGTATTTGAATTACTGGACCGTGCGTTACTGACAAGTTTGCTATTTACATTCTACCAAGCCAATTCCTCCGTCTTTTTGTGCTGCATTGAAATGTCTGCTAGAGTGGCTGGTGATGGCACTTCCGTAAGAACACCTTCGGGAGAGCAAAGAGCATCATAAACGTCTTTTCTGTGCCGCCGAAAAGCCTCAGCGAGGCCTCTGTTCTCAACTAATTTCAGCTCGATGTCATCTAGCCGGAATGTGAACGCTCTGTCGCCCACCCTCACGCATCGTCCCTGCACGTCGATCTCTATCTCGGTGCCATGGTCCGCAAGCCGGTAGAAGTCTTCGTCGTTGATTATGAAGCCGATCAAGCCAATAGAGGGAATATTGCGCCCGAAAATGAAGGAAAAAGATCTCGCGATGACGCACTTGACGCCGATGCCTGGGTACGCAAGGTCAAACGTCAGTGACTTGAGCGATCGAAGACCGCACAAATATCGAAGCGCGTGATCAGAAGAGCGCGCGGCTAAGGCGGAGCAAGGGGTAGGATGTTTTTGCTTCGAGAAGAACTCACCCTTCAATGCTCGGGCAGCTTCCTCCCTCGAAGACCCGCACCCGAAGGCTTTTCCACCTACGACAACGGTGTATCCTTCGCGAACATGCTCGCGGAACTCAGGGCAGACGTATTCAAAACAGTGCGAGCCCAAAGCCTCATCGGTAGGGCTAGAGCAGAACGGCGCGGGGATGATCTGCGTGCCATAAGAGAGAACAGTCAGTCCATAGAAGCTCTTCCCGCCCTTACTGGCTGGTCACGAGCCATATGTATACTGACCGCGTCTGTGTCCACAAAATCACCCATCTTGAAGACCCGTCCTTGGAAAACATTCGTCTCGTCAAGTCGTACGCCTGTTGTTTTGGACGCAGGACCCTCCTGGGCCAACTGCACCACGCTCTGATGGACTGCCACCGCCGTCAACACAGGCTCAACATACTCAATGTCCCCATCTTGAACGTCGCCATGTGCATGTTTCGTTGGCGGTGCTATGCTGTTTCTGTTCCGCCAGGCTTTACAACGTTGTAAGAGATCATCGTATTTGGCCTCGTCGACATCTCGCAGTAGGTCTGTCGGATCTGACAAAGTCATGCTGAAGGAAGCAGCGGCTACAGTAGCAGCAGAGCAGATATGACCGACCGACCCTGTCATCAGTTAGCGGACTGTTTCCCAGCATGCGTCTGTGAGTGAATGGCTGCATATTGATGCAAGCAGTGTAGAGATCGTCGAGCAACAAGAAGAAATACATACCCTTACCCATTCGGTTCTTAAAGTTTCTGTTCTGCGAAGAAAGCCAATTCGATCCCTCCTCGGCGACATCAACCCCCACTAGAATGTTCTCAGTTAGCGGATATGTTTTGCTAACATTCAAGCAACTCTTATCCAGAGATGAGGGATTTGCGAAGTAGCTGAACGCAAGAGACACCTGACACCAGGCTTGATTACCGTACGGCGGGCCGGGAAGGCCAGTATTCTTCTGAGGGGCTCACTCACTTCCGAGGCACATGCTACAACCTGGTGCGGGTTGCTCGAACCCAGCCGATTCATAGATTTCCATGAGGCCGAGCATTCGCAAATTCCTAGCGATCGGCCGACTACCCGGAACCACGAGGCGTTTGCCAGGTGCCATCACCATGCCTCGCTTTAAGCCAGCCTCAAGGACCAGTGCAGCCAAGACAAGATCTTCCTCTGTAGTTGTGCAAGCACCGATGAAGCAGCCGTCAAACTTCATGCCCAATCGTCCGGTGACTGGGTAAACGTCATCCGGCGAGGGATATATGGCGATGCTGGGCTCGACATGACTCAGATCAATGTCGAACACGGCGGCGTACTTGGCGTCCTTGTCGGGGGCGAAATACACCGAGTTTGACTTGTAGAGCTTGGACTTTCGACCGTCCAAGAACGAGCGCGTAACCTTGTCTGGGACGAAGATACCGGTGATGGCGCCGAGCTCCGTGCACATGTTGCAGATGGCAAAACGAGCATCGCAAGAGAGATAGTCGGCACCCGGACCGCCAAACTCGACGACACGGTCGGCGGCAAAGGTATTTCGACGGAGTGTCCTTAGGATGGACAGGATGACGTCCTTGCCCTTGATGTGCCAGGCGGGCTTGCCGGTGAAGTTGACCCGGATTGACTCGGGCACCTTGAACCAGGTTTGGCCCGTTGCGAGACCGATCATGTTGTCGCCTGCTCCCAGCCCGATGGACAGAGCGCTCACGGCACCGCCGGAACAGGTGTGAGAGTCGGCACCTATGACCAGCATGCCGGGTTCCGCCCTCTCCCGTACAAACTCGGTGTGGAGGATCGTGTACTAGGCCGGCAGCATGTCAGACTCGGCACACGACGTGCGGGGAGGTCTCGCATCTCGAAACTTACGTTAGACCCCTGGTTCTCCGTCATCTTCAAATTCTGCTTGGCCGTCTCCATCTCTTTTCTAAGCATCTTGCTCTTCTCCTGATGATAGTTGCGGGGATCGACGGCATGGTCGCCGGTCAGCCAGAACCGGTCGTTCCTCCAGGCCTGCGGCTGTTGCCCGATGCTCCTCATGCTGTGAAGCATGCCCAGCCAAGCCACTTCGCTGGCGATGACCCAGTCCAGCGACACTGTAACGACATCCCCCGGCCTCACACCCTTTGCCGATGGCAGCGACAAGGCATGGTACGCCAGGATCTTTTCTGTCAAGGTCATCGGGTAGGCGTTGCTAGGGGTTCCCAGCCGTTTCCGCAGCGCCGGTCTTGCTTGCTGCGAAGCGGCTTCTCGCGAACTGACGGCCGACAGCCAGGCATCGACTAGGAACTCGACCTCTCGAAGCACGGGCTCGTCCGTGATGGATCCATCATTGGTCTCCGTTGGCGCGGAATCCGGACACTCCCAATTTACGCCATCTGCAACGATACCCAGACCTCCTAGCTCGGGGTCTGTTGCGCATAGCTGGGTAACGTGGGCGATAGCTTCTGCCTCTGCCACATGCTCTCTGCGTCGCAGTTCACTCTCCACAGAGCCAAGAAACTGACCGAGGTTGAAGAAGGAAGAATCAAGCCCGTCTGTGAAGTCGGGTAGACCAGATACGTAGTTAGTGATGCTTGTTCAGACAGAGAGGAATACGATGCGAGTCTTTCCCGCCACACACTGGAGCTTTTTCTTCCCCACATCTCATCTTAGATGCCGCTTCTCTCTAGTAACTCGGTTGCAAAGGACTTGTACTCACCTACGTAACAATGCGTCACGTCATTGAGATCGATGCCACGAATACGCTTCAGCGCACTAAGTGTGTTGGCCACGAACCTACTTGGGGGGTTTCGGTCGCCATGCCCCCGTATTGATCCAACAAAAGCCCCAACGACTGTTCTAGCTTCGGTGCAATGTTAGTCGAGCCGACTAGAGTGGCGGACTACAAGATGCCGGACACGAGCCGGCCACCACAAAGCCCATTCCGTGACCAGTCTAGACTAGATAGTTTTGGTCACAGCGTAGTCAAGTTTCACATGGGCTGGTGACATTGATGCCATCAGCCGTGGGGCACAGAGTTGTACACATTGTGGTGCTGTGGCATCTCCTTAGTTGTAGCTTTCTGACCAGGTAAGCCTGCAATGGATTTCCATGCGGAAAGTCTCATGTTTTATCATGCTTACTTATCTAACTGGCTCACGTCATCACCTACGAAAGCCTAGTGGCCCTGAAGTTTATTTAACGTAACCTTGGCTCCCGTATTTATCTTGTGAAACATGGCTGTTGTAGAGTTCTTGACTTTGTAGGCTAAAAGGCTAATAAATCTTAGCTCTTGTTGGAACCTTGTTTAGTTTAGTTTTAATCATTATATACTTTTTCAATAGTGTACTAGTCTAACGTTACGCCTCTTCATCCTTTAACTGTTAGCAACTCTAGTAATATAATATTTTAGTCTATATATTTAAGTCTATACAAGGTGTTATTATTGTACCTAATATACTATCTATTATTAGTATAGCTAATAAACTATTAGATATAGCTAGTACACTTACTATAGTAACTATAAGATACCTATATATAGTACTTAGCCTATGTCTAATTTTAATAATAAGTCTATAAACTATAGCTACCTCTAGTTAAGGTTTTATTATACTAATATTACCTTAACATTATAGTTTTCTTTATCTGGTAGCTAGTGATTTATTCTTTCTTTACTTACCTCTGTCTATGTTTAGTAAACTACGCTGATATATATACTATAAAGTCTATATAGAGAAAGACACTCTACCTTAATATATTCTACTACTATAATAATTGTAGTAAGTAAAATATTATATATCTTAACCTAGGTAGTGTATAGTAATATTATTTAGGACTATTTATAAATAAAGTAGCCATTATTAATGCTATATACTTTAAAAGTAGTTATACTTTATATACTAAGATATTTACTAGTATATAGTAATTCTACTATAAAAGATATACACTTAGTTATTATAGGTTAGCTATTAGCTATAAGGGAATACGTTATAATTTAGATACCTATACGCCTAGCGGGATTTACTCTTACCATACTATAAAGTTATTAGCTTATATAGTGTAAAGATTATTAAATCTAAGGTATACTATACACTTATCTATAGTGTACTAAATATTTCAACCCTCTATAATATATAGTAGTATAGAGGACAACAAAGAATACTAAGCCTAGCTCTCCCTAATACCTAACTACTCTTATATAAAGCCAAGATACTTAAACACATCAAGTAGCTATACTTAAATATTAACGTAAGCGTAAACAACCTGTTAGGTAAAAGCATAGCGCCATCTTTAAGACCTTTAGGTATATGTGGCTGTTCTATGCAAGTACTTGGCCTTCCATGTCATAGGTGATATTGCCTTTGGCATATCCCTAGACATAATCAAGAACAGCCAGTACAGCTTTATCCTAGCGTACATCAACCAGTCTAACGTGAGAATCGGTGCCTTGGTGCAAGCAGGCATCCTTTCAATAACCTTCCAGTCTGACTGTGAAATCTACACAGGAGACAAATCCAACTCGTGCATCTTCTTACGTGCTTGCATTAACAAGGCCCTCCGCATTCCCCTTCCCTGTGGGCAAGGTGCTTTGGCGCGAGGTTCTCCCCGTAGGCTTGATCTTTGACGTCGGGGTTCGGGGTACCTCCCAAACCAAAAACACTTTTGTGCCGCCTGGCTTCGAAGTCAGGACTGGAATCTACAGCCTGCGCCGTCATGACGACTACTTCAACTCACCCTCGAAATACAGCCCTGAGAGCTTAAGGTAGTTAGTAACTGACTAACTAACTGATGCACCATGTGTATGGCTATAGGTGTCTTTCAGGACCTTATTGAAATGTAATCAACATCTCAGAGTACACAAAAATTATAAACAGGGTTTCAAGCTCCCCTTAGCAACATCTGCGGTTGCCTGTGCGCAGTCTCCGCTGTAGGTCGAAGTCTATCATGTAGTACGTGTACTTCTCCCACAGGCGTGGGCAGGTGACGTGACGCGTGGAATGAGGGTTAAGACGGAGAAAAGCCAGGCCAACGCCATGTTAAAGGGACATCATAATGCATAGATTTGGTTCTCTGCGGCCTGTATACAAGCTAAGTCCACTGATCAACCACAACAGCCAGGCCTGGTTGCCGTTGTAATTGTCATTCTCGGACTTTCCGCCGCAGTTCACTGACTTCTTCAAGGTAGATGCACTCAGAAGGCATCATGCCGAAAGCCAAACAGCAGCAGCCACCGAGAGGCACATCGTTAGACTAGGCTGGGTGCTAACGCCTATATTTAGAATAGGGAGAATCTCCTTAGGGAACAAGGGTTATGGACAAGCAGATACCCTTTAAAGCAAGAGCTGTAAATAAGAGAACGACTTTGTGCACACCTTCTACTATCCAAGGCAATAGAGAGGTCACTTGGCATACTCTAGCAACAAAGAAACAATGACTACAGCAAATAGACTAGCGAGAAAACCCACAAGCAGCTGGTATATAACAATAGTAATCTCGTCAAGCAGACTACAGTTAACATCCACTAAATCACTAGCTAAGCTATCTACTAGTCTACGAACAGTCTGGTGCGTGGCGCTAAACCATTGTTAAGTAGCATGGCTTAGAAGACATCGAATATACTAAAGCCTTAAGATAAAACAATCTTAGTAGTTATGTTGAGGTTCCCAAACTACTATAGGCCCTATAACCAGAGATAGTAGTAGATAGAAACGATATCCCTCTACTAATTCAGATCTCTAAATAACTTAGACCCGATACTTGTTAAAATGTTAGCAAGTAACGTACTGACGCCCTGCTTTACAGGGGCTACAGCCGTTGTTATACGTCCTCCTACCTTGAAGCAACAGACTTTAGTAGGTCCAAGATTTCGCTAGTGACAATATTTCCCCACCGTGCCTGTTCTTCATCAAGTACATCGACACTGTTACTAATCTTCTTCACTATTGCTACGGTAGTAATCTAAACTACTGTTAATGAACATAGAGGTGGAAGGATCCGACATAGAGCTTGGTACATTTCCGTTCCATTCTACAATGACCTGAAAACTAAAATCTAGTTATAGGCGGTTGCACCTAGCTACATGTTGGTATAATTTGCTGACTTCCTTTAACCAATGCTGGATGTCATGAGCAGGTCAGGGCAACCAACTCTGGCACAAAGCAAAAGCTTCGGCAATGATGCACCTGCATCATTATCCCCTGTTCTGAACTATATAGTTACGCCGGCCAGCGCCCCAACTGGTTGGGCCGTAACACTGGACTAGTTCGCGGACACCTTTGATGCCAATTTTTATAGTAGCGGAGGAGAAAATGTTCTTTGTACAGCCTTGTGGGGGATCACTTACTAAACTTCTCGTCTGTTGCACCCATGGTAGTTTCGCCTACGCTGGTAATGATGCGTTAAGTCGACGCTCAAGTAAGTAGATAAGTCTATTCCAATAAAGATTCTGTCATAATGCCTGAAATTCATCATCTGTGCCAGCAAAATCTAGCCTAGACGGGGAATCAATCGCGGTTTTGCCAGAAAAGAGAAAGAGGTTTTAATCCTGTGCGGGATCGGAAGTATGGATGGTCGATTTAGGTGAGCCATTCCGAGGGCAAATCACTTGAAGATTCTTGGTTGCGTTTTGACGACCAGCTCAGCTCAACCATTCGGAGAGTCCGGTTACTAGAGAAGAAAGCCCCTGGCGTCGATGCTCCAACCTCGGTGGTGGCGATGGCATGGCTGGGATTTGACAAGGCGACTTTGATGACCGGAGATGTGTGCGTTACCTGCGCCAGAGAAAACAATATTGATAGATTTTACCTCAATCTAGTAGAAATCGATTGCCACTCTCTCTCTGTCATTTATCAGAATCGATGCTCTCCCTCTGCCAACATGCAGAGGAAGCCCCAGGATTCTAGGAAATCCGCGGCTGTGTACGAGTTTGAGTCAATAACACGGACCAGACGGAGAACAGAGGAGAGCCTGCGCCTCTGATCACCCCAAACTAGGACTAGGTTTTGAAGCACTCTGAAAGAGTGTGTGCTTATATAGATGCATGTATATTCCAATGGTCTAGACTTGGCCGGGACTTCTGTATTCACTACGCAGAGGTCACTACGGCACACTACGGCACACTACGGCACAGACACTCAACACAGGCTCCCGCAAGAGCACTTCACTTTTCTAGGCCGGGTTTGCCGTTCGCATTGAAATGCGGCCTCGGTCAGTCGAGTTGCCTTCTACTCAACCTCACTCTGATGCCTCCTTTGGGCACTTTGGTCCCTGAGCCTGGCAAACCCTGGGGGACTTCCATCCTACCTCCCATACCATCCACAGACTGAACATCATAAAGACTAATAAAGGCAGCTGCGACAGCTAAAATCTGCTTCTCGGCATATGTCCGGCCACGGCAAATGCCGGAGCCGACTCCCCAGGGCTTCATACAGCCATACCGGGCGACCTTCTCGTCTGTGATAGGATCAATCTGGAGGAACCGGTCGGCGATAAACGTCTTTGGGTCTGGAAAAACGGCTGGGTCGTGCTGGACGAGGTGATGAAGCGCCGTGACCCAGGTTCCCTGCGGGAGGGTACGCATTTTGGGCTTTTCTGAGTTCGTAGACATAGGGACCTCAACTGATTTATACACATGTCGCACCGAGGTCGCCTCATTTGTGAGGCGGAACGTCTCGTACAGGGCCGACTTGAGCATTGGGCACTTATGGTGAATGGACTTGTGGTCGAAGTGTGTGATCTCGGGCCGGCTCGTTTTGGCGTTACGTTCGATGATGACGTACGGGGCCACCTCATCGCGGAGCCGTTGAAGCAGACCTGGGTTGCAGCATATGAAAATGGTAAGCCACGAGGTCGCCCTTTGTGTGTTGCTGTTCTGGCCAAGCAGCAGGCTAGTTTCGATTACGCCGCGGTGGTATAGACCGACGTTGTGCTTGCGGAACACGTCGCTGCGCCTGAATGACACGGCGGGCACGTCGCCTAACTCGTCAACACTGATCTTCCCGTCCTGATAGTCTAAAATCTTCTTGAAGAGCCCGCCCAACCGCTCTGTCATCCGGGTACGAGCTGCGTTGCCCTCCCTGAAGGACCGTAGGGGCAGCCATCCGGGTAAGCCTAGGATCAGGAAGAGTACTTGCTCCTCAAACTTCCAGAGGTCTTCGATGCATTCAGGGTAATCTTCCAGCCATTTTTCTCCAAATAGCAGAGAGATTGCCAGGTGGGCTCCAAAGTCCCGCAGCAGATTCATCAAGTCGACCTCGACTATGCCTGGCTGCTCCGCGGTGTCGGGCCGGATAACCTTCACGCCTGCAGTACGCTCCCAGCCTTTGAGTAACGTCTTGTCACTGCCATCGACATAGGATACCAGGTCCGACATTCTCTTTGGGATGTTTCCCGAAGCCAATGCATTCGCCGCGCCGTGCTCATTTAAAAACGTGCGCTCGAGGGCACTCAGAAGATCCTTGTACGACGACTGCCAAGTCCTGTGCAATTCCTCGCCCTGCTCCTTGCCGACCCCTCCGACATGCATGAAAAGGCTCCACAAGACTGTCCTGGTCTCAAGGGCATGGTCGGGCTGGCCGCTGATCAGGAGCGGCTCGCTAATGTCTGGGTTGTAGATTACTTGATGCTTCGCGGTGAATCCGTACAAAGGACCGCCAAACCGCCGGAAAACGTTCCTGGAAACATCGTATCAGTCAAGAATGAGCAGGCTCTAAAAGGGAAACCATGGAGGCCTACCGAAGTTTCCGAGCCCTTCCTCCCGCGGTCACACATACGCTGGTGAGGATGATATCGAGTGGCACTGTGGCGGGAAGAAGAGGCCGGGTTGAAGACGCCCAAAAAATGCGAGCAAAGAACCAAATGGTAACAGCCAGCAGCAAAAGCTTCGGGCCTGTATGAACCCATATGCCAAGCCACTCGGCTGAAAATAACCCATGCCACCCTTCTTTCATGATAGCCGCGTCGGGTGGGCGACCTGAACAATGTCGCTTTTAGAAGTTGACGCGACAACAGAAGTCCTGGTAGCCAAATGTACTAGATATCGCTGGCTCTCCCGCAGCGCAGCGGGCAATTTGTTTTCGCTGTTGGTGACATTGCTTGCTGGCTGTGTGCGGTAGAGGGGACGTGATGCCAAGGGTGAATTTTAACCTAATTTTCATGCCACGTCTCGTCAGCCTTGTAAGCGAATTACACTCATTGGAGAAAAGTATAAACGCTTCGTGTACCAATGGTGTGAATGCCGAGTCGATGCACATGTGAGCATAAACGTAAGCGGATTGGAGAATTTGCAATTGGGCTGATGACCTCATGTATCCCACCAAGCGCCGTTCATATCCGGACCACATTCCCTTCCTCTGCCTCGCTTTGTCGCCCAGCATCTTCACTGTCACACGGAGGCGTTGACCGGCTTAGCCCACAATGGCCTTGAGTACGAAAACGTTGATTATACTCTTTGGCTGCCTTATGGCGGCCTCTACGATGATACTATGGATGCGGCACAACCGCCATCCCACATACGATGGCCTGCCCTGGGCTGGCCTGAGAAAGGAGCTGTTCCCTAAGCTCCGAGCTAGCCTGCGCCACAAGCGTGAAGGTATACAGGTCACGGCGGAAGGCTACAAAAAGGTAAGTCTAACCGTACAAAGACACAACTTGGAGGACATGCGCGCTCTACTACGGGCATTTGTACTAATAATGTATCTTGTTCGCAGTTCAACAAACACGGGATGCCGTTCGTGACCCCGCTGTCAACAACCAAGCCCATGGTGGTTGTGCCGCCATCCGACATTGAATGGCTAACAAAAAGGCCCCGATCTGAAGTCACGCAGCCTCAGATGGTTATCCACCCGGATCTGGTGCATTACTACCTGCCCAAGATGCCCGTTGGCGAATTCACGCATATGCCAACCATCAATGTCGACCTGAAGAAGATCACACCCGAAGTTATTTGGAAGCAAGTTATTGATAGCATCCCAACCAGCCTTGATGCCCGGGCTTCCCATGCCAAACCATCGGACAATGGCTGGGAGACCAAGCCCCTCTTCGACTTTTTAGGTGGCATTGTTGCGCGCGTATCCGTAGGCCTCTTCCTATCAAAGAGCCTCAGTCGTGACGCAGAATTCGTTAAAACCATGATCATGTATACTGTAACCTTCAACAATTTCCCCTACCAGCTCCATGACGCCATTCCCAAGCCGCTAAGACGGCTCTACGTGCCCTTGATTGCGGCTCCATCGAGGTACTACCTGTGGAAGCTCCATAAGTGGTTGTTTCCTGTCGTCCAGAAGCATTTGGACGGCACTGAGACCGACGAGGACAGAGATACTGTGCTCCACCACCACGTCAAGTGGGCGCAAAGGTCAGTGAACCCGCAAGATCGCGATCCCGCCGTCATCATATCACGGTTGGTCCTGATGATCGCCGCACTCGCGCTTCCAAACATCTATCAGAGCCTGAGCGACTCTGCGATCAACTTGACGCGGCAGGTGCCAGGAAATGACGAGTCCATCCAGGCCGTGCTTCGACAGGAGACGGCTGAACTCTTGGAAAGGGGGGCACGGGATGCGATGCCGAAAGATTACGCTCGGGGTCTCGTCCACATGGAATCTTTTCTAAAGGAGACCCTGCGCTACCGCACTTTCAACGGCTTCGGTCTGGGCCTAACTCGGGAGGTGGTGGCAGAGAGCGGCTTGATTCTCCCATCCGCCAAGGACGGTCCGACACTTTCCAGGGGCACTTGGGTGACTGTGGCGTATGACGCCATCCATCGCGATCCGGAGAATTACGAGGCATGTGACGACTTCATGCCGTGGCGTTTTGTACGTCCAAATGGAGAGAAAGCTACCGAACTGACGGATACAAACGACACGTACTTGCCCTTTGGCCGGGGAAGGGACACTTGCCCCGGCAGGTTCTTCGCCGCAGACTACATGAGGCTGGTTGTGGTTTATCTCGTACATAACTTCGAGTTCCAGGCGCCGGGAGGCGTGCTCAAAGGGCCTGCTGCGTCCATTGACGTCAGACCTCTGCAGGTGGACAGCACCAGCTGAATGCGCGACCGGGCGAGGACATTTGTATGTGGTGCCATTGCCTTGAGAATTTTAGACCGAATATGATATGTTAACTCATGGCCGAGCCTACAAACATGCTGGCTGTATAGATATCACAACTTGCCGGGGTTCGAACTATGGTTTATTAATACTGCTTATGAAGACGTCCGTCAATGTCCCCGACATAATGTCACAATAGTCTTTGCCAGTACAAGTTCTGGCGATGTACCATGTTTTTGTAGTGGTCACATATATCATTATTGGGCGCGGGAAGAATTGTTCCATGACCTTGTATAACTGTAGCCTTACGTAGGCTTCCAAGACTGATATAATTCAAAGCAGAGTAGCTAGAGTGGCCACCACTGCGTCGCCAAAATCCGACGTTGAGGCTGAACCACCAATATCCGGAGTCCGTAGACCACTTTCCAACGTCATGTTGACAGCCCTCTCTATACAGGCAGCCGCCAGTGGCATATTCAGTGAGTACTTGAACATCATGCCAACAGAGAGAATCATGCCGGCGGGGTTGATGATCCCCTTCCCAGCAATGTCCGGCGCTGAACCTGCACGACGGTTCATTAGTGAAAGCTAATAGCGGGACTTGAATCTCGTCTTTAGAGCTCGTTATGTACACTTACCGTGAATAGGCTCATAGATACCACGAACACTATTCCCCCCCCTACGTCCTCAGGAATGTCACACAAGCTGGCGCTGGGCAGCAGTCCGATACTGCCGACGATAGCAGACGCCTCGTCACTGATGATGTCGCCGAACATGTTACTTGTCAGTACTATGCCGTTCAACTTGGTCGGGTTGCTTGCCATGACCATGGCCGCCGTGTCGATCAACATATGCTGCAATCGAACTTGAGGGAACTCTGCGGCCATGATCTGGCTTACCACACCCCTCCAAAGACGGCCGCACGATGCAAGAGCGTTTGCCTTGTCGAGGCTGATGACGGGCAGAGGCGGATCGGTAGCCGTGGCCAGCTTACCTGCCAGCCGGGCCGCTCGCTCGATCTCTGCTCTCGTGTATAAGTCTGTGTCAGCAGCCATGTTGAAAGACCCATCGTGCTCTGTCTTTTCGCCAAAGTACATGCCGCCCGTCAGTTCGCGCACAATCATCATGTTGGTTCCGCAGCATCGTTCCGGCTTCAGCGCCGACTGCGCCACGAGCGACGGTGCAATGAAGCTGATCGGCCGTAAGTTTCCGAAGGCGTCCATGGCCTTGCGCAGCCGGCCAAGCCCGGATTCTACAGCCACCCCTGCCGTGGACCACTTCTGAAGTCATGGGGCAAAGTCCCCGGAAGGTCAGCCATCTTGACCGCAACCAATTTAGGGCTGCTGCATCTGTGTCCTTACCGGTCCCCCGACGGCGCCAAGCAGGACGGCCGACGCCGATGCGGCCTCGGTTAGGGTTTCTTGAGATATCGTGACTCCGTTGGCGTCCCAAGAGCTCTGTCAAGTACGATGGAGCTGAGTGAGTGGGTGTGTCACGATGTCCAGTCCTGCAGGCTTCCACTCACCCCGCCAATGAGACGGTACTTCAAATTGAAATTTGCCCCTTTAGTTTGACGCTCAACCTCACGGAGGACCTTTTCCAATCCGTTGTCAACGAGAAGGGAATGCTGACAGAGAAATCTTGGCCAGTACGTCGGACTTCTCGTAGGAAAACATACCTTAACACCCTCACGAACGACCTAGATACGGCATGACGGTCTGTTAGAGTCTGGTGCTGCAGGTAGGCCCTGGGGCGGAGAGGGGAAAGGATCGGCTGATCTTACCTCAGGACCAGCATAATCGCCCTCGAAAACAATAATGTCATGTTCAACGGCCATCTCGTCTTGGTTTGTAGTTTATTTTCTTTTTTTAGACGAGTAGGGTCTGAGTGGGACGAGTTGATCGACCTGACAATATAGACGGAAAATGGCAGACTAAGCTTTCGGATGCCACAAGGAGCGGCGTATATTGAAAATACCCTTGGTGTATTCCCTGCTCGACGGCTGAAGATATGGTTGTAGCTGTGTCAAAGCAGCGACAAGAGAGGGTGCGGGCCTATATTTCACATTGCTGTTACTCTAGGTGTTTTACGAGAGTCGAGCCCGGGACCTTAATTCAGATAGTGTGGCCGTGGAGAACGACAGATGATAACCCATCAACGTATACTGAACGGTCCATGTGTTAAGCATAGTCCTCGAGCTTCGTGCAACTAGTATCAATGGGCTCCTATGGATCCTCTGAAGATGTTCGTTCTCGATAGGTTACTAGCCTGTGGGCTGGCTGCCGTAATCAGCTTCGCGAACATGGGCCACATCTTCGATGGTGGAAATGTGTTCTGGCCCCGCGCTGCATACACTACAGGGTTCTGGCACTGCTGCTACTTTGACACCCAGAAGCGACCTAGGTGGGCTAGGAGTGCTTTTCTTCGTGTCAGAACAAGCTGCCAGGTCGAGCCATGGGGATAGTTGCACTAGTTACCGAACTTGGTCTAGAACCGACTGATCCATTCAATTCGGCACCACATGTAATCATGCTCATGGAACGTTGTAATCCTAGAACGTACTATGAAAGATCTGAGCATCACGTACGACACTACATGAGTTGTGCCGGGAGAGTGAAACGATGACAGTCATAGTTTGCTAACTGGAGCGAGAACGCCACTTCTAGCGGAGGAGGTTGGTGTCTATCTACGGAGTACACCAATGGTGCTACCTACAGAGACCTGATCTGGAGACGTGAGCGAAAGGCTCGCCTCCAGGGAGTGCGGGTGGGCTGTGCGTTCATTGGTTCATCAGACTGTTAACGATGATAAGTAACTCAGCTCCAAAACTATAAGTTTGTAATACGGGTAATGTTACCTCGACCGCTAGGGGTGCCTACTGCGGTGAATTAAGATGCTTTTTTCTATGCTTTCCACATTACGTGAGTTGATTAGGCTGCTTACGACACATAGAAGCCCCCCAACTGAAGAGCATTGCTCAATGTATTATCAGCTCAAACAAACCTTCAACAGGCACAGAAACGCATTACGTGAGGTGACTGGCAACATGACCCCAACCGACCAAGTACGTTTGTTTCACGCGGAGAGCCGGCAACTCACGCATTCCGAGCCTGATTCTCGCCAACCGTCAACATCGCCCCGAATTGCGCCGCTTATTTCAAGCCCCCACGCCGTTCCTGTGTCGTTGTTGGCGCTCGAACAGCATCTATAGCTTGCTTGCTGCCGCTGTCCAGAACAGCGGTCAAGTCGAATATGCCCGAGAAGCCCGATTGTCGCCCAGTCCGCACAACATTGAACTTTATCAAAGTTAAGGGAGATGGCTCGGATGATTTTGTGTCCTACATGGACAAGCCGGAGACACATGCAAAACCTTGTGACAAAAGAGAGGTGACAGTCTTCGATGTCAGCGGTCACGAGGAGCACTTTACGCTTGAACAGCATGGCTTTCAATGGCTCCGACACGCTTCGGGGTTCGAGGACTTTGAAGACGAACGCCTCATCAAGAAGATCTACTATGCCGAGACGGAGAAGCTGCTAAGCGACTTGTGAGTATAGCCTCACAAGACCCAGCACGCCCCTTCTGCCCCTGCAGTCACGTGTTCTGGTTCCGACACTCTCAGGCTGATAACCCTTCGCGCCCGGCGCGACAGGCTCGGTGTCAAGCGTGTTGTGGCTGCCAATCACAACGTCCGCCGCGGGAACAGGGCTGATTATCCAAAACAGCCCTGTCACAGAGTGCACTTTGACTCGTCCATCCCCTACGCTCACCGGCTCATTCACGAAGTCTTCCCCGACGAGGCCGAGGAGCTCTCCAAGTCCCGCGTGGTCTTGGTCAACGTCTGGCGGCCTCTGGCGCCCGTCCTTCGGGATCCTCTGTGCGTAGGCGAAGCCCATAGTGTTCCTCCCGAGGACGAGGTCACCATTACCATCCGACACAGCACAGATGAGTCTATTCCAGAGATGGAGACTAACGAGGTCCGATATGGCGAGGGCCATGAGTGGTTTTACAAGTCGGGCATGAAACCTGACGAAGTCTTGATCTTCAAGACCTTTGACAGCAAGACAGACGGCAGAGCCAGGAGGGTAGCACATTCTGCATTTGTAGAGCCCCCAATCAACGAAAATGCGCCCGGGAGACAGAGCATCGAAGCGAGAGCGTTTGTTTTCTATGAGAACGAGGCCTGGGATTAGGGCTACACTTTCATGTACTGCCATGTACAGTCAGTATATCTCTGTAGAGAGACAGAGACAGAGAGACAAAGAGAGAGAGAGAGAGAATGTGGACTCGGATTCATCAGGATCGTTCGGGCTCCGAGACTTCTTGGTGTGTCAGCTGACATGGCAGAGCCTGGTGACTATCGAGTGTAGTTCTTGGCTTCTTCCTTTTAGAGGCAGGCAAAAACACTGATTGAGGCTCTAGAGAGACAGTAGATTATCACGATCTGGACATAACCACCAGTTTCACTGTCCCCATGTGACGGTCACTACAAGAGGAAGAATTGATTGATCGATTGAAAATATTTAACGCCTGTTACGTCCAGCTACATGGCATAAGGCGCCTGTGTAGTCTTATCTATTACTATTACTGTCAAATTGTGGCAATTGGCCCGAAGTAGGGTAATAATGTGGCGCGCATCGGATGGATGGGTTCTCTACCTAAAATGGGTAAATCCAACGGCATAATTATGCATTTTGCCTACTTGGCCAAGAATTCCAGGCTAGAATAGAGGATAGTTACGCCTACACAGCACACAGATATACGCACTTTAACACAAGGATTATTGCCGTATTACGTACTTCATCAGAAGTTAACAGGAGGAAGAATAGACGGTCAAAGGGGGGGATCTTGAAAAAATTGGTCTTCTATCCGAAGCCTAGCAAAGCAAGTCGACATGATGTTCCTTTGCTCTAAAGACAAAATCTGTGTCGAGTCATCTATATGGTTTCGACGGCCTGCAGCTTACGGCCACTGGGCAGAGGACGATGATCAATGTGTCTACCGCTCATTGTGCTAGCCTTGGCCTCGCGCTCGCAGAGTTGCAGGTGCCCGGTTACCTGTTTATTAGCGCAAAGCACCGGGTCAGCTCGATTGTCTCATGCAAACATACACATTCACCGGTGTTACTCACGATGCATGCCGAGAGGACAGCGCGTATTGACGCCTCGGCCTCTCCGCCGCCAACACCAACGCCCCAGCCCGTAACCGTATCGAAGGCAGTGAGCTTTGCGTACGCCACAGTGCTGCCTTGGAGAGCCTGGGTCGCCGATTCGTCCAGGCTTTCGTACTGTACGGATATTTCGGTCTGCTTGGGGAGGTTCAACAACGGTGCCAAAACCGCATGTGTCTCGGTCAGGTCGTTCGTGTCCAGGGACGATAGGATGTCATCCAGTTTGAGTGTTTCCGAGCCGCCCGTAGCCATCAGAAAGGCGGGCTCGGCGTTCTCCCCTAGCTTCTTGACGTGGTACAGGTCGCAGAAAGCCTGACAGACGTCGTGGGCGCTGATGCTCTTACATTCCTCTTCGGCCTGTTCGGCAAGTTGCTGCACAATCTTCTGGAACACGCGCAACAACTCACAGGGAATGTGGCAGATGCCCAAGTTTTGACGGAGAACCCAGGCGGTGCCGGACTTGCCGCTCTGGCTGGTGATGCCGACAACGCACTCCCCGATGTCGCGGCCTACGTCGGCCGGGTCGAGAGGTAGGTACGGGACCTTCCAGCTTTCGCCCGGCGCTGCTGATTTGCGCACTTTGAGGCCCTTGGACACGGCATCCTGGTGAAATCCGCTGAAGGCGCGGAAATAAAATGCACCAGCATAGGGGGTTCGCGGGTGAACCGGGATGCCGGTGATATCAGCGTAGATCTTGGCTACTTCGTCGAGGCGGCTCAGGTCGACACCTGGATCAAGGCCCAGAGTCATTGCGTTGGCAGCGACGACTATAATGTCGACATTGCCTCCGCGCTCTCCGTGGCCGAAGAGACAACCATCGACGCGGTCAGCTCCAGCCAAGCAGGCCATCTCGGCAGCTGCAACGGCGCATCCCCGGTCGTTGTGCGGGTGTACTCCGAAACGATAGGTTTCGCGATCTGAAATTCGTTTCAAGAGATACTCGACACGGTCAGCAAAGACGTTGGGAGGCGAGACTTCGACGCTTGCAGCAACCCCGAGAACCATCTTGTCATCGACCGTTGGCTTCCACGCTGACTTGACCGCCTCAGCACACCGTACCACTGATTCAACTTGGGCATTTGAGAAATCTTCGAAACCAAAGCTGAAAGCCCATTCCGTCCCCTCGGCATAAGGGCCGTTGTCTTTGACGAGGGACCGAACATACGCCGCGCAAGACCGCGCTCGTTCGATCCATTCGTCTTCTGTCATTCCAAGCACTATTTCACGCAGGTAATTGCTACAGCCGATATAGGTGAATATGTTGGCCTTTTTGGCGCCGTGGAGTAGCTTGACGGTCTCCAAAAGGGCCTCCTTCCGGCAAGGGGAGCAGACCTGGATGCATACGTCGTCCGGTACGAGACCGGGTGTCTCGACAACGTAGCGAACGAAATCGTGATCCGTCTTGGAAGCGCCGACAAAGCCTAGCTCAATCTCCCTGAATCCCATCGAGACTAGTTGCTTGAAAATCACCACCTTTTGGTCAAAGGTCTGTTGACAACAAAACAATTAGTAAACTGCCAGACTAACAAGTGAGTTCATCATAAAACTTCCTCCTTGTAGAGATGGGGGGGATGGCGAGGCGGGGATAATCACGAACGACGCTTCACGTATCGGACTGAGACTCTAAAGGTTCTCAGCTGCGTACCATTGGAACAGGCAAGGCTTGGTTGCCATCGCGCAGGTCGTGCGATAAGAACTGCGGGCATTTCGTCATGGTCCTGGATGGCCATTGGCGATCCGGAAGAGGTACTGGAGGCGGTGTCCTGCCCCCGTACTTTTCTTGGATTGTCACAGCATCGATCATTTTGTGATCAGGGTAACGGGTATAGAATATTGTTCTGTGATATATTGCCTTGTAACCAGTCTAGAGCGACATCAGCCTTTAATCTACCCCCCGCCAGAGTGATCCGCATAAAGAACTAGACCTGGAACAGTGGAAAAAGGCGTATTCGAAAGGTAATGACCTCCCCTCGCCCGCTTTAGGACGCAGTGCGTAACGTAAGCTCGCGTTTGTTGATAAGGTTAACATACATGTATTGAATTTGAGCTTATGTCACGGCGTTGTTATATCCAACTAAATTTCGTGTAAGCATCTCATAAGGCCAAACTCGTTGCAATACAAGTTTGCGGTTGGTGAAACAGTCGGATTTGTATTATTCTGTCGAGGTTTCCCCGTGTCTCCTCTCACCTTCCAAGCATCTCCAAGGCCTCTACGCGTCCTACTGAAAGCCAGCGACTGAAGGCGTCATGCCAGCCCTCCAACCCAAGGCCGAGACTCGTATGCGTCCCTAAATTTCACTAGTGTCCAGTGCCGAACTGAAATTTCTGGAATGTAGAGTACTGATCCTTGGCATGACAGGTTGTTCGGCGTATGATAATGGGAAGAATCCGGGTAAGCATGCTTTCCAGGAGACTGGGCTACCGCTAACTGGGCTCCCTTTTTTGCCTTTGCAGTCAACGGCCATGTGCAGTGCATCTTCACTGCACGGACATGCCGGTGGTCAACGCCCGAGTTTATTGAAAGCCCGGCAATCTTGGTCCATGGGCTTGCGCCTGGTCTTAACTACGGTCAACAGATCTTCGAGGGCCTTAAGGCGTTTCGCCATCCAGATGATGAGATAGCTGTGTTTCGACCCGGGGATCATGCGGCACGCTTCCAGCGGTCAGCAGCCTTTCTCGAGATGCCCCTGGTTCCTAGGAGCTTGTTCCTGCAGTGTGTCGATTTGGCTGTTCGCCGAAACGCCGAACACGTCCCTCCTCATGACCTCGTCGGCTCCTCATTGTACATCCGCCCTCTAGAGTTCGCATCCGGCATGCAAATCGGACTGGATCCACCGGACGAATACACGTTCTGTGTCTACGTGCAACCGCATCTGGGGCTCCATAGCGTCCCTAACTTGAAAGCCCTCGTTACCGACGATTTTGACCGCGTTGCGACGAGGGGCTCAGGCAAGGCCAAGACGGGGGGCAATTATGCTTGTATCCCCAAGTGGTCTCGCATCGCCAAGGAAGAGGGATGCCATCTGCTGCTGCACCTGGACAGTAGCACGCAGACCCAGATTGAAGAGTTTTCCACATCTGGCTTCGTCGGTATACGCAGTGACGGCGATCGATCAGTAACGGTTCTAATTTCGGAAAGTGACACGGTGCTCGACAGCATAACTGTGGACTCGATTGCCGTCCTTGCGAAGTCGTTTGGGTGGAGAGTCGAGAGGCGGCTGGTAAACAAGCCCCTATTCCCCTGTATCACTTTGCTTCAGCTATTGTTAACAATGCTGCCTGCATGATCCGAGCTGACCAATCTCGTGTGCGTGTCAGATCGGGCTTATAGAACTGGAAACCATGGCGGAGGTTATAGCAGCGGGTACTGCGTCAGGAGCGTTATCTGTTAGCTATATCTACCGAAAATCGACTGGTGACAAGTTCAACTTCGCCTCAGGCGGCTGCTACCATCACAAGATATCTACAGCCTTGAGTGGGATACAGAGAGGAGTCGAGCATGACCGCTACGGATGGTGCAGGATCGTTGACGTGGACCACTAGTAAACATACAGATTCTAGACCCAGCTTCCCTAGACCACGGGCACACTTTTTGTTTTCTGTCTGTCCTTGGCAATTAGATACATACATCTATAGAGCCCGATTTGCCACTGCCAGCCACCCACCCACCACGGCTAGCTCTCAAAGACCTGCCTGTTGCATCAAAGTCGGAACCAGTGGTTCGATAACATATCTAATCTTGCTTATTCAACTCGGTTATCTATAAGGACATACGCCGTTCGCTATTGTATCCAGACTTGTGACGCTGTGGCTGAAATGCAGCGTCTTCCCCGAACCAACCACCGTGGCACAATTTCTCATCTATGTTGCGCTCCACTGCAATTGTGTGGCGATAGTGCACTTTTATAACGTCTGTGTCGTGGTCTGAAAGTCGTGGAAGTTCCCGAACGCGAGGCATTACAGGATCCAGCTCGTTACAGACATCAGGGCTAGCCTGTGGCTTTTTCAGAGACGTCCAGGGAAGGAAGAAAGTTGTAACGAATCCCACGATTCCTAAAATCATCAGAGACAGGAACGTGCGAGTCAAAGCTCCGTTGTATATGTCCAGCGCTCGATCAAGATTCTCCGGCGACACATGGCTCTGCAGATAGCCCCTGTTGATCCTGGAACTGGACGCTGCGTCGAAGCCCGGCAAGATGCTGGAGAGGCCGGAGAGTCGACTGAGAAAAGCAGCCTGGTTCACGGCGATCAGGATGGCTGCAGAAGTGTGCCTCACCACGGCGACGGCCGCCATCCCAGCAGGGAAGTCCTTCGCGTCCAGCTCGGCCTGGGCGCCAACCGAGCCCTGCTGAGTGGCAAACCCGTTTCCTAGCCCGAAAACGGCGCCGAATACCATCCAAGACGTCGGACCGCTGTCTTGCCGTAGGTTCCAGAGCAGGCCTGAGCCGACCGTCATAACCACCGTTCCCGCTATTGTGCCCGGAGGCAGATAGTGTATCACCCATACCAGGAGCCCACTTACAACGGCGCCGACGATGGATGCGCCGAGAGTGGGCACTATGCCAACGGCCGCTTGGAAAACGGAATCAGTTGCCAGTCCCTGTATCCAAATCGGAAACTTGCACGTGGCATTGAAATGTCAGTATAGCACACCTGAGTATAGTGAGGACAGGGGCTGTGAAACATGGGACGGGCCAGTGCAATACCGTATTCTGCTAGGGTTTGCTCACATAGTACGCCATGGGTATTGATGAGCCCGCTTGCGTGAATAGCCAAATAAGGTTTGTGACAAGATGCCGATTCTTCAGTAGCCGCGTGGGAAAGGTGGCTTGGTCCCTTTTCTTATGCTGGTCAACGGCTGCCACGATGAACAGGGCGACCGATATCAGGAGCGGTGCCAGAACCGCAGCGTCAGTCCAAGAGTTTCTCACACCGGCCGAGTTCAACGCCACCAGCAGACATGCCGTACTACTCGCGATCAAGAGTCCCCCAGGCAGATCAAGCTTGCCGATGTCTGCCAGTCGTAAAGTCCCACAACGTCTCGGGTCTGTCTTCTTTTCGGTGAATAGGAAAATGACAGACGCCATGATGACAACATCAACGGGCAGGTTGATCCAAAAGCACCACGGCCAGCCCACGGACTTGGTGACACCACCTGCAACAAGGGGACCAACCAAGACAGCAACCGTCTCTCCCGTTCCCATGATTCCGCCGTAAAAAGGCCGCTTATACAAGGGCACGACAGACACCGTAAGGCTGGGGGGGTCCGGTATTTTTCTTAGCAAACAACTTCGGCGGCAGACGGGGAAGCGATGAAGCGGCGCAGACATACAGCGTAGTTCCAACTTGCACGCCGGCACACCCAAGGCCAGCCAGGACTCTCCCAATGACAAAGACGGGCGACGTCTTGGCAACGGCACAAACAATCGAGCCGGCCGCCGAAACTAGGATCGACACCAGGAACACTCTCTTGGGCGACAGCGTGGCATATATCTTGCCAAACGTCAACAGCGAGGCGCCGTTCGCTGCTAGGCTGCCGTGCGTCAGACTCGATCACCCTCTTGAATCTGTTGTGACGGACTTACTACGCTGATCCCCACCAGCCGACATCCGCCAGCGAATGGAACTCTTCCGCCAGCGTTGGCGCTAGAATCCCAACAAAGCTCGCGTCCTACGCGATAAAGACACCAAACCAAGATGTCAACGACCACATTCTGCGAATAGGACACTGTATATACCGCCATCTCCGGCTCCGGGAGCTCCGCGCCACAGGCTGGGGCTCGATAACGACCTGCGGAACCGCTGACGAAGAGGCTACTTACCATCCCGACCGTCATCTGACCCAGCGTGAGTGCCACTACGAGGGCCCACAGGCGCCAACCTGAAAGATAGCCGTGTTCCTGGCATATCGCTTGTTAGATTTATCCGCGTGATTTCTGGGCGCGAAGATTGCGGGTAATCTCACCAAGCTACGGGCATCAGATGATCCGCCCGATTGTGAGGGGTTCATATTTCGGAGTGCGTGTGGAACAACAGCCTGTTGGCGGCAAAAAAAAAACAAAAAAAAATAGAAATCAAGAGCACAAGGCCCGGCGTACTACTCTACAGATGGGAAAGTGTTATGGGTCGATCACACTGGGGTTCCGCTGCAGCTTGATGAGACATCTTCTTGCAAAAGCTTCTTGATGGCGCTCTTTGCTACCGGAAGTCATACCGTGGGGCGATGCAGGCAGCGTTGTGTCGCCCAGCCTGCTACCAAGTACCAACAGGCGTCATCATAGATTTTCCAACGTGACGTCGTGCCCCCTGCAGTACCGCATGATCAAACGAAGACGGGGAGGAGGGCAGGGGGTAGAAAGGGCCGGGAGGGGCTGGGAGGAAGAAGGTCTGACGTGAGCGGATCAAGACTATGGTATGGGTATGAGGTGAGAAGCCGAGTTCGCAGCTTAACAAGTTTTGATCATGGTCAGCAACATTTGTGCTGCTGACTAGGAGCAAAGTCTAATTCAATGACGTACCAAGTTGGGCCCACTGCATCGATCAACCCACTGGTTTCCCAACGAGGGGAGTCTTAATAGTACGTGTCAACTTGTCATTTTCATCCCGCCCTCCATAGAGATCAGCAGAGCGTAGCAAAGGCAAGGGAAAGTTTCACTGGCGAGTGTAGGTAGCTTTCTGCTTGATTGGGTGCGGCGGGCAAAAGTGAAGGCCAGTGTTACGGCCAGCTATCTGATAGTAGGGTCTACCAACAGAAGCTCGGATTAACTCTGTAGATAAGATATCGTAGGTACTAATTGTAGGGCCGGTGTGTGCTGAAGATATCACGTCGTCAGAAGCTAAGGTGATCAATCTTGGACTCAACAAGGTAACTTGCAGTGAAGGTAAGCTGAAAGTATTCCGAAGAATGTTGACGAATTTGATTGCTGAAGGCCTATGGAAGTCTGACCATATGCCGGGCTCAGGTCGTACTACATACAAGTCGTTCTTGAACGGTCCTCCTTGTCACCGTTCAGCTCATAATGGTACATGTAGCAACTATGAAAGTTGGTAATTGTCAAACTGGCCAAAACGTGTTGTTTTTATAATATTTACACATCTATTATAAGAATCTTTGGTAGTTGTTTAATATATATAATAGTATAAGTTTAATGCCATAGTTCGTTTTCATTACTTTCAAGATAGCGACTATGATTAAAACCTATATATTCATAGTCATCTTCTGATGCAACATGAAGTCCACGATTTTTAGCTTACGGAAAACGCTTAATATTTTGTCAATAAAACTAAGAGCAGTCTAGCTTCTTTTACAATGTACACCAATTGGCTCTTTATAGCTGGTCATCCCAGATAAATTCCATTAGCGACAATTGTTTTGGGCCTTTGGTCCCGCAGGCTACAAATTCAAATCTCCGGTCTGCTTTCTGGAAAAGCTCTGCCACTCCAATAGAGTAAGTTCTTTCCCGTTGAACAACGCCATCATTGCCAAGTCATACCTTCTGCGGTTGAATGCGTCAGTGAGAGTTTATGAAAAGCCGAGGTCCGAAGTACAAAAGGCAGCAAGTGAAATAAGGCAAACGAATCACGAAAAACGTATCAAACATAGAAGCCCGGCTAAAGGGACCAGGGGAACAAAAACAGAGGAACTCTAAGGATGAACTTGGGACGAGCTCACAGCGCAGCTTTCATTACTTCACAAGGCATGGTACCCGCCCTGGGCACTACCAACTCGTTCAACAATATTCTCGCACCGGAACGCAATACAGGGATGAGGCCGCGTATGATTTTCAGCGCGTCACCATCGCTCCAGTCGTGAAGAGTTCAGCGGAAGGAATAAATATCGGCGTCCTTGACCGGCTGCGGAGAGAAAAAATTACAACAACGCTGCGGTCAGGCAGAGATGTCTCTGTGGAGGCGGGCGTGCGGGATACTTACTGGACCATGAACCGCACTCTCTCCTGTCACTTCTCGCAGTTCTCTCCCAAATCCTGTACTATAAAGGGCGCAGCAAGGGCTCTTCTGGCCGCTTGAACGGCTATTGCTCCTCTTCCGCCGCCAATATCCACCATCGTTTGTCCTTCGGTCCGGATCTCGCCGAAGAACTCGTCTAGCAAGGTGTTCTCGATGGTGGATTCGTGCGCCATGGCAGCGTGGAACCGGCTTACGACTTTGGGCTCTTGCGAATGGATCTGCCATAGGGTCTTCCGCCGCAACAGTGCTATCGCGACGTCCCCGTCCTCTGCGACAGCGTCCACGAACGCATGGTCGCAGTTCAAGTTGGCCAGGGCGGCGCCCGTATCCTTGGGATCTAGGCTGCCGGGAAACCGCTGCAAGGCATCCCCCAGCCTCATGCCCGCGGGCAACATATCAAGCACGCCGTACGCGACGAGATCCTTGACGGGGGGCAAGCGGACAAGCAATGCCGACGTCAGAGTGTGGGCCACAACTGCTCGGCCGTCGTGTTTGGTATAGGCATTCAGGGAGAGCTATTGATGTCGCTGTCCTCTGTACGCTCCGATAGTCCATTCTCTTGTAAGTAGTCGTCGACAACGGCCGGATGCTCGGTGACGCTCCGGGCAAGGTCGATAATTCTCGAGTTTGAGGCCATGTTATTCCGAAAATGGGTTCAGAGATTACATCTGTTTTGGTTTTTGCAGACTAGGACCGATTTGGAAGTATTGGTGTTTCTTGATATTTCAACGGTTGACTACCGCTGTGAAGTCCATTCTGGCACGGTTTTTCATGTTATGGTTCGCAGACTAGACTTCAGACTTGTTCGAGCCGCAGTCTGATAGCTCCAATGTCGTCTACAGCAAACAACATGAAACGAAACAAATCAAAACCCACGTAAAAGCACTAAGGCTGGGACATCAGACATGCCATCAGAGCTATTCCGAAAAGGGTTTGACATTGTGAACACGTAATTTACAATTTACCCTTTCTGTGCAGAACCTGCACTGGATTCGCTTACTGTCATGCAGCGCAAGGACGGGATGGTTCAGAAAGCTACCTCATATCAGCACGATTGAGGGGTATCAATTCCTGGTGATCAATATTCTGTCACGATAACCTCATGTATTTCCACCTTCTGTAACAGCCCTGTCAGGTGCTGTTGCACGTGCTGCTTCACATTCATTTGCCTATGTATAGGACCTTACTTTCGTTACTTCTACTCACTTAGAATCAAGCCTTTTAGACCTCAATTCCCATATGCCCTGCTGTGTGCTCTAACTCGTGACATATTCCATCATCTGTTTCCATAAGTCAACTTTATCCTACGAGTTTCTTTAGTTCTTTTTCCTCTTTTATAGCATTGGGCAATATGCTATATTAGCAGCTGTGAAGTAGCACATTTCAAATGCATCGAGCTGCCCATGCTTATATTTACCTCCGTCACGTAGTGTCAAGATCTGAGGGTTCGTGCAACAAGCGTCGGTCACCTTTTCATGACTAGTGGGGGGGGGGGGGGGGGGGGAGTTAGATGCTTACGGAGACTAATTAACATAGTTCGTCATGAGAAAAGTGTGTGATTTGCGGGGGTTACAAGGAACGGGAAAGACAGTGTTTATAGCTTGACCTAAGTAGGAGTGAAGGTTTACATGAGATGGAAACTCAATATGTAGAGTTTGACCCCCAAATGGCATTGGGCGTGTATGTGTGCTTACGGACGACGAGCTGCTAGGCTCATCTGGGAAAGCGACTCGGAAATCGGCATCCAGTCTACAGTGCTACCTAGGTTTGCGGGTTTTGCTATACCTTGCCGTACATGTTGCAGGTCCGGGCTACGTGCCGCTGAGGACGACTTGGCTCTCGAGGCAACCATAAAGGGACGTTACGTACAACTAAAAGACACAGATAGATGTACACCAGACTGTGAAGAAGACAAGGGCAGAACTAGGACAAAGTGATGCATGTCCTTGATTTTGTTCTTCGGTCGTTTTTACGCACTCTAAACAACCGTTCGTCTTTGGCCATATTACCCACCAACCCAGCGTACAGCATGGATTCAATAACAAAGCCCGATCCGGGTTGCATGCTTCCAGACCTACCAGGGGGGGTTCACAGCGACAAGGACGCGGTGAGGAATATTGGATGGAAGGAGGAAACGACACCTGCAACCAGAACAGAGATCAACACGGCCTGGTGCGTGTTGCTCCATTTGTATGCGAACCGCGACGACGTCTATTTCGGCTGCAGGCGCGGTGGTAGTGGCGGACGGTCGACTTGCTCCGTCATATCCTGCACCATCCACGAGCTGGACACGTTGGGAGATGTCGCTACCGCGATGTTGCGGCATTCGGAGGAGGGGCGGGCGCGGGAACAACCTCCGTCCCCGCCGGTGTCTTGCAACACGGAGACGCGGTTCACCGTGCACCGTGACGAACGCCGCGACGAGCAGCGAGGCGGCGACGTGGAGCTGCTGCCCCCGGGAACGGACCTCATACTGGATGCCTTGGAGGATCGGGAGGGCACAGTCAGCACCTACAAGATGACGTACCGGCCGAGGCTCATGTCCGACAGCGAGGCCCAGAACGTCGTGGCGACTCTGAGGGTTATCATGGCCCGTCTGCGCGCCGATCCCGACCAGGCGGTTGCCGCCCTTGGCCCCAGCCAGAGGGACGTTGAGCAGATGGTGTCGTGGCACCCGCACCCCGGTACCGGCGGGCTCAAACAACACTCTGACCTGATCCAGGACGTCTTTGCGGAACAAGTCCGCTGCCGGCCAAGCCAGCCGGCCATCGACGCGTGGGACGGCCGCATGACGTACGCGGAGCTTGACGAGGCCTCGGACATGCTCAAGGAAAGCCTCTGGCGGGAGGGTCTCGCCCCCGGCGCGGGCGTGCTCCTGTGCTTCGAGAAGTCGGTCTGGATGTCGGTCGCGATGCTGGCCGTTCTCAAGGCCGGAGGGTTCTGTTCGAACCTGGACCCTGATTATCCGAAGCGACGCGTACTGCAGATTGCCGAGGCGACAGAGGCGAGGCTGTTGCTAGCTTCCGAGGCCCAGCTGAGAAGGCTCAGGGGCTATGGGATACAGCAGCCTCGCATGATACAGGTGCCGAGCGGCGAAGCAAGTCCCCGAGACGGCGCATGTAAGCAGAAGCAGGAGGAGGAGGAGGAGGAGGAGGAGGAGGAGGAGGAGACGCGGCCTTCGCCAGGCAGCACGGCCTTTGTCGTCTTCACGTCTGGGAGCACGGGCGTGCCCAAAGGCATCATGGTCTCGCATGCCAATATCTGCACCGCAGCCGCCGCGCTCGGGGACGCTTTCGAAGTGGACGGTTCAACCCGGACGGTCCAGTTTGCCGCGCACTCGTGGGACGTGAGCTTACAGGACTACCTGGGCTCCCTACTACGCGGCGCCACCGTCTGCGTCCCGTCCGACGACGAGCGTTGGAACGACCTGGAGGGTTATGTGGCGAGAGCCGGGGCGAACTGGGCGCACCTGACGCCCACGGTTGCGCGAATGCTGAGCCCTGTAAAGATGGCGCAGCACCTGCGGACACTCCTCCTGGTAGGAGAGCCGATGGGCGACGCGGACATGACCGGCTGGGTCGATGCCGGCGTCCGGACGTTCAACGTCTACGGATGTACCGAGGCCACGTGGGTGCAGGTCACGACACCCAAGCGCGGTGCGCGAATCGGCCGCGGCCACGTCAGTGGTTACGGAATCAACACCAGGGTTTGGATCGTCAGGAGAGGAAACCGGGCACTCAGCCCGGTTGGTTGCACGGGCGAGATATGGCTCGAGGGTCCCAGTAGGTGATTCCAATCCCCCCTCCTTTCTTTCTAGAATCGTTGGACCGCGCTCATTCATAACACCCGTGGCGCTCAAGCGGTCACACAGGGCTATATAAACGTCGACCAGACTCTGGTCCGGGAGAGCTTCCCCAACAGCCCAGAGTGGGCGCAGAGCCTCCAGTTTGCTCGAGTCGGCGCCGGATTCGGACATGGGTTTTATCGTACAGGCGATCTTGGCCGTCTCTGCGCCGACGGGGCCCTAGAGGTGATGGGACGCACCGACACGCAGACAAAGCTCGGAGGACAGAGGCTCGAGCTATTCGAGGTGGAGCACCATCTGCGAGAGGCATCGGCTTCCCGCGCCGTTTCGGCTTTTGTGCCAAAGGCCGGGCCCTTCGCCGGAAGGTTGACGGCCGTCCTGAGAGCTCTGCCGGTGGAAACATCAAGCACCGAGGGCCACCGGTCTCCAGAGCCGCGACTCGGACGCTGCCCGTCCTCGGTGGCAGCAGACATGACGGCAAAACTGACAAAGGCCCTGCCGAGGTTCATGGTGCCCTCGGTGTGGCTGAGCATCTCCCACTTCCCCATGACATCCTCGGGAAAGCTGTCACGATCACTGATCCTGAGCAAGATCGAGGCCATGGCCGGGCAGCCGCCCTCCGAGTCTGTTAGAGACGAGAGTACCTGCACATCAGAGGTTCTCGCCGAGACGCCCCCTCCCGATCCCAGTCGCGGAGAAGAGGCCCTCCTGCAGCAAGTCTGCGCCAAGGTCCTGGGCATGGGGCCGGCAGCCGTTGACCTCAGCCAGTCGTTTATACGGCTGGGAGGCGACTCTATCCGGGCTATGCAGGTTGTGGCACGATGCCGGGAGGTCGGCAAGGGCATGACGGTCAAACTCCTCCTCACCAGCCCGTGCCTGCTGCAAGTGGCCGCCAAGGTCAGAGGGTCTCACGATTTAGAACATGTAATAGTTGCAGACAGGGAGATAAAGAACGGGACTGAAGACGGATCTGGCGGGCAGCAAGCAGCCGCGAGTAACGGCGTTGTTGGCAGACGGGCGTCGTGGCGACAGATGCCGGGCATTAGAGAAGCATTGTTGGCTCTGCCCACCGTTCGCCGCCTCGAAGACGTCGAAGATGTGTTCCCGCTATCCCCGATGCAAGAATCACTGGCGCTCAGCCTCGCCCGGCTGGGGGGGCGGTTCTACATGGACGAGTTTCTCTGGGAGCTACGGGCCGCCGACGGCTCCCGGATCGACCCGGAGCGTCTCGAGCAGGCGTGGAAGGCAGTGGTCGCGCGCCATCAGGCACTCCGGACCGTGTTTGTTGACGTCGACATGGACTCCGACGCCCGCGACGACGAAGCAACGGCAGAGGCGAGCATGCCGCTTCATCAAGCAGTCTTGCGACGAGGCCCGGCAAGCTTCAGCCGGGAACGGGCTGCAAGCGACGACGATGCGCGGCGCGTTGCGCGGGAGTCCCCCCGCATGCTGGACAAGTTGAAGATGAGCCATGACCAGCTCGTCCACGCCGGGCTACCAACGCACAGCATGCTGATGGTCTGCAACGGCGCGTCCGACGACGGACAAGGCCGGGGCGGTGGCAGGGTCTGGCTCAGGTTCGAGGTAAGCCACTTGGTGGAGGACGGCATGTCCATCCTGCCGCTGCTCCGCGACCTCTCCCTCGCGTACCGGCACGGGTGCAACATGGGGCCGCCGATGACGCCGATGACGGCCGGTGCCGAGTTTGTGAGGTACAGGCGAGACCGGCACAGGCGCGAAGCGAGCCTGGCTTACTGGAGCTCGTACTTGAAGGGGGCAGAGGCATGCCGTTTCCCCAGCCTCGTTGATACGGACTCCAACTCGGTTTCTGACTCGGGAGGGAGACGTGGGGAGCAACGCGAGGTGCAAGTGACGTTCGGCCATGGTACGCGCGGGCTGCAGCAAGCGGTGGCACGGCTGGACATCACGCTGCCCACCTTCTTTCAGATGGTCTGGGCACTGGTTCTTCACTTGTACACGGGGAAAACCAAGCTCGTGCTGGGCAACATCGACTCTGGGCGGAACGTGCCGGTCAGGGGTATCCAGGAGGCCTTTGGGCTCTTCATGGGGATGCTGGTCTGTCGAGTGGACCTCCTCCGCCGCCGCCGCGATGATGTTGGAGAAGAAGAGGAAGAAGGAGAAGAAGAAGAAGGGTATGTCCACGACCATGACGATGACGGGGAGCATGAAGATGGACGCCATCATGCCCCTGGCCGTACGCTTCTGGACATCATGAGGAGGATCCAGAGTGACGCGATCGAGGGGAGCAGCAAGCAGTCGTGCTCGCTCGCCGAGATGCAGCAGGCGGCTGGCCTGGTCCGCGACAGAAGCTCAGGGGTGCCGCTGTTCAACTCGGGCATCTCCTGCCGGCCTCTCGTCACGGAGGGGGATCAGGAGGACTTTGCGCTGCTCTTTAAGCAGGTGGAAAACAGGGAACAATCAGAGGTGAGTCCCGGTCAGCCAAGGGTTAGGGTTACCCGCTCGGCGAGTGAGCGAGCGAGCGAGCAAGTGAGCCATTGCATCAAAGGAGGGTATGCTGACACGTCGACACGTCGCAGATGGATGTCGCCTTGATCATAGAGACGGGTAAGGACGCCATGCGTGTCAAGATCCAATATCAGACAGACTTCATGAGCGACATGGCGGCGGTCAACGTCGCCGGGACGGCCGCCCACGTCGCCGCAGAGATACTACGCAACCCCCTGATGACGGCTCGCGATGTGGCCAAGCCGAGCCCTCACGACCTCGACCAGATCTGGAGCTGGAACAGGGAGTGCGTGCAGCCCGGCGGGAGAGTCATGCATTCCTTCGTCGAGGAGCGGATGCGGGCCAGCCCCGAGCGCGAGGCTGTTTGCAGCTGGGACGGCAACATGACGTACGGCGAGCTGGACCGAGCAACGCGATGCGTCGCCCGATACCTGATGGACTCATGCCACGTCGTCCCCGACAGCATCGTGCCCATCTGTTCGGAAAAGTCGCTATGGGCCATCGTGGCCATGCTCGGCGTCATGCGGGCCGGCGGGTGCTTCGTGATGCTGGACCCGAGCCACCCGGACTCCAGGCTCCTCTCCATCGTGGAGCAGGTCGACCCGCGAGTGATGCTGGCCTCGTCCAAGCAAGAGGGTCGTCTGAGCCGCCTGGCGAGAGAGTTGTATAGCAGCGCCGGCGCCAAAAATATCGAGGAGGAGGAGGAGGAGGCAATAATACAGGTCTGGGCCGTCACCGAGGACTGGGTCCGGCGACGACTTGTGCGGGACTCGGCCGCGGTCGAAGCCGCCGCCAGGTCCGGCCTTCCCGTATGCCGCCAAGTCCGGCCCGACCACTCCATGTACCTGCAGTTCACGTCGGGCACGACGGGGCTGCCCAAAGGGATCGTCATCTCGCACCGCAACTTCGCCACGGGCTTCGCGCGCCACTGCGCCATCTGCGAGGTGTGGCCCGACACGAGGGCGCTGCAGTTCTCGGCCTACAGCTTCGACTCGAGCATCGGGGAGATGCTCACGACGCTGACGGTGGGCGGCTGCGTCTGCAGCCCCTCGGACGAGGACCGCAACATGGACATCGTCGTCTTCATGGCGCGCACCCGGGTCAACTGGGCGCTGTGGACGCCTTCCTTCGCGTCCCTGATCAACCCGGAGGACGTGCCGGACCTCAGGTGCATGTGCCTGGGCGGCGAGCCGCTGCCGCCGTCGCTCGTCGACAGATGGTCGGACCGCGTCCGGATGGTCAACATCTACGGGCCGAGCGAGTGCAGCATGGCCGCGACGAACAACAGCCCCGTCACCCGGGACTCGTTCTCCTCCAACATCGGCCGGGCCCATCGCTGCGTGACGTGGATAGTCGACGAGAACGACCACGAGCGACTGCAGCCCGTCGGGGCCGTGGGCGAGCTGCTGATCGAGGGTCCCATCGTAGCTGACCGCGGCTACCTGGACCGCCCCGATGCGACGAGCCGCGTCTTCATCGGCGCCCCGTCCTGGCTGCGGGTCGGCCGACACGCCCGGCCGGACGCCCGGCTGTACAGGACAGGCGACCTGGTGCGGTACAGCTCGGACGGCACCATCAACTACATCGGCAGGAAGGACACGCAGCTCAAGATCAACGGCCAACGCGTCGAGCTCGGCGACATCGAACAGCACCTGCGCGTGTCCATGGCCCATATCCTCCAGGAGGCGTCTCCTCCCGTGGCCGTCGAGCTGCTCGGGCAGCAGCAACAAGAACATGAAGGATCCGAGGTGCTCGCGGCTTTTGTCGTTGTGGGTGCTGCCGCGCGCAGCAGCAGGAGGCACAAACAAAAAGGACAAGATGCCCTGAGCGGAGGGGATCAGGACCAGGATCAGGATCAGCCTCACGTGGAGGAGGCCCTGGCTGCCTCGGATCCCGAGACACTGGCCTCGTTCCGGTCTCTGGTCGAGAGGATCCGGCATTCAGCACTGCCGTTGCCGTCGTACATGATGCCGCGCATCTTTGTGCCGCTCAGGGCCCTGCCGACTACCACGGCCGGCAAGCTGGACCGCCGTGCTCTTCATCGAATCGCCGCCAGCCTGGGCCGCCAGCGTCTCGTCTCCTTCGGTCCTCAAGTCGACGAGGAGGATAAGAGCGATGCTGTCGTCGCCGCCACTGATGCTGCTCCCGCGGCCGAGCGGGAACCGGAACGGGAACCAGACCGGTCGAGAGAACCCGAAGGCGGCTCCATCGAGGACGTCCTAGCAGCCATGGTCGCGAGGCAGCTCGGGCTGGACACGGTCAGCATGCGTGACGACTTCTTCAACCTGGGCGGTAACTCGGTGGCAGCCATCCGTCTGAGCGGCATGGCACGCAGACACGGCCTCACACTGACCGTTGCAGACATATTCCAGAAGCCCCGGATTGCCGACATGGTCTCCAAGGTGCGTTCCCGAGCGGCAGCGGCGACAAAGACGACAACGGCCGTCAACGGGGATTGCAACGATCAAAGCTACAGAGGCCCGGGGCAATCCGAAGAGGGCCGAGACGTGCCGCCGCCGCCGCCGTCGTCGCCGCCGTTCCAGCTGCTCCGCAGCAGCGGCATCCTTCCGGACACGAGCAGCTCCATCCGGGGATTCGTACAGAGAGTAGCTGCCGAGTGCGGCATGACCGCGGGCGAGGTCGAGGACGTGTTCCCTTGCACGCCCCTGCAGGAAAACCTGATGGCCGTCTCGACACGCCGGACAACCAACCCGCAGCCGTACGTCAGTCACCAGACCTTCCTCCTCACTGACAGGGTCGACGTGGCGCGCATGAGCGCGGCCTTGCGAGCCGTCCTGCGCAGGCACGGTCTGTTGCGTAGCTACATCGTCTCCACGCCGCGGGGAGGGCTACTGGTGACGGCCAAGGAGCCGGCCGCATTGCAGTGCACCACCCATCACCACGACGGTCCTCTGGAGCCTTGGCTGGAGCAGCGGCGGGGACAGATGCGTTTCGACTACGGCAGTCCGCTGGTGTACTTTGCCATCGTGCACTGCTCCGGGGCCGGGCCCGAGCCTAACCGCAAGCACCGCATCGGCACCGGCCGACCCGACGGTACCAGCCGCAGATGTGTCCATGTCGTGTTCAGCGCACATCATTCCATCTTCGACGGATGGTCTCTCCAGTTGATCTGGGACGACATCGCGTCGGTCTACTGCCAACCACCGGAAGGAGAAGGACGAGGCGGAGGAGGAGAAAGTACGGCCGTAATAACAGCGGCGGCGGCGGCGGCGGCGGCGGCGGCGGCTCCTCCACCCTTCCAGGCGTTCGTGAGCTGGATACGACAGACGGCCGGCACGGACTCTGAGGAGTTCTGGCGCCAAACATTGGCCGATGCCGACGCAGACGAGAGCACTTCCTTCCCCGCCGTCCGGGCCGGCCATCAACCCGTGGCCCGCGCAAGGCTCACCCGGGTTCTCCCTCAACCTCGGAGGCCCCGGTACTCGGACTCCAGCGTCACGGAGCCGACTCTGATCTATGCAGCCTGGGCCCTCGTGCTCGCGCTGTACGGCGGAACGCCGGGGGCGACCTTCGGGGTGGTCCTTTCCGGCCGGGATACGCCGGTGCCGGGGATCGAGCAGCTGGTCGGCCCTACCATGGCGGCTGTGCCTAGCCATATCCCGGTGCGCCGGGACGAGAGCATCGCCGACTTTCTCGGCCACGTACATGGGACTGCGCTGGCAATGACGGCGCACCAGCACCTCGGGCTTGACCGCATCCTCCGGCTCGGGCCCGGGCCCCGGGCCGCCTGCGACTTCAAGTCCGTCGTCGTCGTCCAGCCGGCCGAGTACTCGACCTCCCTGTCCGAAGCGCAGGCGAGAATCGGGGTCCGCAGCACCGTCGATCCGGCCTCGGGCGACGACGCGTTCCATCCCTACGTCCTCAACGTCGAGTTCTCTCTCACGATGGACGACTCGCTCTCCGTCGAGGTCCGCTTCGATCCGGACTGCATCGAGGAACACCGTGTCTGCAGCATGGTCCGCTCTTTCGACTTACTGTGCCGCGAGATTGGACGGACCAGCCCCCAAGACACTCTCGCCGGCGTCATGGCGGCTCTGGGGGACGACGGCCCCAGCTCGGCAGTTTCCCCCCCCAACCCACGTGTTTTCCCCATTTTCACCGAGCACTATGCTCGCATGGACGACGTGATCGCCTACCGGGCAGCACGGCAGCCCGACAGCCAGGCCCTGGTGGCGACGGAGGTCTCACTTACCTACCGGGAGCTCGAGTCTCGAGCCACTCAGCTCGCTGGCCGTCTTGCCGCGAGCAGGCATTGCCTTCCGGCCGGCGCCGTCGGGGGGGGAGACCGGTTCATAGCCATTTTCATGCCCAAATCTCCCCATGCCGTCGTGGCGATGCTTGCCATCTGGAAGGCCGGGGCGGCTTTCATGCCCTTGAACACCTCCCACCCGCCTTCTCGTGTGTCCAGCCTCGTTTCCCGAGCCGGCGTTACGCTCGTGCTCTGCACACGCTCGACAAGCACCGTTTTTGACGGCGTCAAGGGCGTCGAAACTTGGGTTCTTGACGCAAAGCCTGACCTCGCCGCTTCTGCAGCTACTGCCACGACCCGAGATGGCGACGTCCTCCTCCGCCGGGCCGTGGGTGAAAGCGTCAACGGCAACGACGGTGCATCCGCTCGTCGTCACCACCACCACCACCAACAACAACAGCAGCGCCACCCCGATGACGCCGCCTACCTGCTCTACACGTCGGGGAGCACCGGCGAGCCGAAAGGCGTCGTCGTCCAGCACCGGGCCCTCTGCAGCAGCATCGCAGCCCAGACGGCCGCGATCCGGTGCACCAGGGACACGCGCATGCTGCAGTGCGCCAACTTCGCCTTCGACGCGTCCATCTTGGAGACGTTCGCACCGCTGAGCGTCGGCGGATGCGTCTGCCTGCCAGACGACGCCGAGCGTACGGGCCACCTGGCCGGCTTCATCCGCCGTCACGGCGTCAACGCCTGCACGTTCACGCCGTCCCTCCTGCGCCTCCTGGACCCGGCGGACCTGCCGGGCTTGCGGACCGTCGTGGCGGGCGGCGAGCCCCTGACCAGGGTCGACATCGAAGCCTGGCTCGGCGGCCCTCGCGGCACGGAGAGGAGCATGTACAACGTCTACGGCGTGACGGAGGCCTGCGTCGTCTCGGCCGTCATGCCGGTCGGCCGGGACACCAGTCCGCAAATGGTCGGCTACCCGGCCGGGGCTTCCCTCTGGCTCGTCAGTCCCGTGTCCGGGAGCCTCGCACCGCCGGGGGCCGTCGGGGAGCTGTTCGTGGGAGGCCCCGGTCTGGCGCGCGGATATCACGACGACGAGCCGAGAACGAAGGCGTCCTTCATCGACGAGCCCACGTGGTCGACCGGATGTGCCGACCCACGCGTCTACCGTACTGGCGATCTAATGTCGCGCAACCCGGACGGGTCGCTGTCGTTCCTCGGGAGAAGAGACAGCCAGGTCAAGATCCGCGGCCAGCGCGTCGAGCCCGACGAAGTCGCCGACATGATCCGCCGCTGGGTGTCCCGGCGGGCCTCGGCCGTCCTCGTCCCCAACGCAGCCGTCACGGCCTTCTGCCCTGCCGACTGCCTCGTGGCCATCGTCTCAAGCGCGCGACCCCTGCGGCGTGGCGGCGGCGGCGCCGACGATGGTGATGGCGATGGTCATCAGGTCTACGAAGTCGACGGGGTAACGTGTTCTTTGGCGCTGCATTCCGCCATGACCACGGCTAATACTGCTTCTGCTATCCCCGGCAGCCGGCAGCAGCAATCACCCCTGGCCCTCGAGGCCGCCGAGCTGGATGCCTTCCTGCGCCGGCATATCCCCGAAGTCATCGTCCCCAAGGCATACGTAGCCGTGAACGAGGTGCCCGTCACGCCGTCGGGCAAGCTGGACAGCCGCTGGGTCCATCGATGCCTCGAGACGCTCGTAGACAAGCACAGATTGGTCTTCCGAGGTTTGGTACGTGTCTCTTCTGCTTCGTCTCCAGGCGCCGAGCCCGGACGAGGCGAGACGGAGGCGACTCATCACCTCGCGGGAGATGCCGGCCTTCTCCAGGAGTGCTGGGCAGAGGTTCTCTCCATCCGCCCCGTGACGCTGATCGGGCCGGAGGCCAACTTCTTCGACATGGGGGGCAGCTCCGTCACCGTCATCCGCCTGGTCGGCATGCTGCGCAATCGTGGACGACTGCTCAAGTACGAGGACGCCGTGGCGCACTCTCGGTTGGCGGACATGGCAAACACTCTGAAGCAGCTGGAAGAAGAAGAACAAGAGCAGCATCCGCCGCTGCAAGACGGCTCGGACGGTCATGTCGCTGCCGCCGCCGCTGCCCCTCCCGCTTCCGCCCCCGGCTGTCCCTCGGAGCTCGTCGGGGGCAAAGAGTCGCTCGACTCCATCCTCGGCCAGCTGATGCCCAGCTACGGCATAGACGGAGCCCACGTACGCGACGCGTACCCCTGTACACCGATCCAGGAGGCCTTCATGGCCATGAGCGTCGTGCACCAGGGCGCCTACATTTCTTTCCACACGCTCGAGGTCGCCGCCCGGGAGTTTGAGAACTTCCGGACGGCGTGGCACTCGATCCATCAGCGCCACGAGCTGCTTCGCACTCGCATCGTGCCCTGGCTCGGCAGCGAGGATGAGGCCGGCGGCCCCGGTGCCCCCGGCGCTGGGCGGCCCAGCGCAGCACTGCAGGTCGTCATGGCCCCGGAGTACGAGACCGCAGACCAGTATTGGCAAAGTACGCCGGATGTCGAGAGCTTCATCCGCGACGTGCACGGGCGGCACGCGTACGGCGAGCGGCTGGTCAGACTGGCCCGGGTGGAGGCGTCGCGGGAGGAGGACGGCGGCGGCGGCGGCCAGGCGGAGACGGCGCCGGTCCAGGTCATCGTTGCCGCACACCATGCCATCTACGACGGCTTCTCCATGGGCATGCTCTGGCGAGAGCTCGGGGCCGAGATGAAGTCGCTCAGGAAACAGACCGCGGGCCGCACCGCCACCGGCGCCGATGTTGCGGTTACGCCGACGAGAACCCCTTTCAGGGCGTTTGTTCGGCACCTCTGTTTCCTGGACCGGGCCGAGATGACGGCCTTCTGGAGAAAAGACCTTGAAGGGGCCCCGGACTGCACCCACTTCCCTATGGCGCTGCCGCCGCCGCCGCCAGCTTCCTTCACGTCGTCGTCGTCGTCATCGGTCGCAAGCCGGCCGGCGGCGTCGTCGACCCTGACGGGCAAAGCCACCCTGGGCAGCTCCTCGGCCAGGTCCAGGTACCGGCTTGTCGACCTGGCTCACGGTGCCTGGGCCCTCACCGTCTCACACTATACCGCCAACCCCGAGGTCGTGTTCGGCGTCGTCTCGTCTGGCCGCGAGCCCATCGCCGGGCTGGCGGACGTGGACCCGGAGACGCTGGCCGGGCCGACCATGGCCTCGGCGCCTCTGCGGCTGCGCGTCGACTACTCGCAGCCGGCATGCGACTACCTCGACCAGGTACGGCAAAAGGGGGTCCTAATCACCCGCTTCGCCCACCTCGGCCTCCAGAGAATCGCCCGAGCGAGCCCGGATGCCAGTCACGCGTGCCGCTTCCAGAGCATCGTCGTCGTGCAGCCCACCGTCTCGCCGTCCTCGTCGTCTGCGTGGCATCTGGGAGCCCCGGGGGTCGTCGACAGCGACGTCGAAGAGTTCCTGGCCGGCATCAAGCCCGTTCAGACGCCAGCGGCCGCAGCCATGTACCCCCACCCCCTGATGGTGGAATGCCTGCCGCCGTCGCCATTGCGGAACGACTTGGACGACGACGGCGGCGACGACGACAGCGGCCGAGACGTCCGCGTCAACCTTGGCTACGACCCACGTCTTGTGCCGCATGATGCCGCGCGCCGGATCCTGCTGACGTTCACCGGCATCCTCTCCAAGCTTGCGAGCGAGGACGCCATGAGCACCCCTCTGTGCGAGCTGCCGTGCTTGACAACCCACGACGCCGCTCTCCTCCATCAGCGCGCGGAGAGCCACAAGCCGCGCCCTGTCGAGTCGTGCGTCCAAGACTTGGTCCACCGACAGACGGAGTTGCGCGCCCACGACACGGCCGTCGACGCGTGGGACGGCCGGCTCACGTACGCCGGGCTCGCGGCAGCGTCTGAGCGCTTCGCGAGCAGGCTGAGGGAGGAGCTCGGCGACTGCCACGGTAGGGCATTCCCGATGCTGTGTCGCAGGTCCAAATGGGCCATCGTCGCCATGCTGGCCGTCTGGAAGGCTGGCGGACTCTTGGTGCCCTTGGACCCTGCCCATCCTGTCCAAAGACTGAGGCTCGTTGCCAGCACCGTGACCGCCTCCGCCTTGCTCGTCACCTCGGACTGCCTTTCCGCCGGTCAAGATATCGGTTATCCGTGTATAGTCGTCGACGACGACGACGACGACGGCGGCGCCGATGCCGGCACGCGGGGCCAAGACAAGGAGAACCGACGGGTACGAGACGAAAAGGCTGGGCCGGGGCGTCCCGAGCCGTCGGATCTGGCCTACATACTGTTCACGTCGGGCAGCACCGGGAGGCCCAAGGGGGTCATGGTCGAGCACAGATCGCTCAGCACGTCGCTCGTCGCGCTGGGCACCAGCCACGACATGGGCCCCGCGACCCGCACAATGCAGTTTGCCTCGTACGTCTTCGACTCGATGCTGGTCGAGATCTGGGGCACGCTGGCCTTTGGCGGGTGTGTGTGCGTGCCGTCGGACAAGCAGAGGATGGACGACGTGGCCGGCTTCGTTGTAGACGCCAAGGTGAACCACCTCTTTTGCACGCCGTCCCTCTCCCGGACCATCCCCCCCGAAGCAGTGCTTCCGTTGCCTCTCCGGAAGCTGAGCCTCGGAGGCGAGGCCATGTCGCAAAACGACGCGGACCGCTGGTGTTCGCGCGGCGTCTGGCTGTCAAACGGCTACGGGCCGAGCGAGGCCTGCATCGCCTCGGCCATGCAGGTCACGACCCGGGAAACCCCTCCCGGCACCATCGGCTTCCCCCTGGATAGTTGCAGGCTCTGGGTCGTCAACCCCCTCAAGCAGCAACACGGCGGCCTCCACGAGCTGGCGCCCGTCGGGGCCATCGGCGAGCTGTACATAGAGGGCGTCAACGTGGCCCGCGGTTATCTCCACGACGACGCCAAGACGGCCGCCGCCTTCATGGAGCGGCCCCCCTGGCTCGACCGGCTCGGGTGCGGATCCGGGTCCGGTAGCGGTGGCACAGGTCCCGATCACGGATACAGGGTGTTCCGCACCGGGGACTTGGTGTGCTATAACCCGGACGGAAGCTTGCGCTTTGTCGGCCGCAAAGACGCCCAGGTCAAGCTGCGGGGCCAGAGGGTCGAGCTGGGCGAGATCGAGGAGGCCATCCGTCGACGTGTCCCGCCGTCCGTCACCGTGGCAGTCAGGACTTTCAAGCCCGGAGCCACCGGCGGCGGCCGTGACGAAATGGACGCCCGTGCGCGGTCGTCGTCCATGCTGCTGGCCGCCTTCGGCATGGGTTCGAGCTCGAGTTCGAGTTCGAGCTTAGCAGAGGATGACGGTGACCGAGGGCACGGGGGCGCCGAGGAGGGGGGGGCGTCGAAGACGCCCGTGGTCGACGACCCGGATACGCTGTCGGCCGTGCGAGCCATCACGTCCCGGCTCCAGCAGGAGCTCGGCTCGGTTCTACCGTCTTACATGATACCCGACGGCTACGTGCCCCTCCGGTCGCTGCCGGTGACCAGCTCCGGCAAGCTGGACGAGAGGACGCTGCGGGAGCAGGTCGAGTCGCTCACGCCCGGCGAGATCGCTTCCTTCTCCTCCCTGCCCGGCGAGCCTTTTTCGGGCGCAGCGCAAGCCGAGGAAGCGCCGCTGTCAGCTCAAGAAACGCTCCTTGCCGACCTCTGGACTCGCGTCCTCTACGGCCATTCGAGCACCGAAGGCAGCGCCGAAGGCAGTCCGGTCAGGGGGCCGAAGGCGGGCGGCGCGGCCCGGGTGCGACGGGGGGACGACTTCTTCAAGCTGGGCGGTGACTCCATCACGGCCATGCGGCTGGTGGCACTGGCTCGGCGGTTTGGCTTGGGGCTGACTTGGCTGGACATCGTCACCAATCCCACACTGTCCTCGATGGCGAGCGCTGCCCGGGGCTCCCGGGGCACGGAAGACAAGACGACGGGGCCGGACGCGGCGGGGCGCCATAATGACGACGACGACGACGACGACGATAACGATGACGGGTGGAGGGCCGAGGCGTTCAGGGTCGCCCAAGACGCGCGATGCCTGCCGGCCGGCGTGACCGCCGCCGACCTTGTCCCCCCGACGCCCGCCCAGGAGTACTTCATGAATGCCTCCGTCTCATACCCCGGCGCACACGTGTCCAGCCTCATCTTCTCCCTCGACCCGGGTCTGGACGTGGCCAGGATACGTTCGGCCTTTGACCGCTGCGCCGACTGGTTCCCCATCCTGCGCGCCCGCCTCGTCAAAGTGCCCATGCCGACGACGCACCGGGGCAAAGGCACATGCATGGTCCTGGTCGTCGCCCCGGAGCTGCCGGCGTGGCGGCTGGCGTCTGGGTCGCTCGAAGACGCACTGGAGGCCGAGCGGCGTGCCGGCCTCGGCCTGGGACAGCCCCTGTCCCGCTTCTGCCTCGTCGAGCCGGAGCCCTGCCCGGGGAACGACGCGGGCTCGGGTGACCGAGGCCCCCGGCACATCGTCTGGACGCAGCATCACTCCTGCTACGATGGTTGGAGCATGCGCCTGCTTCTGGACCACGTCGAGAAGGCCTACCTGGACGTGGCGTACCGGCCGCCGCCCGGCCACCTCCCCTTCGCAGACTTCGCTGCCCACGTCCGCGGCCTCAACCGGTCCGCGGCGGCGCTGGCCTTCTGGTCCTCGTATCTCGACGGCGCCAAACCGTCGTCCCTCTTCCGTTACGACCGCCTGGCCGACCCGCGCAGGTCACAGTCCGCGGAGCGCCGGCTTCCGCTGCCCGTGTACGAGCCGCGCGGCGGGGGCGCCGCGACGACGGTGACGACGGCGACTCTGATCGTCGCAGCGTGGGCCAAGGTCGTCGGCCGTCTCTCATCTTCGCCGCGCGACGTGACGCTGGGCTACACGCTGAGCGGCCGCGCGGGACCGCTCGCGGGCATCGAGTGCATCGTCGGCCCGCTGCTGAACAGGATCCCGTTACGCATCCGCCTTCCTGGGGACGACGCCGAGCCGGCCGAGCCGACCCTGCTGGCCGTCGTGGAGGCGACGCACAAGGCGCTGCTGCAGGTCTCGGCCCGCGCGGACTGTCCCCGTCACGGCCAAGCTCCCTGGTATCCGGACAGGGTTCCGTTGGATCTTGTCGTGCATCCCCGCGGCACTTCGGGGGGGTTGATCGGCTGCCGGGGGCTTCTATCGGGTTGCGGGCGACCGGGGCGCGACTCGCAGCTCCCGCCCCTGGGCCCTTTGGCGTTGAGGTGACCGTCCTGGACGACGCCATCAAGGTTGTGGCCTTGTGGGATGGTCGTGCTGCCTCTAGAGAGCTGGTCGACGCCGTCGTCGACGACTTTGCCGCCGTTCTCGACGAATGACTTGGCCTCGCGGCCCAGGCGAGAAGGCATAAGGGAGAAAGCAACGCCAAGGAGACTGGGTTGCTTCTGAAAACGCCGCATTGTTCTAGATAATCTCATTTGTGCTTACTTAGTTGTATCATATTCTATTAAAAGCTGTCAAGGTTCTCCATGATCCAGTTCCGCGTGAGTGCAAATGTGACTTCGACCTCCGCAACCAGCTTCGTGTTGAAGTTGCTTGTGTTGCCCCGAGAGACAGCAACAGCAACAACAATAACAACCGGGAGGGCGCTTTATCAAGTCTGACCGAGCCTCGGGCTTCCTGGGTCATCGTGATAAGCGTCGGCATTACCCATCGCATGTCTGCAACCTGCGGGCATCTTTGAAATACAGGCAAAGACTGTTGCCCGCCCGTGCCACCTCCAGGTCTTCACTCCCCAGGCCCCTCTCCGGCCTGGAGGCTGGACTTCCGCTATGTTGTATTTGAGCAAGTAAAAACTATTAATTAATAGGCTGTTGAGAGATCCATCCATGACTCGTCGGCTTCGTCGACTTTGACTGGCAGCAGCACAACCATACAACAACATTAAAAGCACGTCAAATTCGTCATCCACAGTACTTGACTCTGGCAGTCAACCCAGCGCTTTGAGAAGCCGTTGATCCATTTAATCGGTGCTCTATATCCCAACCTGGAAGACGAACCCCTGAGTCGAGTCCGTCTTAGGTAATGTCGTGGAGTTACCACTTCGGATGGGAAAAGACGTAGGAGAAAGGCTTGAAGTTTATTTGTAAACCCTAACGTGTATGTGGTATTCCTGCATCTAACGCCGTACTGGTATCTCAGATATCCCCAACAGTGGAGTAGGATGTCCCCAATGTGGTGTAGAATGCGGTGTACCAATGCCTCCTTTTTCTGGTCAAAGCTGACTTTCCGGTGCCTACTTCAGCGTATTGATATCATTATCTTAATCCTACCCTTATCCATTACGGAGCCTCTAATGCACCCATGTGCTTCGATGCAAATAAGTTGATGTCCTGTCATCACATCAACAGTTGTCTTCCACCTATTCCAAGTAGTTGGCCGACTCACCAATATCTGGGGCACCTTGAACGAACTCTGCTGTACGTACAGACTTTCGTGAAGGCGTCTGGCGATAAGTATAAGCTGGCGTGATGCTCTATAAACAAACTTTGTCATACAGTCTGTACCTTCGGGCATACCCCAACTGCCATCCATTCCCTTAGCCCTGTCGTCTTCTCCCCTCCCCCCTCTTCTCAGGCCTCCCTATGATGCTCCAACCGATCGTCAATGTTACGAATGAACCGGCATCCCTGATCCGCAGCACCCTCGGGACAAGAAAGCACGAGAAAACAGAAAAAAGCCGAACGCCATGGCAAACATCGTTTACGTGCTCACGAGCAACAACCGCGGCATCAGCCTCGGAATAGTCAAAAAGCTACTCGCCCGTCCAGCAACAACGGTGTTTGTCAGTGTTCGGAATGAAGCCGCCGCAGCGACCCTCACGACCAACACCGCCTCGATTGATAATGGCGACGGTACATATCATGATTCTGGACTCTTCTGTTGCGGTCGCCCCGTTAGCTATCCGACAAGCCTTTGCCGTTGCGACGGCGGGTACTATAGACCGAGTCGATGTCCTCGTCGACAATGCGGCCATGGTATCACCGCTGACCCCGAGTATCACTACCACCGCAGAGGATCTCTGCACCTCGTTTGAAGTTAATACGATTTCCCCATTACTTACCTTTCAAGGCCTTTGGCCTCTTATGGACAAGCCACGCTCTGCGGGCGAGTGCCCGCCCAAGTTCATAGCCATCACTTCTTGCGTCGACTCGATTGAGTGTTTGGAGCCGGTTCCGGCCGACTCCTACGGCCCGAGCAAGTCAGCGTTGAATTGGATCACAAACTGGCTACACCTCCAGCACAATGATAGCGGTCTCGTCAGCGTCGCTATCCGCCCAGGGTGGGTTCAAACTGATGCGGGGCGTTTCTCGGCCAAGTCCTGGGGCTATAAGCCCGGCCTCCCAGATACTATCGAGGACAGCGCGGACGAAATTCTCAAGGTTACAGATAAGGCTACTCGAGAGACAGCCTCGGGGAAGTTCGTGTCGCAAACAGGCAAGGCTTTCCCGTGGTAAGAGCTGAATGTAAAGGAGAGAGACACCTCAATAGTAATTAAGAGTACGCGGCATAGCTGCGTACCACCACGTGTCTCATTCCTGGTTGCCTTGCTATCTTGGTTCTTTCTTTCTTTTACTACACCAGGTCTCCCTATGTAGTATCTTTAGCGAAACTATGGGGGATGCGATCCAATATCCTTGCTGCGGGTTGGAGTAGCCGTCTCAGTCCTGCAAGATCACTCAATAATAGTACAGTGAAATGTAAGAAGTCTGGGCTCACCTATTGAAGATGGCACATTGTGTGGTGAGCCCAAACTTCTTACATGTCACTGTACAGTCGATATTCCAACTCATGAAAATTACATCAACCGATACTATAAGGGATGCGATCCAATATCCTCGCTGCGGGTTGGAGTAACCGTCTCTGTTCTGCAAGATCACTCAATAGAAGTACATTCGATATTCCCGACGACCACAGGACCCGTCATCGTTTCTTCCCGGGAGTACGGAAAACTCCATGGCCAGCCGTCTTTCCATGTCGTACAGTGAGTCACATTAAACAGATTGTATCGGCTTTATGAACGGAGTATCAATGGGCCGATAACCTAACATGTAATTCATACGGTCCATTCTCACCTCATGAAAATTACATCAACGTCATGCCCCGATCACAAAGTTGGCCCTAATAAACCGCGTCAGGCCCAAGCACACGTCAACATCGATGTATACAATATATAGAAGTCATCATACCACTGTATACCAGATTGGTCTTTTGATTCAATTCCTACTGGCCATGCCATGCATGCTCAGGGTTGAAGCTGCCGGACCATCGATAACCCTCTTGCATCCAAAGACTCCAGCATCAGTCCCAAGCACCATCCAACTATGGACTCATACGAGGTTTATTGAATATCCGAGCCTTCCTACACTTCCGCAAGCATGTCGGATCTATTCCAGCTGGCCAACATTAACGTTATTGTAACTGGCGTGGGAGGGTACAGACTTCAAAGTGCTGCCCAGGCTGCTTCTAGTGTTAGTCTAATACAAAGTAGAAGCATCAGAACACAGATTTCACTGTTGCTTGCCAAGGCTGGCGCCAACCTGCTCCTCTCAGATTCATCTGCGGAAGCCCTCTGCAGTCTCTAGGCGACTTTTGAAAGGCACGGCCCACAACCAGGCATGCTGTTGTACAGAATATGCAATATATCCCAAGAAGATATAGAAGAGTCTCTTGTAAAGCATTTTAACAAACATAGTAGTGTAGATGTTATTTCTAATAGCGCCAGTGTGTTCCCTTCAGGTGAAAGCGATACAGTTAAAGTGTTGTAGGAGGCGTAGGACCTGGCATACAATGTTAACACCTGGTACACCGTACAGCTACAAGCACACAGTCCTAAGCATAAGACGACACAGAAAGACAAAGGGGATTACAATTAACACTCCCCCCATCGTCAAGTCAATCAGCTCAGCAACTACACAGATAGCATACACAACAAGCAAAGGAGCAATCATAGCCATAACGCAAGAACCCGCCATCATGCACACTGGAGAAGGAACCCAGTTCAACGCGCTCTGCCCCAGCTCACTCAATACGCCCCTAATTCAGCACTACCTCAGCGCCAAGAGTACAAGGAGGGCGAGAAGAGAGTTTGTCGCAATAACCTCATGCATTTCCACTGTCTATAACAGCTCTGTCAGGTGCTGTTGCACGTGACGTTTCACATTCACTTGCCTATATATAGGACCTTACTTTCGTTATTTCTACTTACTGAGAATCAAGCCTTTTAGACCTCAATTCCAATATGCCCTACGGTGTGCTCTAACTCATGACAGTTATAAGCCTAGCTCCTGTCATTGCTATTTACACTTTACATACACAACGTATCAACATCTTTACAAAAAAAGCACACTTCACGTACCCCACCAACAGCAAAAATGTCTAAACTCTGTCTTGACATGTTCAAACATTTTTGCTGTTAGTAGGGTACATGAAGTGTGCTTTTTTTTGTAAAGATATTGATACGGTTTGTATATAAAGGGCAAATAGCAATGATAGGAGCTGGGCTCATAACTGTCATGTAACAAAACGATACCGTTAGTTACGTGGGCAGTAATAGTAGCTTATATATCGTGACAGAGGTTCATCTGCCCCAGGGCAGGTTTCGCAAGCCAATTGAACAAGCCGCCGTGGCTTTGCTTTTAGTCGGCGGTTCCAGACATACTTTGCCTCATCGTTGATTCACATCCGCTCCGGCCTTAACAAAGAGCTCCGCGATCTCTGTCTTTCCCAGCTCAGCAGCCAAATATAATGGCGTGCGGTTTTGTTGATCCTTCATATGGACCCATTTCCGCCCGTTTTCACCCAAATTGGCACAACATTCGAGCAATACCGTGAGGAGAGAGATGTCATCTTTCAGCACGGCGCTGTGGAATAAGCCCAGCCCTGACTCGTCCTGGACTGCTCCGAGGTTGGCTCCCAAGTCCAGACAGCACTTCACGGTTTCCATTTGCCTCATTTCCACTGCCCAGAAAAGGCTCGACTTGCCCGACTTGCTCTTGCGCTCGAGATCTGCACCGTTTTGTGCGAGAAGCTTCACAATCTGAACGTGGCCTCGTGCGGCGGCTGCCAGAAGCGGCGTGGACCACTCGTCGTCATCCACCAGTGACAGGTGCCGTCCTGCAGTGGCGGGCCCATCATGATGTCCAGATGCGGAAGGGCGCCTTGCCAATTGTGACTTGAGCGAAAAAGCTGCGTCCTCTTCCGTCGGTCCAGACTGATCCGCGCTATCGAGAGGGTTTGGAGAAGTATGCGCAGATAGTCTTCTGCTTTCTCCCAGACCAGAGGGTGACGTGGTGCACTGTGAGGTCGAGGGTGTGTTGATACCCACATTGGTGCTCGGCTCGCCGAGAGACTCGGTGCTGACACCGAGCAGCGGATCAAATGTGTCCGAACCAGGGGATGAAGAGAATTGAAAGAAATCAGACGGCGAGACGGGAGTAAACTAGCAAGATCGAAAGGTCAGGCAATGTCCAGCTCTGTTCGGCTCTCTTCGTGGCCGTCTCGAATAGTAGTACTTACCGTTGCGACGACTTCTGCTCGCGGAGACGTATCTTTACCTGCTTGAGGCTCATTTGCCCTCACGTAGATGGTGTCATTGCTTGGCGCCGGCGGTGTACGAGCCTGTGCTGGCCCCGGCATATCTACGCCAGGAACCCTGAAGTCCAAGTCCAAGTCCAAGTCTCCCAACTTACTGCCGTAAGCTACACTAGCATTTCGTCCGGAGGTGCCAATTTGAATCGAGGATTGTTGTGTTTTTGCTGGAACGATATCCAGGCAATGTTCAAGATCTATGCTCGATGATGCTTCCAATGAAGTATCTAACCAAGAGCTATAGCTGCTCTGTTCAATCATATGGCATTGTTTTTGCATGGCCTCGTGGGCCAGCAACATTTTATGGGCATTCTCAAGGAATTGCTTCTGCCGCTCCCCTATATTCAGATTAGCCCAAAGCTTAGTTTTTTGTCCCGTCCGCCAAGATCAAGAAACGGAGCAGCGTCGGATGGAACATACTATAGCGGCGTTGAGCAATACGGTTCTGGGTTCTGCGTCTCTCATTCACATGTTCAATTTGGGCTTGAGATTTTTCCTTCCTTCGGGTCATCGGCATCTGTAGAGTATTCGTCGTCAAGCAGGCCTTTTAAGCATCATGCCTTGCCAGCGCTTGGCCTACGTAGCCTGAGTTGGTTGTACTAGGCGTTCGTCTTATTTGGCAGGACGTACACAATCCAGCCTGAGGAAACTCGAAACCCTGAGGGGTTTACCTTAGTTTGAACCCGACCAATTGCTTGATTCCTCCGAGGTTTGTACACAGCAGATCAACTGCAATCGTACCCGCCTTCGCTGAAGCTGGTGTTGAGTCTTCGATTTGACATGTGCTGTGAAGTGGTGGCAAAAACACGTTATTTGCCTCCCACAATCCCAGGCTTTATATATTTCCAATAGCGGAGGAAGTTTTCATGATGCTGATTTTAGTCTGAACGTTAAGCACGTACTTGAACACTAACCTGCAAGAAAACGTAGATGGTACCCTGATGCATGCCACGTGTCATGGAGGGGACAAACCCAAAACTCATGTGTCTCCATCAGTGATATTCAACTGCTACTCAATGTGTACTGAACTGAAACCTAAAGTTGCATTACTGAATAGATGGGGGAAAAAGCAACGGGCGGGGAGAAGAACTCCACTGTAACTAACCCTTTGAGTGCCAGGTGACCCCATTTCTGCCAAGGGCGGGGCAGAGCCGATGCATTTACAGCATGAAGTCCGACAAGCCAATAGTTTCGTAGTACCTCTATTTATATGGTGTTTTGCCTATGCCATAAGTACCAGTAATCGTAATCTCTATATTTACACAAAGGTACTCTATGTATTGTAATCTAAGTAGCCCTACTAGGTCTTCTGTTGCTGTGCTTGCCTATTACTAGATACCTTACCTAGAGGTTACCTCTTTTAGTAACTATAATAGGAGCAATATAAGTTGCACCCTTATAAACCCTAGCAATAGTCTACAATTGGTATACCGTATCCTCTGACTTAACTGAATAACCGCACAGACCATACGCTAGACCCCTTATAGAAAGCGGTCAATCTATTTCTACACATACCCACCCATGTAACCCTAACCCTTGCCGCCTAACTTGCTGCTGACGTAAATGACTCCCTGTATTTGCCACATCTAGATCCCTGTTTCTGCCACCACGCCAGCCCCTTTTCAGCAGCCCGCGGTCTGTGCGGTTATTCAGTTAAGTCAGAGGATACGGTAAACGTATTGACCTTATAGAGAACATTATAATTTTGATAATAATGTTAGTGATAATGTTAAAATTAGTGGTAGTTGCGAGCCAAATAATATGCTAAACTAATGTATGGTCATGTATGTCCGAAAGTGAGGGGTAAAAGTGGGCAGGGGTCTACCAAGGGGTTAGTGGGGTCACCGGGCACTCAAAGGGATAAGCCAGTGTCCCCAAAGATGTGCTCGTCCAATCGAAATCCGCCATTCATATCTGTACTTCTGACGAGACGCAAATACTTAGTATACTAAAAGTCAAAACGGGACTAAAGAGATCAGCAAATCTTGGGGGTTTCAGATGTTCTGATTTGCATTGTAACAGAGAAACCTAACTCCTCACACTGAAGGAAATTAGTTTTGGGTGTTGGTTGTAAAGTAACGCGTCATGGGAGGGGCAGAAAGTAGGCAAGTTGACATATCATCCTGCGCTCTGTTTGAGGATTAATTGCAATGGGCAATAGCTACTGCCAACACGCAGACCAGGTGGCAGACGGTACACCTACGAATTGAGGTTGAAGAAGTCGGCAGTTCTCTTTGATTTCTAGTAGCTTTAATCAAATTCCATTAGACTACCGAGCAGATACTATAGGCTTTTTTGCAGTTAAGGTAGCCTTCGGCATGCTGCTCTGAGCCGCTACAAGCGGAAAAGCACAGGGTCCGTGGTTGACAACCAACCAAGAACAAGCAGCTAGGTTGTAGGTTTCTCTCGGAAGCGTCAATTAGGTTTAGAAGCTTGTCACGCAAAAGCCAACGCCATTAATTACAGGCAGCACAACTAACGCCTTATATCACCTCGTGACACACACCCCCAGATCCCAGGTAGCCCCACTTATATGGATCTGCTCTAGGGAGGAAGCCTCTATAGCCCCCCGAAGGTCCACACTCAGAACCCCTAGGGCCAATACTGCCACAACTCTTTAACCTTCTAATTAGGTGCATCTCGCCAAAGTCTAGGTGGTTGCTGTATGCCTTTAGGTGGGTTATTTGCGACCTGTCCCTGGCCTTGACAGGATTTAAACCTGTAGGGTCTATAAAGCTTAGACGCTAGCTCAAGGGCTATATTATTAAGGCGCACAGCGTAAACTAGGCTTATAACTGTTAGATAAAAGACAACGCTATAAATCATGGGCAGCACAACTAACGCCTTATATCACTTCGTGACAGAGCTGAAATTCGTGTTTCTGAAGCATCCTACAAATCCATACGAGTTGAAACGGTTCATTTGAGGCGTCACGCCGATCATCCTGTCGGCCTCATATCGGGCACTGCATCATGTTGCTTGCACTACGCCCCATACGTGATAAGGGCGACTCCCCGGGTCTTCACGGACATGTCGAGAACGAGTTAGTGAGGTCTTAGGTTTGTTTTAGCAAGAGCCCTGGAGGCCCATGGATTTTCCTTGTACCTAGGCGGATTAAAAAGCAGTTTTTATTGTGTCGGCTAGTATTTTATACTTCAACCCTTGAATCTTAGTTCACAGTTCACCTATCAAAATATTGATGTCGGGATATTCGTCACCGGCGGAGGGTGGAGCCGATCCGAAGTCACGTGACTAACCTCGGCGGCTCACTCACTTACACCTCCGCGAATATCCACGGCAGCTGCCAACTTCGAACTTCTTCATCATCATACCTCTTTCGCATCAATAGTTAATTCACACTATTTGCTGCCTCTGGTCGACCACCAACCCTGTGATACCAACAATTGCTCAGTGATCTGGTGAAGTGTGGCAATTACCAAGTGGGCAATTGGCCAAATGGGCCAACATGGGGCGAAAATGTCGCGCGCACTAAGTGGATGGATTCTGTTGAAGCGTCGCAATTGGCAATAGTTAATTAGCAATACTCAATTGGTCAAGTATGCGAAAGCTGGGCAGAAATGCCGTACGCATTAATACCTAGGTAGCAGGCAGCGCTGTGGGAAGACTTCCCGACCGGTACAGTTCCTTGACTATGCATTGTTGGAGCACGCCAAGGACCTGAGAAAGCATCGAGTTTTCCGCGACGTTGACGTTCTCGAGTCTCCGGTTCAGAGTATTCATGGCCTTTGTGGTTGCCGCGGCGGCATCTTGCACTGCGCAAGCACTCCCAGCTGCCGTCTCGGCACTGGATGACACCGAATCGAACGCTTTTCCCCCGTTTTGGGAAAGTATTCCGATGCTGTGGCTGATATCCTGCGCGGCACGTGTCGTCGACCCCAGGTTGTGCTCGTATATTTCGGCCATCTGCTTGACGCTTCTTGGACGTGCTTTTTCAAGCTCTGTACTGCTGGTCACAAAGCTTGTTAATAGGTTAAAGTAGTACATAGTAGTCAAGGTAGAAAAGGGGGTCTTACATACTACGGTCTAGTAGGTAGGGGTGGCTAGGCAGTTAGGGCAACATTAGGCCGTCTATAGACGGGTTATATGCTAACGTACCACCTTACCAGGCCACCCTTCAACAAGATCTAAGCGCCAGCCTTGCTAAGACTCGTGTCTAATAACGATAATTGTTGAAGCACGTTCACAAAGCCTGGTGATTTACAGCCTTTCTGTAGACTACTACAGCCTCCTTATTAGTAAAAGTAACGGAAAACTGTAATAATTAAATCTTTTATTTAAACAGGTTCTTAGTGTATTTAGATGACATGGTATAAGTAGACGAATGGGTGGTCTACACGAACAGCCTGTAAGCACCTGCTGGCGCCAGTGGAGGTTCCTAAAATCCAGCGTCAGTGGTTATGCAGCATAAGTACTAGTTGAACAGGCTATAACAATAAGAAGTATTTGCAATCCTAGTGGTACTTTCTATGCAACGGGCTAGATCTCTGTGTCATTGTACAGCCATCCAGCGTGGTGACCAACCTCATTCGCGAGTTCGCGCTACAGTGGCTATCGATAAAGCTGTTGATGGTACTACGAGGGTCACTGCATAAACTGGCCGCGTTATATTCCACCGCCCAGATTGAATCTGTGTATAAAAGCGATGCTGATGTATGGGAGCAGACCGTCGAACTCGTGAATAGTTTTGGACCAAAGCCACCCTCAGGTTCCGGCGGGCGGCGATTCAGCATCCTGCTATCTCAGGGTGTGCTCGGCCGCTGCTCATGATTAGTGCTTAGTGGCCAGGAGGGACTTTTCATTACTTGTGCTACCCCAGCTTTATGCTCGTTGTACCGCCGAAGTGGGTTAGCCCGTGGCCAGCTCACCGCTCACTCAAATAGTCAAAGGTTCGTGATGTTGTATTGTTGTAAGTATTACCTAACTTCACGCATTCAGGCTAGCCACTAATCACACTGGCTAACGATTCCTCAATGCCAGGATTAACGGCAGGAAAGCTTAATTTGAATAAGACTTTCCTTCTTTTGGTGGTGGGTTGCGATGGATTCAGAAAGATACATTGCACAAATCTGACTTTCTAGTTGCCGCAAGCATCCGGCCTCGGATACCCCTCGGAAGCAGTTATGCACGCTGGAAACCCCTCCTGCGCACTAACCACTAATCATGAGCAGCGGCCGAGCACACCCTAAGTTAGTGTCAAAGGCTAGAAAACACTAGAGAGGGGGGGGGGGGGGGGGAGCGTTGGCGAAGGTCTTACAGTCAGATATCGGACAGTGGTGTTCTCTTGAGAGAGGCTCTGAAGGACATTGCGCCGCGGGAAATAATCCCGAGTACTAGTAGTTTTCTTAAAAAATTCCCGAAGTTTTAAGATATTAAGGAAAATTTACGGCGCAATCCTCGCATTATACCCAGATAATTTCGGTCCAGAGCCAGTTTCAGAAATGTTTGCAAACTGTATCTTCGACTATCAAGCTTACCCCAAGTATTTACTGATCCGCTCGATGGCACAAACACTGCAGATGCACTCTGAATTTGACATATACTGCATATCTGTACTCAATCAACTATGCTTGACTTTTTCTTTTGGCGTTCAGCAATGCCAATGACAAACGAAAAACTACAGATGAGAGAAACGGACGATGATGAGTCGCGTGATTCTGAGGACCTCAATACGAGCGAGACCACAACGCTTCGAAATGGACGGGATATCATGCAACCGCGTTCCCGGACAAATGCTATTGCTCTATGGGCAGCCGCGATCTCAACTTGCCTTGCGCTAGCTTTATTACTCATCATCGTTGCTCTGCTTCAAGAACTGCACCGCTGCCCTACCTCAGACTGTAGCGGGAGACCAAAATACGACTTTTCAGGCTATCAATGCGCACCGTTGGGGGCACCTCCAGATGTCGCCCGCCAGCGTGGTTGCAGGCTCGACACTTTCTCGTTGCATTGGTATCCGGCAAATAGATATGAAGACAACGATACACTCAAGCTCATGACGGAGTTTACAGATATGGATTGGCCGCGTTTCTACGACCCCGAAGCGCGGCACAAGATGGACGGGTTCAATCCAGCGGACAAGCAAGCTTGGGTGTCTAAAAAGGAACACTTGTGGCACTGCGGTTATTTGCTTATGCAAACGCACCTCTGGATCACAAAGGGCTTTGACCCGCCTGTCAACTACGAGCACACAGAACATTGTACGCGCACGCTTTTGAAGACGATTGAACTGGACCCTCCGCCCGACTTGGAAGACATCAAATCCAACATCAAGACGCCAGAACAGCCTGAACACTGGCCTATAGTAAGTTGCCGACACGCTTCCCTTTTATTCTCTATACCAGCAGGGAAACGACTCGCTGACGTGAGATTTCGAACAGATAAAACCTCCTTACCCGTGTGCTGAAGAAGGACTTTTCTGTAAATCTGTGTAATTATTACTTTTAGACAGAGACTTTATCCAAATTGAAGACTTTAAATCTATCTTATAGAAGGTGTGTCATAAGGTTTTGAGGGGAACTTGATAGGTCTTTGCGACATAGTTGCTATTGCTTTAATGGTATGTAGTGTGATGATAAGCAACTGGATAGGCTGTATTGCATCCCGAACATACGTTCTTCGAAACAAGTTAAAGAGGTCTTCTGCATGGATTAGGGTAGAGGATTTAGTCTATGTACTAGTTAGATTATAGATAGTGTTTGAGCTGGATTGACTGCACTTAGCTACTGACTTTACCTACACTTATATATAAGAATTAATTTTAGGTCACTTCTTCTAAACACTCTCTGTTCCTTTATTCTCTAATCTGCTGCCGCCGCGATAAAACGGGACACTTAGAAGTTGTATTTCAAGCTTAACGGGGAGTGGCTAGGCTGACAAGGCCTTATTGGTTGACTATTCCTCTCTACTGCCTTTCTTGAGAAGCACCCTTTGTTGCTTTGTAGGTAATGGTGTTATTAATGTTGGTAGTCACCGCATCACACCGTACTTCTAACCATCCTACACATCCCCAATACTTGCTTCTGAACTCTGGATCTTACTTATTATGTGAGTTGAACTGTAAAATGTAGCAATTAAATCTTTTATCTTTTTCTTCTAACTAACTTTTCTCTATATATCATAATAAACTCTTCTTGATACAAGAGCTATATTATCCTTGCTATTGTAGCTATTAAATAAGACCTAACACTATTTATATATAAGCAGATGACCTGGTTATAATATATAGACATTAGAGAAGCACTCAGGGCGGATGGGTAGCTGTTGGCCTGGGCGAGGGTATGCTTAGGGCTTTAATGTTTATTACATATGCACTAGGGTTATTAAACAACGGTAAGCGTCCCTCCTAGGAAAGATACTATCTCTAATAATCGACAAAACAAGCTGAAAGCATCTACCGCAGATCTTGTTATAGGTATTAGACCTAGAAAGTGACTCGGCTGTTCTATTAATACCTTTATCTGCTATTAGTGTCTAGAGGCCGACAATGACGCCAGAGGTCACTTCAAGCTGAAGTCGTTGGTTATGTTGCTGTAGGTAGAAACAAGGGCATTATCTTTAAATAAGAGCGGATGGTTTGAGGCTAAATTTATCTGCTATGCCTGCACTAACTGGATCTCAAAACGAAGAGGCTCTGCAGTATAGCCCTGGATCTGGTCTTTTAACTCAGTACAACACATGAAGCATGCATCAGAGCATTCGAGCTTACAGCTCATGAGTACTGGGGCTCATTTGATCTCGATATGGCAGGAGCCCAGAGGCACTCCGGAGCTGTTCGCTTTCCTGTCCATTGACCCGGCTATTCCTAACCAAATCATTAGTAGTCAAGATGGAGCACCAAAGAACCCTTTGAAGTGGTTTAGATTCTACGGACTCCTGTTTACCCTAGCAATCATGGTTCTGTATCCTTGGGGAACAGTCGTCATTAGGAGCGGCTCTTTGACTGACTGCGTTTAGAAACCACGTCTTGATTCAGATATTGGCCTCGATCGTTGCCTTGATTAGGGGGCGATCGCTACCTACCAGGCTATGGCTTCTAACACGGTGAGTACATCGCCATCGAATTCCCGGGATATTGGCCAAAGACCAAGACACCGTCCCTAATGACACTATAGTTCGACTTATCAAAGCCTTATATACTCGTTAGGTTATCTCTACTGTTTCTAGTCCTAGTTCAGGAATTATTAGGTTACGCTCATCGTCAAGCCTTGAAGTGCTTAGTGAGAGGAACATGGATAACAGTCGCTCACAAGTGGCTCAGGCAAATAATTGTCATCGGCGGCTTATTGAACGTGCTCTCGTAGGTCATAAACAGGGAAAGATTGCCCGAGTATACTTTCACTGACCACTTTGACAAAGGGGCTTGACACTAGCGGGTGCATCGCAAGTCCTCCTCATATTCACTGCGTCAGCGGGACTCATTGACGCAGCAGTTGTCGCTTGCCTCTGTCACGTTCTGACTATCAAGACCGATGGAGGAGGGCGACAGCAGCTCGTGGGAGACGACGTTATACCGTTCATGGCCGCCGACAACTCGGAAGGGGGCTCGGGGGGAGCCATGAGTTGGGTTCATGGGACGTCGGTGACAAAGTCGAACCGGAGCCCAAGCCGTGTGACTAATAGAGCATTTCAAAAGCATGATTGAACCTTGCTGATGCGGAACCGTTCTTTGGCTTATCGCCCGCCATTTATAGCATTTTACTTGATATAGACACATCTTTGCCTATAGTAAGCCTTAAAGAAGTCGTGTCAAGTTAGATCGCTGCATTGTCAACAAATTTTTTTTTTCTATAGGTATCTCAAGTTGTTATTATGTATTTACCACTCCAATACGCCATTATAAAAGTATCTACTGTGCTGCTTATTCTATCAAGTTGCAGTATCCAAGAACAACATTTGGACCAAAAGAAGCTAAAGATGCCTTAATACAGTGCTATAAAGACTTTGTTAGTTATGATTATAACAGCTATCTATGTGTTATTACTTACTCTCTTCCAAGCGTAAACTCGGTCTTGGGGACCAATGTTACAGCTTTGTCCTTGTAGCTGACCGTTCAATCTTTTACAAGCAATTTCTGTAGCTCTTTTATTGAAAACTTCCGGAACCTTGTATTTGCACCTAGATATATGTTAGTTAAAGTACAAATGTAAAATAGAAGTTACATACGTGCAGAGATAATGACCAGCGTTAACACTAGTAGCAGTAGCACACAAAAGTGCAACAAGGGAAAACAGCTTCATGTTGTTTAGGAAAAGTAAGTTATTGTTATAAAACAATTATACGTGTAGTTATAATCGTTTAAAAGATGTATAAAGTCTTACCTAGCTGTAGGATTACCTACGTTATATAGGTATTATGATGGTGATTATTACGAAATCTTTTTTTAGATATCTAACCAGGTACTTCGCTGTGGTTTAACTGTCGGGCCCACTGCGGCTGGCGATAGATTTTACTGTTAATTTACTATAACAGTCACAATTGTTGCATTTCTTCTCGATGCATTATTGACCCCTTTTAACCCCAGTAATTAGCTACTAAGAGCCTGTTAAAAAGAGGCTAGTTGGTCTATGCGGGAGTTAAGCGAGAGAGACTTATAGAGTAGGTAGATCAGTAAAGATACTGTACTCCGTACTGACTCAAGTTTAGTCCCACATTATTTTAATCAATCTAGGTAGATTATTCCTGGCGGGCGCTCCGAGCCTAGTATAAGAATACCTGGGTGTTAATGATTATCGAAGTCTAGGCAGGGAGATCATATCTCAGGTGATGAAAAGCTAGAAAGGTGCTTTAGTAATAGTGTATTAATACTAAGCAGCTGATTATCTAGGCCTTTTATACTATCTAGGAGAGCCGTGGTAGATACCGACGCCGCCATTCGGCGCCACCGACCACGTCACCCTCAGCCAATCCCCGTCGTCCCCAATCCTGCAGGGGGGGCGAACTGGGCGAGTAGCGCTGTGAAGAAGGCCTTGTCCTCGGCGAAGCCAGCCGGGCCCCCTCCACCTGGACCTTGCGCCGCGTTGTTGTTGTTGGACAGTGCCACCGCCGCTGCAGGCAAGCACGGCCGGGACTCCGGCGGTACCGGACGGTGGGGCCGTCCTTGTTTAACGAAGCCTTGGCGGCCTTATGCGTGTTAATGACGAACAGGTGGGTAGAGCCAGGATATCAGACGTTCCGGCGCTGGCGAAACCCCGTAAGGCTGCGCGATGCCGTGATGGCATCGCGACACTATAGTTGTCCAATGCACTACCACTAGCGTGGCAAATGCAAGGCTGAACGGTTGACGATAGGGGGGGGGGGGGGGGGGGGGGGGAACATCCAGACAATAGACACAACACCGAGAAGCCGAAGCCAAAGCCGATCCGGCGTCAACCGCGCGCAGCGATGCCGAACGCCTCGTCCCTTCCACAAGGTTCTCGTCGAAAGGGGCGCTGCCGGCGAGGCCTTTTGGACGAAATTCATACTTAACATCCTTAGCAAGATCGACCGCCTCCTCGAGAGGTACGACGACTGGGAGACATTTGCCGCTGGCGAGGAAGTGTACGACGAAAACTGGGAGAACCCGCGGTCGCTGTCCCGGCAGCTTGTGCACCTGCGCAATTGGTACGATGACGCGACTGGGTCCAGCGTTGCAGCTGCGGAGAATGGCGATGCGGTGGGAATTGAGGCTGCTGCCGCTGCTGCAAACCCCCCGTCCTCGTCTTTCTGGACCGGACATGACAACCGTCCGTCCTCGTTGAGCTGGACCACGCCCGCACGACGACGATGACGACGACGAGCCCACCGCCGACGAGAGGAGACTCGCAGCCATGGAGGCTGAGCTGTGTCAAGTCAAGGCCCGATACGATCAGATACCAAAGTCATACCTCGCCTGCTTGCAGCCAAGAAAAAAAGCCTCGCAAGCCTACCGTCGTCTCCAGAACGCCAAGGCGGCGTCTGTCGAGGCCGTGGAGCGCGTCAAGGCCAGCAAGGGTCGGCTTCAAGACGTCCAGGCGGCGCTCAACATCCCAAAGGACTCCCTCAGACGCGCTGGCAGCAACGGCGACGGCAGCTTTGAGGCCACGTTTGCCGAGCTCGACTTGAACCGCCGGACGGTCAAGCAACGGCGCAACGAGGCATATAAGACGTGGGCTGAGTTGGTCGAGACGCATCGCAGCGCGTACAGCGAATAGGCTGCAGCAGCGGCGGCCTATGGCTTGGCTGAGACTACGGAGCAGCTCAAGGGAAAAGAGTGGGGGGAGGAAAGGCGTCAATCGGGGCCATAGCCGCCACGATGATAGTTTGGCAAGTTGGCCCTTTAGATCTTTTTTCTTTTTGGTTCTTGTGGGGCGTCGGTGAGTGAGTGGTCGCTTTGGTTTGCCTAGCCGTCTACATACCTAGGTATATACATGGTGATGACAATCAGGTCCTCTTCCAATATGCAAACCCCTCTGGTGAAGCCACCAGTCCCAGTCAGCCCTCGACCTCAATGCCTCCCGCCTTGCCCATGCCATAGTCTCCTCCAACTCGTCAATGATGCGGTCCACCGCAGGGATGTACCAGGAAGAGGTCCTCGCACGCCCACCGCCCTTGCTGTCACGGCCGTCGGCCGCGGCGATCAGTGCCTCAGTCACGTTGCCCGCCTTCTGCAGACTGCTGACCAGGAGGTCCAGCTCGCGGCGCGTAAGACCGACAACCCAAGTCAGAGCCGTGCAGGTGTAGAGCAGCGGGAGCGTGGCGTCGTGCGCGGCCGCCATACGGACGAGGCTCACGTCAGCATCGAATCTATGACACGTCGTCGTAAGCTAAACCGAATGTGTGTGTGCGGCGGCAGCGGCGGCAGCGGCGGCTACAACGCCGTTGTCGCGGAGAACAGACGTCAGGGGGGTGACGTGGGCAACGAGCCGCGCCGTCTCTGTCTCGAGCTCCTGCACATCGTGTAATAGCATGTGGGCGGCCTCAGCAAGAGAAGGCACAGAGCTATCAATGTCCTCCTGCAAACGGCGGCCGGGGGTCTGCACGCGGAAGAGGATGGCGTCGAGCTCCTGTAGGAGCGCCATGTCGTCGGCGCAGGAACCCGTCGCCGCCTGTCGCTCTTGCAGCTCCCCCATGAGACGGAATGTGGCCAAGGACATGGTGGCAGGCCAGGATAGCATAGCAGATCCGGCGACGCGGGCCCAGGTGCCAGACAGCCCAGCAGTCACGTGGGTGACGAACTAGCACAAAAGGAGGACGTCGGGCTTCAGTGGAGAGCGGGAGTAGATGGCCCAGCTACTAGGTGCATCGCATAGATCTGATACCGTGGAGCTGACGTGGGCGAGGAAGATGGAGATGGTGACGTTGCGCGGGTCGATGCTCTCATGAGCAGTCGTGCTCGACGACGAGGTTGATGGGCGGTTTGATGGTGGCGGCGTCAGTTGCCTTCAAAGCCGACGCCGCGGTAGAGGCCATAGACGTCAAGGGCGTGAAGCCGAGGCCATGGAAACAAGCACCTACCAGCAACACTATTATGACAGCAACTTGTATGAGCAGGGCCATGACCAGAGCTGGTACTATGGGAGGGTATTGGTTCGTAGGGTCTCGGTTTGGTAGCCAGAACTGGAGCTAGGCCCATTTCTGGGCTGGGATAGGCGGCGGCGGCGGCAACGACGGTGTCTGGAAGAGGTCGATGGTTTCATCAATGACGCAGACGTTGTAGGGGGAGGTTGTGGTTCGTGGGTATTGGTGGAATAGTACTCGAGCCGGAGGAGGGTTTCGTCGGGTCTGGCGCTCATGTCGAGGTCCAGACAGGAGTTATACAAAGGCTCGAAGGCGCCATCGAAGAGGATCTGGACCATCTGGGTCGTCGGTCTTGCTTGGCCCCTGAGGGTCTCGTCGGGCCGAAAACGAACATGAAACTACAACGCGATGGGCGGTTGGTGGTCGTCATTGTTATTATCGTTGTCGACGGGGGCGCTGTGGCTGTGGTCTTTGTCTGAACGTCTCTGCAAGTGTCGGGTACGCGCTGCTGCTGCCGTCTTTGGAGTTGGACGGGAGTGGGGGACAATGATGGGGACGACGCCGTCGAACTCGTCATAGTTCTACGTGTTCCCGAGGGATGCGAGCATAACTGATGGTCGTGAGTGACATTGGACGGGAGATAGAGAGAGAGAGAGAGAGAGAGAGAGAGAGAGAGAGAGAGAGAGAGAGAGAGAGAGAGAGAGATAAAAAATGTGGCCTAGGTTTGTGTTGTAGCACAGGTGCAAAAAAAAAAAACCCCCAAAGGAGTAGGGAGCACCAAGTCGGATTAGCTAAGTGAAGATGATGTAAGGGAGCTAGGTGTGCAATTTCATCTCATTGGGGTTCCTTACGTAACCAAGCCTAGCAACTCCAGCAACAGCACCCAGCACCAGCAGACAATGCCAGAACCTAAGCCTCACACTGAACCAAAACCGAGGCCAAAACCCCCCATAAGTCTTTATTAACAAGAAACTACTCTCCCTCCTCCCTCGACTATGTCCAGAAGCGCCTAGTTACACAACGATGTGGTTTCCCTTGACATGATCCTAGAAGTAAACAAGAGCACAACTATCACCTTGCTAGGCCCTCCTGATCTTGCGCTTTCCAGGAACATCACCCAGAGATGAGGGTCTCGAGCTTTTTCAGCCCGGAAAAGGTCGAGGCGACTATGCAACACACTTGAAAGTGCTAGTAATCCCGGTTTCTAGTGAATTTCAGTTATTTGTACCTGTGCGTGCATTACCACATTGCCCACTTCAACAATAAGGTATTGTTTAGCACTAGGTAGCAGGTAGAATACTGGTGCACTTCTGGTCGGCGGCCAATGATGTAAGCCTATGTATCTAGATCTAGATCTAAATCAACGGCTCACTCCAATTAATCCGTTACCTCTAAAACTAACTTCCTAGAGTTAAACCCTGACAGCTTCCTATCTCGCTGGATCCGCGGCAGTGTACAGCCCAAGGGGTAAAAGGCATGTGCTATCGAATTTTCCTATTTTAGGTAGGGAAAAACATACTAGGATTGCAACCGACATTTACTCAACGGTGTTACTCGTTTCTGAACTTACCCTGACCTTTCCTAGGTAGAATGCCAGAGCGATTTGCTCGGCGGCCAGTGGGTTACGCCTATTTCGGAATGCATTATGTCAGCGCATGCAAAAAATAGCCCACAACAACATTCTGACTTAACTAACCAATAAGAAGGCTACGATTCAAGAAGTTACATAGAGTTGAAAACTCCTCAGATTAAAGCAATTTAAAGTCAAAGTAAAATAGAGGCAACAGTAATAGCTATAATTAACCTAAAACTAAAGTTAAATTAGTTATACTTACTACTTTAGCCTTTCACTTAAAGGGTAATACCTTTATTATAATAGTAAACTTGTAGATGTTACTTACTAGTACTCTTTAAAGGTTAGATATAAGGGCTTAATCTTGGGTATTGTAGGTGTCTGTTGGCAATAGTGGATTTACGGCAAAAAGGGCGTTTTTTTGCATAGGTTGTGGACGTGGGCGGTGGTTAGAGTGGTGGTTAGAGTGGCGGTAGCAGTGGCAGTGGTGGCAGTGCCTTCTAAATAGGGTTAGTCACTGGCCGCTGAGCAAATCGCTCTGGCATTCTACCTGTACCCGTTCAATAAGCAGTAAGATAAGTAGTAAGAGGTAAGACCCTGCCCTATAACTCGGACTACCCGTAAAGTTAGACTACTCTAACTAATCTTATTTTCTCCCCGTACTAGCAACTTATTAATTATATTACATAATAACTCCTGCCTGTCTAATTAATGCTAGGTACAAATAATAGGGCTAAATAGTGTACCGGTACTATTATGTACACAAAGCAAAAGCTTCGGTAATGATGCACCTGCATCGTTATCCCCTGTTCTACACTATTAGTTACGCCGGCCAGCACCCCAACTGGTTGCGTTGCAACACAGCACTTGATCTACAACTATATAAAATCCGGTTGCAACTCTTTCACGTATCCTGAGACTACAAACTATTATTCTACTGAGTACATCTTTATTGACTTACACTATTTCCATCAGAAAATATCTTTTAAACACATCCTCAAATATGCGGCTGTTTAGCATAACTACCTTGCTTTTTGCACTAGCTAGTATGGCCTATGCTATGCTTGGCCCGGACACGGCTGGTTCCCTCGAAGCTCGGGAGCCCAAGCGTCGACTTGGGCATCCACACAGACCTGGGAGGGATGGTGGATGCTTGAGGCATGGACAGTCGTGCTCTAGAGATGATGTGTGTTGTAGCGGGAACTGTAACAGAAAATATGACTACTGTGATTAGTAGCAGAAACACACACACACACACGCAATTTATTACGCCTGGTGGTAAAGTTGAAAGGGTAGTGTTACGATTGCTACAATTGGTCACTGTGGGGTGCGTACCCATGGTCAGAATGTCCTACATCCAGAGTGTGCTAACGTTGTGGCAGAGCCTGAGCTAACAGCGAAGGTTGTCAGCGAGTCCTAGCCGGAAGCTTGTGTAGAATCCATAACAGGACTCAATCCCGGACCTCACTCAGCGGTGGATACAAGAGGATTGGGGGCATACATGGCATAAAAAGGCCAAGAAGGAGGCCTAGAAAGGAAAGGAGGTTTTAACCTAGGAGGATGTTTGCTTCTAGAAGGAAACACATCTTATAGATAGCAGATAGGAGGATTATTCTAGCTTTTAGTAGTGCGTTAGTTGTTTTATATTATTCCACTATTAGTCAAAAGAAAATAGGCTATTAAGGATATAAAGCAGTAGTTTTTATAGGATAGACTAGAGAACTAGCTTCTTCCCTTAACACTATATTTCTTTTTAGGATAATAACTATCAAGTGTAATACTATCTAGTATATTATTTCAAGACCTATAGTAGAACTATTGTTATTATCTTAGTTAATTACCATTCTCTTAATCTATTAAACTAGTTATATATATATATATTATACCTTTCTAAGCCCTTTTATCTTATTATCTTAAGCTTAGTAAATAAGTATACCTGTAGTGTCCTAAGAGACCTGCCTAGAAACGAACTATAGATTCCCTTCTAGAAAAGGCCTTGTCCTTTTAGTTAAACCAAGAGTTTAATCTCTTGTTCTAAGAAGAGGCATCTAGACTTATTAGACTACCTTATAGACTTTTATCTACTTAATAAAGAACGTAAGGCCCTACTTAATACAGAATAGTAATATATTTATTATTATTCTATAGATAGGTACTCTCATTATACTTAAAGTATTATTCTTAAATCTAACGTATATATATAGTAAGAGAGCGATTGGTGTTTCAAAGCAGGCTACCAAAAGCTATATACAACAACAATAAACCCTTCCATGATTTCTTTAAGGAGACAGCCGATATAGCAGAGTTCATTGCTTCTGCTAGCAATAAGACTACTATGCCGACGGCAACAGTAGTAGAAAGTCTTTCTAGATAATTGAGGTTGTTTATGTCACAAAGGGGGTATTTCGTAAAGCAGACCTCCCTGTCAAGTTAGGCACCATAATACAGGAGTCAGTAGTATGATACCACAGTAACACTACTATGTTACAAGCTCATGCCAACAGCTAAGTTATAGTCAATTTTGTTCAAATTATAAAGCGCTTAATACAGCCTGCGAAGAACAGCATCGCTCTTACAACAGATTGCAAACCGAGAACTCTTTGGGCCCTTTCGTTCCCTCTATTCCTCGGCATCATCATGCCCAGCTCGCGCTCAATCCCGGCAGCCTCTTCTTGTAACAGCCCGCGGCAATGGTGCGATTGCGAGCTTTCTGCCAGTCCCGCAGCCTGAGGATTGTCGCCTGCGAACCTGCGGGGATAATCGAAGTGTCGACGACGCGGTCCAGGCCGTTGTTTCAACCCCAGTGTCCACCACCACCTCCGCCGCCATCTCTGCTTCCGTGCTCGCACCTGGTCCTGTCTGGGACCTCGTTGAAGAAGGCCCAGACGGCGCCGGGCCTCGACCTAACTCCTTATGCCCTAGACTCTCGGAAACCAGTCCAGTGGCGTGGCAATGGTCACGCCCGTAGCTGCCATGGCACTAGTCATTGTTGGTGTGGCGTGGGCTTAGGTACCAGCTGTTACTGCTGTCTTAAAGTCGTCTATCACTGCTGCTAGAACCCTTTCGTAGCCAGTTCCAGTGCCAAAGATAGTTAGACTACAGAACACAAATTTAATGTAAAACACAGTGAAGAGTATTCCCACGGTAAACGCGATGTTCATAAGTACGGCCCAAAGAGCTATAACCAGTTGGTAAGCCGTGCCGGTGATGTGCAGGCTAGTTGTCCTACTACTGTTGCTTCCATGCTTGTTCTTCTTGTCGTCTGTGTCACTTGCAGTAGGATGATTGCGGCTGTGCTGCTGCTGTCGCTGGCTCCTCTCCTGTTCTACCTGTTTCTGCGCCGCACGCTTATGCTTTTTAATCTGTTTCTGTCTCTTTCGGAGCACCTGTCGCCATGTCTCCTCATCTGGTTCCATTATTAGGTCTTTGAAGTCTAGAGAATTTATTCCGCTACTTCCTGTTGTCGGTGTGTCGCAAAAATATCTAGCTGCCTAGTTAAGGACTAAGGTAGCTAGGTTTGGCTCTGATGGGATCTGGACAGACTGATGCGTCAGAGCGGGTATATCTATACATTTTGAAATTTAAACAAACTGTTGCCTAGTGTGCAGCGCAGCGGCGTTCCTGGAAGGACCAGAAGATGGGGTCCAGTTAGATAGGTTGCCCAGATAGGTTGTGTAGATAGGCTGTATTGTAGAAGGGTTGTGTTGGATAGGTTGTGTTTGTGTAGATAGGTTGCGTGGATAGGTTGTGTGGATGGGTTGTGTTAGATAGGTTTTGTTTGTGTCAGATAGGTTGTGTTTGTATTAGATAGGTTTCGGACCTCTTGTTATCCGTAAACCGTATTCTATCTTCCTCTGAACATGCGCTAAACGCCGTGAGCGACGAAAGCCTATCTTTGACGACCTGCCCGACAAAACCCTGATCAACTCGCCTTATTATGGCTTCCTATATCTTCTCTCTGCTTGCCCCGCCTTCTCGAGCCTCTAAGTCATTCTACGAAGAACTGAGGACCGGACACGATAGACATATGGACATCGAAGGACAAGCTGGCCTGGATGCTGACGAAGAGAATTTGAGAGAGCGGTTCCAAGACTATGATCTGGACTACATACAAGGCCTTGCTATTGCCAGTTTTGGAAATGTCTGATCACACATGAAAGCTAGTGTGTGTGTTATTACTTTGTTTCTCCCCCCCCCCCCCCCCCCCCCCCCCCCAGACTGCCATGACATGGACGCCATGCCTCTATTTTCTTCATGTATAATGGCTGTGGATGACGGGTCAGACGACTCTTCCCCCCTTCTCTCTCCATCCCCCTCTCTTCTCCATCAAGTGCTCTCTCGTGCCGCGACAAACATTCTACATGACCTTTAACCTTTGATTGTGTAGCGCGCATCATGCATTATGCAGCGTGCAACGTGCAGTACTCGGAGGGTTCAGTATGGTTAGACTGGAGTGGACTGGGTTGCTCGTCAGCTTCAATCCGGGGGCCAAGCAGGGACGTCGGCACACCACTCTGATTCAGAGGACGCAGAGCGTTTACTATTCATCCTGTAGCTGTTACCAGGCTATGGTCCCGTCATGGTATGGTAGGCAATTGAAGAGAGGGAATGCCAAAACAGTTGCGCGTTGAGGTGGGAGGTCGTGGTGGGAGGTACAATTGTATGTACTGGCATGGTGGCGCCTTGGTGGGTGTCGTAGGTACTGTACGAATACATGGGGACATACGCACACTCCACAGTACACAGTAGATCAGGAGACGGCGGGGCCGATGCCATGTGGCAAACAGCCCCACTACGGATACATCTTGTAGAAATTCTTCTCTATATCCGTACAGATATTTTGTCACGACATTTGTGGCCCAAAACAACGACATTTCAGCACAACTACTCCATCATAGAGGGATACAAGTAGAAGTGCATTCAAAAGACTTCGAAATGCTGCAATAATATTGTTTAAATTTCTAGATATTTCTTTGATATTTCTTTACTCACTATTACCATGTTTTGTCGATTCTCTAGCATTTGAAATCGCACTGTCTAGATAAGAATTTGATATGAGACTTGATAAGACAAGCGATAAGCGATAACAGCCGGTCACAGCCGGTACTCGCTGGTTCTCCAGCTCGCCGCTTGCATTACCTAACAATCCACCCATCCATCCATCTATTTAGCTACCAACCACGCTCTCGCCCACCTACCCAACTACCACTACCAGACATCGGCATGAACCACTCCCCCATCCCCAACGGGCTGCATGAACCACACCGCCGTTCCCACGAATCCCTGGAGACGCACCGAGCATGTGGAAGGGGACGGTACGTTTGTATTGCAAGGACATGCACGGATTGACTGGTTCCACAACCTCATAGGCCGACCTCAACCCCCGACTTGAATCTCCTGCGAGCCCTTCATTCCTCTCCAAGAAGCCACTATTGCTGTCTGCCCGCCGCTTGCTAGAGCTAGACCCTGTGAAGGCATCAGGATCGTAAGCCCCCTCAAATCTTCGATCAGTTCCAGACAGGTGCTAACATGATGCAGCATTGCTTGTCTAGAGCCTCAAGAACCGCACGATCAAGTATATGTACACTACACAACAAAACAAAACCGCTCCTATAGTTGAGTACCTTCTACAACAAAGAACACAGATACTACGCAAAAAAGCCCAACTACTCCCATCTGAACGAGTCACCTGGATATTATTCACCAGGCTGTTGCACATGATGCTGAAATTCCCACAAGCGAGTACACCAGCCAGCAAAAGTGTGCCCACTCCCACCCGAACGAGGCAGTCTCATCTGGTCATCATTCATCAGACCAAGGTGCATCAACCCGAAAACAAAAAATTATTTCCCTCTCCACTACCACAGCAGTCCTAGAAGAGCTTCTGTCTGCCTTTGCTTGCTTGGGCCCACGGCACTACCCTCATCTAGGAATGATGCAGTGCTTAGACTTACAAGTCGTTTGTATGTGAAGCATCAATAGACGCGCCTTAGCGAACTAGTGCTTTTTTAGGTCTGGCTAGCCTAAGGGGGGGGGGGGGGGGGGTTAGGTTGCAGTTTGGTGTGTGTACCTGAACAAGTGATACGAGACGTGACATCTCGACTTGCGCTGCTGCTTCTTATGGTTCAAGGGGTTCAGGTGAGTCCAGGTCTGGCCATGTTCTTCATCCCAACTCTATGTACACTTAAAGTCAAAACCAACACTAGTCATCAGAAGTCAGGGAATAGAACCTTACAAGGTCGTATTGTGTACCTTCGGAGCGTGTCAAGGTGCCAGGTAGGCACCCAGGCACCTAGCCAGCGGAGACATCACAAATGGTCCAGCGACACTTTATTCAGCTCAAACAGAACCGTTCTGATCGATGCGAGTCGCTCGGGAGGTGTTCCGCCCTATTCCAGCGGAAGAGGTAGCTATCACACAGGCCTTGAATTCTGCGCTCTTGACTGGTGTGGGTGGCCCACATCCGTCAAGGATCGTCCGTTGACGCAGAGAAGACGCCCCACGATTCCCGACGGAGCTGTCCAAGAACCATTGCGATAGCAACATGACAAACACATCCAGCACCCCTCAAACTCGTCGCTTTGACGTCGTTGACGACAATGGCTTAACACACGCATACACACACACACACACACACACACACACACACACACACACACACACATACTCACACACTCACACACTCACACACTCACACACTCACACACACACTCACACACCGGTATATTTACAAACAAAACAACTAAACAATTGTTGCGACCCTGTGTTGCGCGTGATGCGTCGCCTGTAATTGCAGTGGAAGTACCAACTCTCTGCAGAGGTACAGTGGAGGATCAGGTTGAGACATAGAGAGCAGTTAACAGGGTACACCTTGTCCTTTGAATGTCGTTTGCAATAACCTCTGATGCGCTGTCCCAGCTTGTTCCTATGGTATAGGGGAGTCCTTAGTTATTCAATCAACCCTGCTTAGATCTAATCCCTAACAAAGAATACATAAAAGCTCAATGTTTTGCACCACAACAACAACAGGAATAATAAAATTCCTCCATCTAGGACAGATTAGATCCTGTTAGTCACTAGTATCCTTCTCCTTGTTTACCTCTATTTTCAAATAAGTCGCCTAATTGCATCTGTCTTAGTACAGCCAGACTGAACTGTGACTATTAGCCGCAGACTGTTTCCTGGCTTTCAGCTTTGTCGTCCTGGCACTCACTGAGAGGCCAACTCCCTATAGGAGCTCAAAGCGCTCCTCCTTGCAGCAAGCAAAGCAAGGCCTAGTTTCTTGCCTACTGTCTAGGCTCTTTCAATAAGTTGCCGTTGATCTACGCATAATACCGCGACTGACAAGGACTTTCGAAGGAGAGAGGCAACCCCAGGAGGGTCAATCTGTACTGCAACGTTGTAATCAATTCCAGAGACAGGTCGCAGGGAAGACAGTGTTCAAGGAGGGGAACAATGCCAAGTTCAACATCAAGCCGCATAATGCCTTTCATATTAAGGCTGTCACATACAGGAGCCCGCCGCAGAGCTGGTCCATAGAGGTGTTCAAGGCTACTAAGGACTTGACCAGCGCTACTAAAGTCAAGGAGGAGGATAGCAGCAACAATATCTTGGGGACAGAGGAGGCAAACATCTCGTAGGTCGTGATCAACTATAAGACTGTGGAGCTGAGGTAAGTGCGCTGCAGCAGAACCAGGTTTAACAACAGCCACAAGGCCTATGGTGAGAAGCATTGAATGCACATCGAAGATAGATACGAGAGTGGTTGATAAATTCGGGAGCTTACAGGAGATGAAGGAGCTTTCGGCGACGTCATGAGCCTGTCGATAGCCCTATACGAGATTAAGCTTAAATACATGTTTATGCCGAAGAGTTAGAAATGCTGAGGTGCTTGTCTATGTGCTTGAAGACAGGGGCTACGCTTTTTTAGCGCGTTCACAGTTTTCATCAGCAACTACACTAAGAAGTACACAGTAAAGGTGCTACGCTTAGAGCAGAGTACCTACTAAAGACAGTGGAGATGCACCGCTCTAATAGATATAATATCTTAGTCCTCTCTATAGGCAAGATAGTTAAAGGCTACGTAAGGAACGACTTAAAGCCTTGTCTAGATGACTAAACAACTACATAAAGCTGACTAACAACCTATACAACCTATGTAACAAAACCTATGTAACACAACCTATCTAACACAACCTATCTAACACAAGCTATCTAACACAACCTGTGTCACAATAGCCTTATGCATTTCCGCCTTCTGTAACAGCCCTGTTAGGTACTATGGCACGTGGTGTTTCATATTCACTTCCCTATATATAGGACCTTACTTTTGTTACTTACACTTACATAGAAATAAGCCTTTTAGACCTAAATCCTTATATGCCCTGCTGTGTGCTCTAACTTGTGACAACCCTGATGGGGTAGCACATGGCATTAAATAGCCTTAGCATATTGTAGTGATGTAGTGGATGTCGCCTCTTGTAAGACTAACACATAAGAGTTCAGGAACATGACTGGACTGCCTAACTTTCCGATTGCGAAACTCTATAGAAATTCCGAATTCTTGTCTGCATTGCATTCAAAGCACTTCTTGATCGCAAAATGGAAAAACCTAGCAGCAGTGGCTGAATCATGTAACATGGTCCTCTTGAATGATTTAAGCTATCTACCTTAGTGGCTTGACTATATGCTGGCTGTAAATATGTAATCTCCACAACTAAATTTATAAAGGATATAATTGAGCGTACATTATCTAAAGTCATCACCCTTTGGGATGAAATTATTCCTCTTATCACAGAGTAGGCAAACTGCCTTGGGCTGCTGTTGCTAAAACCCCCTACAGTTGTTGCTGGTATGCGTTTTAGAGCTGCACCAAACTCATTACAAGGGTTTCAGAATTTGACCTTTCTATGATTGTTAACTTCTCTATGCCTTCTATTAGGAAAGGCTAACCTCCCCATCTGGGTCGTGAGAAAAGGAGAGGAAAGGTCCCCGTCCTATGCTTCTCCCCTATCTTGCCCTCTATAATTAGCTGAAGCAAAAACTAATAATCTTCAGTGCATACTCGACTAGTATACATGTACCCAGGTGGAGGGAGAGAGGCGTGGTGAGCACCAATAGGCCGCAGACATAAAGCAGACGGCATTTTGACGAATATATAATCACGGGAATAAACTAAACTTTGGCTGATTGACAAAGTAGCCACCGGACGGACAGAAAGAACAATTCTAAACCCTGTACGGCAAGTGTGACGCGGCTGTGCCGATGATACGCTGAACGGATCACTTATGGTTGGCAAATCTGACAGTAACAACACGTGACGACAAGGTTACCTTATACATACATACGGATTACCTACCGTAAGTCTCTTGAAGCGCAACAATTCTCCCTCTGCAACCCAGCTCTCTTCCTATTCTCAACTCAGATTATTACAATTAAATGTAAGGAATTTCGTACTTTAGTTGTTTACTAGGTACTGTTGCGAAGAAAAGCTTCTTACGTCCTACTACTATCTAGACCACCAACCCGACCAGCGAGCCAACCAACAAGCGCCAAAATGCCCTCCCGGGAGCAGCAGCGAGCTTCCTACCATCGCAACCCCGAGCCGGGCGTGACGATCAGGACTTTCGAGCAGCGACGCGCCGAGCTCATCGCCGAGATCGCCGCCAGTCTCAACCAGGTCAACGCCAACATCAACAAGCTGAACCGGTCACTCGAGACCACTATCACGGTCGGGGAGGGGTTTTCCGAGGCAGAGGGACTGTGGTCCAACTTTGAGGACGTCATGGTCAAGGAGCCTAAGCAGAACACGGAGGGCGAGGGCAAGAACAAGGGAGAGGCCAACAGTGACAAAGCCAGATGATTCCTCCCAGACGGAATGTCAACCAGGACGCCGTGTTTGTGGTTGGCGATGAGGGCATGAAACAAGAGCCTGAGCAGAGAGCAATGGCATTTTTGGCAGGTTTGGTGAGATGACGGACGAGGACAAGATTCAAGGATGATGAGACATGATGATGATATCCATGAATGAAAACCAAGTTATCTGAGAACTACAAAGCCCTCAAGAAACGCTAGTCCAGTCTAGTCTAGTCTCCAACATATATGAGTTACCTATGCGAGACATGGCATTAGCCGGTGTCAATCACAATCAGCCTGCATCAATAGCGGATGGTATGAAGTTTCTTAAACTCATCCATGCGAACTGCCCCGGCCTAATCCACTTGACAAGCAGCCGGTTTTTGGCAACAGTGTGAGATAAACTGCGAGGTATTTCCCGGACTCACCCGTCAGTTGGCAGGAAAGTGGTGTGAAGGTACATACAGGTACCGAAGTCACCAGTCCCTACCTGCCCTGCTTAGGCGGAAGGAGGCACTCCAACCGTATCAGGAAGGTACGATGGATTTGCTCCATCCTCTGCTCTCGACTGACCAGAGAACCTCTCTCCCACCCTCAACTCCATCCTGCCAACATCCAAACCTCAATCCCCACGACAATGATTATCCCTTCTGCAATCATCTCGACAACAACCGCCAGTCCTTTCCCAGGCAAAGATGTCTGTCTGCCCTCGTCGACGACCAAACGCCAAGAGGCCTGCCATGGCCTCACCCACGGATGTCGACGAGGGCCAAGCAAGAGCTACAGCAGAGGGGAGGGAGGGGAGGGGGGAGTGTTCGTTCGCAAGGCCAGCCAGCACGCCAAAGGTAAGCAGCTTTTGCTTTACCACATACACCCCCCCCCCAAAAAAACACCGCCGTTAAGAACCCGAGTAATTAACACGTCTTTTTCCTTATATCTAGGCAAACGCCAAAGCTACGCTGGCTGCCGTCGCTGAATGCAACCACACTCCTCCCGCCCAAGGGTGCCGGCCTACACTCGGCGCCGTCTAAGACCACCTACTGTGCCCAAGTCGCCCTTCACCTTCCTTGTCGCGAAAAATACCCGTGACACCAGCCTGAGCAACAACACCCAGCAGACGATGAACGACCTGCGCGAGGGGTGCAGAATCAAAACAAGCCTGAAGTAGGGAGAGGATGAAGAGGATGAAGAGAATGAAGCAGCCATCGTGCTCTTGATTACCATCACATGTTTTTAGGGTTATTCAAAGTTTGTTCTACTAGCAAAGAATCCTATCTGCCCCGCTAAAGACTGCGTAAACAAGAACTTAGATGGCAACCTGGTGCCGTTATCAGTATCGTTGCGCAGCGTGATTGCCCATTCATGCACGCCATCTACAGCCACTAACTCTATGCACACATGATTGATTAGACTGACCACTAATGTCACAATCTAGTCACAATCGGGCGATTAGGTGGCGTGTAATCCTGATGATTCCCTTGTTGGACGTTGGCTTGTTGGACTAACGAAAACCTAAGCCTTCTCTTTTGATTCTGTGCAGGCTGCGCAGCAACATCTAGACTCTAATCCAACGATAAGCACGGAGTACTAGGTACCTCTAGCAGAGCTCTTGGCTGCCTTTGCAGTCTCTGGTCATTTGAGCAAGTGGAAAAAAGAAGAAGAAGAAACAACACGGATGAACCGGCAGACACAGTGAGCTAAATCGGTGCGCGGCGGTGGCACCACCCAAGAGTCCCGTCCCCCAGCCACACTGTGGAAAATCCCAGCGCCACAGCGTCACAGTGGCCAGTGCACCAGCCACAGCACACCAACATCCCTACCCTCCCTTTGTGTGCACTGTTCAACGCTGTCTTGACCAGCGCCGCCAATACAGACAGACAGACAGACACAATGTCGACCCTTCCCTTACGCCCCTCAAAGCAGGTTTAGGTTTAGGTCAGGCGAGAAAGTACAAGAAGCAAGAGACCCCGCAGCTCGGAAAAGACATTGATCACCACTACAGAAAGTATAAACAGGGTCTATAAAATCACAGCTGTCTTGCAGCTTCTTGGATGCTGGGCTTAACACGAGTACTTGCCCTGGTTCTAACGTGATGTGCTCTACTAAACAGGCCATGGTGATGACGGCCTAGTTGTCGTTGACCTGCCCTAAGTGCCATGAATCAAGACAGGCATTTGAACAGGGCATCGCTTGTTGTAGCATGGTGACAGGACTTGGCTTTATCTAGTTAGGCCCAAAGGAAGTCTTCCCTACAGGTTTGACCTGAAATTTGAGATAGACTCTACTGAGCAAGTGGTAATAAAAGATACTAATAGATGCCACGCATAGAGACCATCCCTTTGAAGGGACAGACAGTAATTACGTCGGTAGGAGATTGTTGTACTAGATGTATGTATATATATAGAAGAGTATACAAGCTTGAGAAATGGAATAACTTGATGACAACGATTCTATTGATTTCTGCCATCTGCCCTATTGGCAACTTAATGAAGAATTCAAGAGTGTTGCAGTTCTTAGAGTAGAGTAATGCCGCGAGGCCCCTTGTCGCCGCTGGTGATCCGACATGCCTGGCAAAGAAGCTAGACGACCGTTGGGGAGCGTCAAGCTCACTTGGTCTCGATGTTGGCATTCGGCTCATTGCTTGTGGATTCTGCGGATTGTGACGGTGTTTTAGAGTACGTCGGTCTTGCTGCGATGACCAACTTGGAGATAGCTTTACCCTTAACAAAACGCAAAGGTGCTTTCCTCACCTTGTCACTCGGTAAATAAACAAGCAGGGGCATATTTATTGCCCTCTTTGGGACAACTGCGTAGCAGGTAGGATAAAGGGGAGGTATCCCATCGACTGTCACTAGACGCCATGCTCGCCAAGGGAGGGGTAGTGCAGCCCTTCCGTGTGTCTTTTGCCTTCTATGTCTGGGTGCGACTATTGCCAGATGCCTCAGCCAGGGCAGCCCGCCTTGCTAACCCACTCTGACTACTACAATAGGAGCAATGTGAATTAACCCTTCTCGACCCTTTTCAGTGCTGTTACCATCGAATCAAGGCAATTCTCTTGTTTGTAGCCCGCCCGGGACGAAATCTCTGGCGAGCTTTTGCCAATAGCCCAAAGTGTTGAATTAGCTGGGCTGCAAGCAACCAGCGCCATTGATAGATTAGCTCTTAACAGTTCGCCATCTGGGCTTACCCAAAAGCTGTAGAAGGCAAATATTTATAATAACCACTTGAAGTAGGGAATCCCAGGCAGTTGCCTGGGGCCCTCTCAGCAAATAGAGCGCCTGTGTTGATGATACTACCTCATCTGGTCACTCGTGACAACACCGTTTATATGGTGGTTATAATCGCCAATTGGCTTCTGAATTGGAAGGTTCTTTCGGACCTTGTGACAGAAGACCTCCCGGGCGCCCTGTTTAGCTGCAGAATCCCTGGCTGGCTGGCGCTGGCTTTGCATACCTTCTTCGCCATTACGAAAGACAGTTGCGAGGAAGAGAACAAGAGTATCGTCTTTTCATGTAAACTAGCTGACCTAGGCAAACGTATTAGTATAGGGGTATCAGAGAAGATAGCAACTAGATACTGTACTATCCAACGTAGGGATATACCATATACTTGGTGTCAGGGCACTGGACTGTACCAGGAAGAGGAGTCAACGGTGAGAACCTAGGGGGTAGTGCTGACTTATTATTCGAATCTACCTTCTCCTAATATGATATTATCGCGAGTTTCCGGACACGGGGCGGGGTCCCAGACTCCTCACTCCTCACAGGCAGCATTCATTGAGATTAAGGCAGCAGACTTGATATATACTATATAAACCCACTGGGCCCCGAAACACCAAGGAATAAAGGGCAATGAAGAAGCAGACCAGTTGTCTAAGGAGGACACAACTCTCCCTATCCCCGGGGGCCAACTGGCCACTCTTGCAGGTATCAAACAGCTCGCCAGAAGACAACAACTGTTACAGCAGACGCGATGATGGCAGGGTAAGGTTACTAAGCAATATGCTCAGCTTGGGCTTAATGTCATCTTTCTGGACTCACCTTGCCTCGATCAACACTTCATTCCCTCCTAGGATCCTAGACAGCCATGGCGACTTCGGACACTATCACCAACGCTTTAACCATTATGTAGCCCTGCTTACTTGCTGGGGTAGTCTAATAATAATCATTAATCTTAACTACTATCAATTTGTTCGTGCAGTCTGTCTAGCGCCTAATCAACAACGAAAGCTTATAAGGTCTTTTTCTCTAAGATATGCTTCTTATCTAACCGCTTCTTGGCACTAATCTGCTAAGTATTGGTCTGTAAAGCTTATAGTAAATGCCCTTTTCAGCGCCTATAGCGCTTACGCCAAGAGAATTTTTGTACTATCCCTCTCTTAACATACACCAGCCTATTAACTATTACCAGTGAGATTGCACAGCCTTGAAACATTGCCTGCCACGTCATAATCTTACTGTGCTTAGTCTGGACTTTTGAGATTGCGAATCAGCCCTGAGTCCTACTGCAATCTTGCCAAACCAAGGCAACAGACAGCACAGGAGGAAGAATAGACCTAACTAGCAGTATTAGGGATATTGTAATTATGGTCGGCGTTAGCAAGATACCCGCTCTGTATTCAAGAGATAGATTCATTAACGAGCTACGTATTCATAGTGCTGACGCAACCTTCGGGAATCCGAAGTCGTTAGTAAATCCGAAGCCGTCGGTAGAGCCGGAGGCTTGTGCTTACTTCGAAAGGTGCATCAACTAGGGGCATCGGGGGTATAAAGCATGCCTTGTTAGCCAGAAGTTTGGAGATGGAAGATAACACAAATAATCACATCATTCGATCCTCGTCACATCATTCAATCCTCGTCTCAACTGAACTGCGTCGCTAATCACCATGGCTGCCCTTGCAACAAAGTTGATAGGAGCGACTCTCGCCACGGCCTTCATGTCACTCGCTGCCGCGGGCTCACCGGACGAGTACGATTATGTTATCATCGGCTCTGGCCCTGGAGGCGGCTCTCTTGCGTATGTTGCGTGCCCCATCTTAGTCTGTCAGCGGATGAAGATTTAACCTACGAAGACCCAACTGATCGGACGTTTTAATTAGGGCAAACTTGGCAACTAGCGGGAACTCTGTCTTTCTCATCGAGGCCGGCGGGGATAGGTCGGAAGACCTCAGACAGGTTTTGCCTGTCCTGTTAGTACTTGCATACCCACCACCCCGTCGATTTAGCCGCTAAATGATACAACCTATACAGTTCCCCTAATGCTGCTGAGACGCCCGGACACTCATGGCAGTTTTTTGTCGAGCATTATGCTGACCCCGAGGTGGCTCGTCGCAACCCGAGGTACACCTACCGGACGATGAATGGAACGCTGTACTACGGCCTGGAGCCTCCTTCTGGAGCTGAACCGTGGGTTTTAAAATCATAAAAGCGACCTCGCTGCTGCTAACAGACCCTTAGGTTAGGTGTTATGTACCCGAGGGGTGCTACCTTGGGAGGCAGTTCTCAGGTCAATGCCATGAACTTCATCTGGGCGCCCGATAACGAATGGGATAACATTGCCAATCTCACCGGGGATCACTCATGGCATCATGATCAAATGCGCCGGCATTTCATGGACCTTGAGAACTGCACCTATGTCCCCGGGAGTACCGAAGGCCATGGGTTCGAAGGTTATCTAGATGTAAGAGCTCCTAATCCAACACGATGGCCCAAGTCTAATGGTATACAGTCGAGCTTGGGCGATGCCTCGGGTCTTTTGGCAAATGAAAATGCCGCTCAGTTCATGGCCGAGTTCTTTCTTGAAGCTGAGGGTGTCGAGATTGACAGCACCGAAAGTATGGCGGAGCTCTTTAACCGCGACATAAATGGAGCTCCAAACGACCGATACCAAGGCGGTTTTATCTTTAATACTCCTGCTGCTGTTTCACCTACTATAGGCGGCAGAAGCAGCATCGCGAGATACATCAAGAGTGTCATTGCTGCCGGTCACCCCTTGACTGTTAGCTTTCACTCTCTGGCTACCAGGGTCCTCACGAGAAAGTCGTTTTGGGGCAAGCCAAAAGCGTACGGGGTGGAATACATAGTTGGCGAGGGACTGTACTCTGCAGATGGGCGCTATGATCCCTCTCAGACCGCTGAGACCCGGACAGTCAAGGCCAAGAAGGAGGTTATTGTTTCAGGCGGCGCCTTCAACACGCCTCAAATCCTTATGCTGAGTGGCATTGGCCCCCGCAGCGAGCTGGAGAAGCATAATATCCCCATTGTGGCCGATGTTCCCGCTGTTGTAAGTCATCTTGGAGTGATCTATACGTTGGTTTACGGACATAGGCTGACACCATCAGGGAAACTTCCTGCAAGACAACTATGAGGTCCCTTTTGGCATCGAGGCTGAGGAGCCCTGGGTCAACGAGGGCGAGTCTCCGTGCACCAAAACGTTTAACGAGAATGACCCATGTTTTGTGCAGTGGCAGGAGACACGGGATGGGCCTTACGCCTCACGCGCAGGGCTCTCTGCGATTACTCGTACTAGCGTAAGCCACGACGATGACTCGGATATCCTCTACCTTGCCGTCCCCGGCCTTGGAGGATTTGGTGGCTTCTACCCGGGATTCTCCAACAGAACCGTCAGTCCAACTTCGTGGGGCTTCCCTATCATTAAGATGCAGACCCGCAACACCGCCGGAACTGTCAGACTTCGGTCCACCGACCCAAGGGAGGCTCCGGCTATCAACTTCAACTATTTCTCCGAGAATGCCGATACAGACTTCCAGGCAGTTGGCGAGGCCATAGATCTGCTGCGCCGCGCTTTCGACGCAACCGGTATCACGTACAAGGTAGTCTACCCAGACCCCAGCATGGATCTTAGGCAAAGCATAATGGACTTGGCCTTCAGCCACCACGCAACGTCATCATGCCGTATGGGTCCTACTAGTGACCCAGACTACTGCGTTGACTCCAAGTTCCGAGTAAACGGTGTCGATAAGTTACGCGTTGTAGACGCTTCTGTTTTTCCTCGCTCACCCGGCGGTATGCCTAACGGGCCGACCTTTACTATCTCTCGCAAAGCCTACGAGGTTATTATGGAGGGATCATAAGTGCAGTTTATACCTACAGGGGCATAGAGAGGGATAGTGTTCTGTTCTTATATTGCTTTAGTATTTAGATCACAGTCCAACATTTAGCTAAGATATAGTTTTACTCTTTTACTTCACTTTAGAATGAAATACTATAGCTATATCTCTTATTCTACTAAATTTATAGTTTATCCCTACTATCAACGTACATGCATAGCAAGTTAGACAACAGAGTAAGCCAGACACTTCCTTATGATGTCTTAAAGGGTATTTTTTAACCATTCTTTTTAAAAAAAATCTAAACCTTCTTCAAAATAGATGCAATTCTATAGACAGATGCCAGTAAGTATTAGAAAGTAAGAAAAGATATTTTGAAATTGTTATCTAACCCTAACCCTATACCTAGACTTCAACCCCTATTAGTAGGAATAATAAAAGAAAGTTAGCGTCAAGGTAAAATAATAATTTCTATAGTATTACTTTCTAGAATCTAACTCTTATTATTACTCTCTGGGCATAGTGTTGCCCATCTTGTGAAACATTCTTCTGCTAGTAATTGTTATGAGCCAATCGAACCATCGTCCAAACCAGTAGTCATAATCAACAAACCCGCCAACTCACCCGCACTCAAGACTTGGAATGCATCATCAACCAGCCAAGCCCTTCCGAAATGGACCTAATCACCTCCTGTCTCTTGACCTCTTCCTCTAGTCCACAGGTCTGCGGCTCAAGATTCCCCAAAGTCCTCTCGGCCTCCCCTACTTTGGCCTGTTCATGAATGCGAGCATCTTGGGCGTCCGCCAGTGACAGCCTCTCTTCGTTGTGATTGCGCCCCTCCATGTCCACCCGAGCTGTGTTAGCTCTGAGGATGACCTGGTCCCAGACATGATCTTCAGTGTCTTCGCCATCTTCCAGACTACCGGCGTCGCGCATCAACTGGGTCAGGACGGCCTCCTTCTCCTGGTTCTTGAAGCCTCTGAGTCTATTTTTTTGACTGTAAGAGTGCCTCTGAGACTTGTTTCTTTCCCTCGTTGTGTTGATGGATTCGAGTGGCAGCGTCCCCAATGTGTGACTCCCCCACCAAGTTCACGTACTTTTGCCAGCTTGTATTGGAACCTTGCAAGAGAAGTGGCTCGTTTCCGGAGCCCAGACCAGTGCTGCGAGCCCATGGCCTTTTATGACCTGAACGTTTGCTTAGCACACTAGAGTATCGGTGCCTGCTAGACGTAAGATTTGGCAGGTGGTGGTATCGTTTGCGGACAACGGGGTAAGATGACGACGTATGCCGAAGTTTGAGTGCCGTCAGTTCTGTTTCTTGAAGAAGTTTTTGCTTGAAAGAGGAGGCAGTGTTTTGCATTGCGGTTTGAGTGGGGACCAGTGACTCCAGATCGAGTGGTGCTGCGAGTTGGTTGTGGCCCAAGAAGTGGGAGAAGACTTTCATCATGGTGTCGACCGAGACGGACAACTCGAGATGCCCCCAGTCCAAAACAAGTTTGGCCATGTTCCAGATCACATGGTAGCCACACGAAAACCCATCTGCTTGTTGCTTGCATTCCTAGCGAATGTCGTTAGCACACTCAATCTTTGATATTGAGGGTGGGAAGGCAAGACATACGCTTTCAGTGAAGGCAAAATCCGACAGAGTTTTGGCACAAAATGTCTGTAGTGGAACTGGCTCCGAGTCTTGATCCACTGCCTTGTTTGCAGGTCCCATGTGTGACAGCAGCTTACCAATGTCCCTTTGCACCCGCCGACTGGTTCCAGCGTTAGACAAGGAGTCGTAATGTCTGGCTTCCGGGCGATCGTCGGCCGCCTTCCTAGACAAGACAACAGGTGACCAGTGAGACTGGTCGCGGCACAAGGGTAAGAAAATGAATCTTGGCTTCCGGAACTGGGGAGAGCATGCAGATAGCCATGGAGGGATCGGTTGTCCATCAAGTTTGACCCACAGGGGGTCGATAAAGAAACTGTCTTGTCGGGCAGAATCTGACGTGGCGATGGCGTAGACGAGGGCCAGAAGAACGTCGTCGGTAAGTTTGGAACGTGTGTTGAGTTGTTCCAATCCTTTCAGTACGGTAGCCTCCGAAGGCGGCCGTGGAATCCTGGGACAAAGTCGCGATGTGTTTGAACCCTGACCTTGTGTCGGGTTCAGTGGCGTGATAAGCAACGGATGGTCAGGTGATGGAGGAGACAATTTGTCAGTAACAACGAAAGGTTTTGTTGTGCGGGGAATCTGCGGTAACAGCTCAGTGTCGTTGCCAGTGTGATTTGACAGAACCGTGGTGGCCTCACCTACCTCCAAGCCAAGGTCGCCAAGGGTTGGATCCTGGGCTTCAAGCAGGGGACTTGTTGAGATGTGCGCGAATTCGGGGGTGATGGAGGTAAACCTTTGAGGTTGTCTGGAGAAGGTGTGCCACGGACCTGCTCAGGGGAATCGGTCGCTTGAAAGTGAAGCTTCCTTCTCTTGAAGGCATAGGTGCCATTCAGCTCAGAGAAGTCATCCTCATTAGCCGTCGCGTAGGCTCCTTGATGGTCGTCGGAATCGTAACCACTATCTGCACCCAGTGACGCGTCCATCATGCCTCTGTCACCGTCCACTCTCTGGTTGACGTCTGCGTCATCGCTGGGTGCGACTGGGTCCTCGTCAGTATGGGGTTGCTTCCGTTTGCCGAGGCCGAGACGGGTGGGTATATAGGTCATTCAAAACAGCTTCGTAGAGCCTGGGTTCTGCATGGCCTTGACGCTGGGCGGCGTCGTACGGCCAGCCTCCGGGCTGCCAAAGAGTGGGCAAATGTTTTCCTTGGGATTTAGCGAGTCTCGTGATCTTGACCAACCGAGAAAGACCGTTGTGACCAAGATTACTGAGGTCATTATGGAGTCTTGCTGGCCTGAATGGCCGCGGGAATGCTGCATCGAGTGACTCCTAAGCGTCAATGAGCTCTTGGCGGTGCTTGTGTGGCAATTTTTGATCTCTCATGCTCCTCTTGGCGATGTGGCGTGTGAATCGCAATCTCGGCAGTTGTATGTCGAGTTCTCGAGCTATTATCTCGCGCCCAGCCTCGTTGAGTGGTGATGTTACTTTGTCAAAGGTAGTCTTGATAGCGCGTCTCGTACGCGGATCGAGCTTGGTGCGTGGCTGCCGCGGAGGAGGATGCACATCGACAATTCTATTGAAGAGATGCTTGACCTGTGTTTGAGAGATTAATAGCCTGATGCTGTCGCGAGCGGTATGGTTAATTCACGCCAATTGAGGATAATTACAGAGGTGTGTACGACGGGGTATGATGTATCCAGGGGAAAGAAGGGCTGGGGACATACTGAAGTTTGGGACTCAACATGCGGTACGTCCATCTCCCAAAGTTATATGCGGGAAGGGTAGCGGTAATCTTTGCAGTTGGCAAGACGCGGGTGTGGGTGGGCGGGTTGAATGAAGAGTTGTAGATGGGAAGAAGAAGTGGTGATGGCATGGCGAGGTACGAGGTTTAGCATTTGGTTACGCGATGTGGTGGTACCTGCCGATCTTAGAATTCCCCACATGGAAGAATTTCCAGCGCATAGTCAATCTCACACCCCTGGAACGTCTAACATGAGGGCATCGTCGGGCTGACCAACAGGTGCCGCGACACTTCTCTATCGAGCACAGGGGCGTCAACCAGGTAATTCTCGCAGCTTTTGCAAGTCAACATGTCCATCATCAGATTTGTTTGTATCACTATCCCGCTGGCCTTAACCAAGCCTAGCTTAGCGTGGAATTCCGACACCCTCCCTGTGGACAGACGACCTCGTTGCGCCGCACTGCGCCGCACAAAACTACTGGTCACTCACAGGCGATGAAGGGGTGGGTGGGGGTGAATACACTACCTAGGCAATTGCAATGGCATGGATTTTAATTGATTTGGGTGGGTGCGCCCACTAAGGCGAATGGTGATGGCAATTTGGATCTGGGTGTGGCTGGGTGGTGGTTGTGGCGCAATATTGAAAGTCTATGTCTGCTGTGCTAATAACGGCACTCAGACAGACAAATCTGGATCCGAGGGCTAGGGGAATGCGGCGACGGGGGGCGCTGTATGTGGTCTTCTGAGTAGGTGGGATGCACGCCTTTGTTCAGCCGGCGGGGGTGGATTTCCAGCAGCAGGCAGCTGGCGGGAGTGAGGTTTGCGCGCCTGGCAGCCGGCGGTGGTGGATTTCCAGTACCTGGCAGCTGGCAGGGGGGGAGGTTTAAGCGCCTGACAGCCGGCGGGTGCAGGCGCCACATTCGCCAGCTGGGCCCCATCTCTCTTGTCCTCTTTTCTACCCCCTTCATCTCGTCCTTAACAACCACAATATATTTCATGACTTGCACATAAATCCTTGAACCGCAAAAAACGCCGGCTGCTGCCACCACTTATGCAGCCAGACGTTGACCGCCACAACACGACCCAAAAGCATCCTCGTCATCTTGTTCCCGTCTGCCCGTCGCCGCCGACCCCACCGCGGCCACTTCGCCGTAAGAGATCACCACCACGATCCGACTCTCTCCTTTACCCACCCCCCGAGACCTTGAGCTTCATTTGCGCAATCGACTTCACCGGCGACAGTGGCCATGGCATAACCGAGGTGCTCCATTGGCTTTGCTATGTGATAAGCACACTTTTCCGACTTGCTTACCCGCGCCGTTCTCCGTTGGTGACCTGGCGGTGCTGAGTGCAGAGCGGGCGAATAACAAATAATTAGCCCTATTGTTATCTGGAGTGTGAGTGGGGTAAGGTGGGGGTGGGAGATGCATGGGAAGCATTGTTTCCGAAAGAGAAAAGATGCCAACCGTGTCTGTTTGCTCTTCCACTCACTCACCCTATCACACATCGCCATCTTTCTTTATGAAGATCTTGACCTACGCATTCTTACGCCGAACCAGACGAATATCATCTGCTACCTGACTTACTCGGACATCGCTTGCATGCATACCATGGCACGGCGCGCCATCGTTGTCCTGCTTGGCCAACACAACAACAGGGGCTGGCACATCAATCTGCACTCACACCCAAACAATCACCCACACATAATCCCTGACTCCCCGCCATCACGCAATCATTACTACTCTAGGACGTTTCTAACTCCAACGCAGCCGGCTAATATCGCGGCCAGTCTACCCGCCACCACCACCACCACCACCACTACCTACTCCCATTCCCTTGGCGAAATTAACCCCCGAACACTTACGGCCGTACACTTTCACAGCCTGTCCGGCCATGGTGCCTTGAGCCGTGCCGCGCCGTGCCGCCTCGTGCCGCGCCACACCGCCCCGCACTCTTGGCCCGCCCCCCTGCCACCCGCTTCTCTGTCCGCTATCGATGTGTCTTGGGAGGTGCGCGTCTCAGCCAGGTATACGGTATACCATGGAACAAGTCAGCAACCTTTGTCTCTGCGCCCGCTCGACTCGATGATGCTGAAGAGCGGAGTGGAGCCATTATGCGGGTGGTTGTCTCGCAGACAGAAGTTGTCTCTTCGGGTATTTGGATTGTACGCTGACCACCCTTTTCCTGATGGTGCGTACTTTCTGCAACGAGCCGTTCTGCCCTGCTGTGGAAGCGCCGTCCACTTGACAAACACTTTTTACTTTCTACCAGCGTGTATCTTCGGGCTCCAATGTGGGCGGTTTGCTTGCTCTGCGTCGTGGGTGTCCAAACGGGTTGCGCACGCTTAACAACTGGCAGGATCCTGACTTGCTCCCCAAGGACGACTCTTACATACTGCCCTGTTCTGTATTGGTATTGTGGGATGAGGGATTGGGCCAAGGGATGAAAAGACACAAGTGAAATAGCAACCCCCAGTCTACCTTTGTCCTGCCCGCTCTCTTAATACTCCGCGTCTGCCTCTTCTGGCTGCCCCTTTGCGTTTGTCTCAAACCATCTCTTGGTGACGACTACAGCGCGTCCGTGTTGCTTTTGGCCTTTTCACTCATATCTCTCTCTGCTGCAGCCGCTACAAAAGCCTAGCGCCATGGACCAGAACCCGGCTTCGTTGCTTCAGACGCCGGAGCAATGGCCCCTTTGCTCAGAATTGGATACGCCCTTCTCCTCTGCCTACTTCTCCGCCGACGACCTACAGGCATACGCCATGCAAAACCGCACCACCACCATGCCCGAGCCCTACCGTCCGCAGCCCACAGCAGACCTCATGTTTCTTGACATGCCGATTCCGGGCCCTGATGCCGGTCTCGGTCTCGGCCTCGGATGGTACGTGGACCTTGTTGACGATGGCTTGAGCATCCTGGCGTGCTACGGCGGCTCGGGCCAAGACAACCACCGCCCTCCCCGGACCGGAAGGGAGGTTCCGGGGCCACCTGATTTCCCGCTTCTCGCCGACAGCCACGCAGCCGTCGCGATCCTCGCACAGGAGAGAATGTCAGCCAGGCCAACCGACGGGTTCCGTTCAGTTAGACTCGAAGACCCCCAGAGCACCTCTCGAAGCCTGCCAAACCCGCGAGAAAAGACCGGCAGCACACGCACGGAATCCGACGCCGTGGCTCGCCCATCCAAGCCTCCCCCGCCGCTTTTCAACGGCGTTAGTGGGCCGGACACGGGCAAGGCATCCGCCGCGCACGCCCAAGCACGAGCCAATCAGCATAATGGCCCTCCTCCAGTCGACGGAGGACAGCTGGAGCGCGCCAAAAAGAAACATCGGCAGTACTCCGCCACCCCTAGCGCTTCCCCATCCTCCGGCAACGCGAGCAGCCCCGTCCCTTCGGCCTCGGTCGCACGCCTCTCTCGCCAGCCCCATCTGGCGGCTCCTTCGATTCCGCCACAGCGCCAGCCACCTTCGTCCAGGGTGCCGTCCGTCGTCGCGGTGCCCAAAGCGCGGCGGGGCGACGTTGCCCGTACGAGTGCGGAACAACAGAAACACCAGCGAGGGCGGTGGGCAGCGGAAGACAGGGAGAAGAAGAGAGCGAGGAGAGCTTCCGTTGCAGTTGGCGAGTATCAGATGCACGTCATGAACCTGATTGAGTTCATCAAGAGGGGAGCGGCTTAATCAATGATGAATTTGCCCTATTCAAGGAACAGAAGGAGGGTACGGCTTGGGGATCTTTGTACTGGCTGTAGGTATCTAGGAAATGAAACGATGAGATGAAGGGCAGAGAGATAGAGAGAGCAGCAAAGAGTGTTTATATTACAGTGCTGTAGTCGGATGCATGATGATCTATCTGTGTCTGGAGGTGGATAGCTAGGGCCTGGCAAGGGGGTTTGGTAGTGGGCGATAGGGGTTCACTGAAAGGTGTTTCTACAGGTACTCTAACAAAAAGAAGATGAAAGAATGAGAGGGAAAATTCGAACGATGTTGGTCAGATTAACTCTCTTTATTCTTCCTCTGCCGTCCATTAGCTGCCAGAAGACTCCAGAGCACTGTTCCCAGTCTTCTGACTTGAAATTCGAACAACAAGTCCTTCCAGCCCCCTATGCGCGTCGCCATCTTCTTCGAGTCGAAGCCAGAGAGGAGTAACGAGTCTCGGAGCAATAGTAATCGATTCGGCCAAGCGATGGCTTGCCAGCAAGGCGGAGGTCCAAGGGTCATTGGACAGACTACCTGGGAAGAGGTGGCGGAAAGAGGACATGAACGTCGGCCTTGCTCCGTTTGCTCAAGGCCCTGTCGGAACCAGCTGGGGCTGGACCGCGTCTACACTGCGAAAAACAAACGATGGCGATTTCTCGACTCCATCGGTAGGGCCAGAAGGAGCTTGCAACCTGGCGCGGAACAGAACGACGCGATTGTCAAGGATGCATTCGTGGGCAGTATGGTGGACCTCGCTGCGGCGTTGAGCAGACGAGAAGAGACGTGCATGTAAGCAGAGGTGTGGGAGCACAAGCTTATTGAACTCTGTCGTCGTTGAAGTTGTTGAAGCACGGCTTACGGTTTCCATGGGCGGGAAGAGGACCGTGGCACGCAAAAAGAATCACCCAGCACACAGCTTGCTGCCTCTTGTAAGCGTAGAGAAGACATGGGAACGCGGTAGAGTAGTGTTCCTGTTTCGCGCAGAGACAAGTTAGTCCATCATGTTCTTCTTTTGCGTCAACACCAAACCGTGAGTAGAAAAAGAGCATCCAGAATCATGGCGAGGAACGGGGACCACGGAGAGAAGGCCAAGTCGGGGACGGAGAGGTAGCATGTGCGCTTTGCATGGCCGGCTCATGATAGTCGGTGGTGATGGGGCAGAGACTGCGGCACCGCTCGGGTTCATGCAGGCAGTCTTGATGATGAGGATGATGAGGATGATGAAGATGACGAAGATGCCGATGAATCGGACATGGCGAGAGGAAGGCGTGATCAAGTGATTGACTCGTGGTTCTCGAGCCAATTTTTGGTTAGAGTCAATGGCATTGGGTGGGTGGTTAGCGACAGTAACAAGGGCAAATTCTGTTTAGTTATCCGTAGTTGCCTTTGCATCTGCAATTGTTTGGCGCAGCTGAGCGAAATTAGCCGAGGTCGCTTGTCATTGCGCCAAAACGGAGTCAAAAGGGACAGACGGACAGTTCGTGCTAGTTATACGTACCTGCTGTGAGTGCTTGTTCTTAACTTGACCAACTTTACACCGTCTCTCCGCGGCAACAACCCACTCAGCTGCCTGTTCATCACTTCCCAATAATACTCAATTCCTACTCATCCACACTCACGACATGGGACACAAAGAAAACCCCCCCCCGCCAGGAGGGCAACAAAGCCAACAGCAACGACGCCCAAGGCCCAAAATCCTACCAGGTTGACCCCGCTGCTTACAATGTACGTTTGTTTTCTATTTATTCTCCTCGTCCATTTAACTACCCTCCCGTCCTCTCACTGCACTGCAATGAATCTAGACCGGACCATCCTACTGACTTCACAACTTTCCTTGCAGTCGACCCCACCCAATGACGACGACGACGACGACGACCACGACCACCACCACCAATATAAGGTAGATGTCATCAATGACCACAAGCAACGCGACAATGGAGTCATCTTTCTTCATGTCTTGTAAGCGGGGTACCTGGAGCCACCACCTAAGAGAATAAGAACAAGCTTTGACATCATGCCCTTGGCGCCGTGCTGGACTGCTGGGCCTGTTTCCCAGGTAGTAGGGATAAAGCCCTCAATGGCAACCCTACCGATCTAGCTGCCACCTGGGAAATCTTTGGAATCATGCGACACCGCAGAGCTGTCGGCCGCAAGCCCGCCCAGTTCCAGATACAATGGCAATCTTGTCTGCTCCCACCAAGGCGGCCACTCATCTTACTCGGTTGGTATCGCCTTCGGGAACATGGAACGTTATGGGGCACACCACATGATGTTGCCGATGGTTGGCCGCGGCAGCCCGGATACCCATCCAACTTCTCCGGTGCCAACAAGAAGAATTACTAGTCCAGGATTGGAAATGTTGGTTCAATTCGAATCCATATCAGCTAGCCCGACGTGCCATATCATGTCTCCCGGCCGGTCAGTCAGTTAGTCCCCCGTGAAGAGTCTGTGTCAGTGTTTACGAAATAATTTGTGTTTCTTGCCGCTGCAGAATAAACAACTAACGCAGTGTAGCACTTCTGTGGTCGTCCCACCAAAGCATAACGACATACGCCCACACCCCACCCCCTCAGCCAACCTATTCAATTCCACCAGTATATTGCCCGGCGGCCTCGTCATCGCTCTAACCTAGGTACTAGCCCCCCCAGATGTCTGGCCCAGATGATCCCTCTAGCGCTCCCTTAAGAATGCTCCTCCGCTCGTTGAAAACAATACAACGTCCGCTATCTACCCACCAAACTCAGCATACTACCCATCAGCTCCATCTTGCATCTTCAAGTCTAGTCAAAGCGCGCCACCACGTCCCACTGGCAGTCGGCTTGAAGCCAATCAACATGATAAATAAGCACCAGAGTCTGACAAGCTTTGGGTTGCTGCTATAACTGGCCCCAAGAAAATGGAAGTTGTACCCTCCGAGGCCAATTCCACCTCAATTCAGACACCCATGTCTCGTCCTCCTCTCTCGCTTGACTTTCCGTAGATGGTGTCCTCGACCGTGGCTTCAAGCTCCGCAAAGATGTCCGACCTTGGTGGTAGGCTGAACGGGCCAGCCCATCGTTGTCACCGACAGACCCCTATGGCCTAGCAACTGATTCACCTATTTTGCGGCCCAAGTTGTATTCCATCAAACAGCGCGGCAAAACGACAACAATTTACGTCCTGAAACATTGGCCCGAACGGGATATATTCTACGTCCACACCTCCTTCACCTCTCCTGCGACTTCGAGAAACACCCCTCTCAAGACCTTAATTACTTCTGTACAAAAAGCTGCTTCTATCCCCGCTGAGACCAACGCTACCAACATATCCGCTGCCGCCTCTGTTACTGATTCTCGGCGCAATGACCAGGGCGCTGGTACTGAGGGCTCTGCCTACCAAAGCGAAAGGAGCGTAAGGTCAGCATGCGCGTCCACGCGTGTGATCAGTGATGCTTACCCGAATAAGGGCGCTAAGACGCCAAGAAAGGACGAGCACAGTCCCAAGTCTGTCTACCGCAAGGCAATGAAGCAGCTTGCTGTTCTGGAGGCTACTGTTCAACCCAAGACACACAGGGCAACAATCAAATCCTGTCTCGAGGACAACCTGCCACCAAAGATGGAGTTCGTGCTTACACTTCCGGTAACACCCATTCAGGCCACGCTCTATGACACTTTTCTAGAGTCTCTCAGGAAAGAGGAGACAGGCGGCGGAAAGATTCTTGGTGCCGTTAACAGCTTCTGCAAGGCTGGAAAATAGGAGGTCCGCCTGATAACCAGGATGCGGGTTAATTTACTAACCTTGTGATTAGACGATAAGATATCATATAATATGATAAGATTTCACTTCGATTTTTCTTTGCTCTATTACCATCCATCGCATTGCGTCGCAGGGTCAGTTAATTTTCTCCCTCCGTCAACCATTCCCCGATTCAACAGCTTCTTCGTTCTTAAATCCAAGTGAAACAATACCCTGCCAAGCCAAGCCAACAAAATCAACAAAACCGCCTGTCTACGCAACGGATCAAGGTTGTTGCTAACCTTGGTCTTTACCCTGTCTGTATCTTGTCTCGTCTTATGCTGACCGGCCGTTATAAGTTCGCACACCACACCATTACCAGACTCTATGCCTCGAAATCATGCGGCCTCGGCTGTTCTGAACGCCTTCCCGAACGCTTCGGCTGCCGAGCGTGACGTCAGCTGTCACTCAGAGGACCATAACGAGGAGGACATCGTTGGTATGGCACCATCCGCGATTCCACCAGCATCTGAGACCGACTTGACAAAGGCCGCAATCACACCCGCAAGGGCCACAGCCGCCTTGGTAAAGCCCGAAATCAACAACTCAAAAAGGCTAAAGCTGACACGAAAAAGGTAGCAGACAAGGCGAAAAAGGCAGCAAAGCTGCGCAAGCTGCTTGTTCCCCTTTGCGCCTCTGTTGTCGCGGCCAATTCTACATTCCGCAGTATTCCACTCCTTGCTTCCGCCGCCAATGCCGGCGACGACGCCACATCTGATGCCATGGACCAAAGCTTGTTGGGTTCTTTAGGGTGGCATAGGTGGTGCTTGAGAATGGACGTTACCAAGACTAAGAATTAAAAGCTCGGAACTTGGAAGAGGCTGCATGCAGACGGTGCACGCCATTTATCGGTGTGAGCATAGCCCAGGCATAAACGGTGAGGGCATAAGCATGTATTTCCTAGAAGGACATAGGCATATACCAGTTATCACATAGTCGAGTCTCGAGCGATCGCAGCATTAGATATCACAGCCGCAGTAGTCGTTTAGCAACCACGGCACATTTTCTTCAATCAACGACACACGTCTCTTCCCACCTCTGGCCTACAGAACTTCGGCCTCCGTCTTGACCTTGGCCTTGATGTCGTTGGGGTCGTCACAGTGCACCTCGCCAGGGGTAATACGAATGATGGGGCCTCTCAGGGCTAGCCCGAGGCATCCTGTTCCCGCCCATCATCCGCCCTCTTCGGCCCTACTCACCGTATACCCAGCAAATCCGCTTGATCGCGTGGGTGAAACGCCCCCAGAGGACATCGTCGAAACAGATCTCATACCAGAAGGTCGCTGCCACGAGTCTTATGCCGGTATTGGCTGCAAGCAGTACGTTGCCCAGCGAATCCAGTGCATCAGCCACAAAGCATCAATAGACTGCAGTAGGTGCGATACTAGAGACTAGACAGTTACAACGGGGAATGTTTTGCGTGAAACCAGTACCCGACCACGTCCATTCACCCGCCGTGTGACTGGACCGCGTCCTACGAGACCTTGACCCATGTCGGGCTCGCGGTGCTGGCGCCAGGGAAAATGCTGGTCTTGACTTGTTCTTGACTGCAATGGCATCATTAGAAAGTGTGTGCATTACAGATGAAAACTAGCGTCTAGGTCTTCAGCAGCATTTCTGTGTATTTCCAATGCAAACAAATGAATTGAGAGACGAGTTGTATGTATTGCTTCACCTATATATTTCATAGAGCACATGTTATCATCGGTAAGAAGAGAGCTCCCGCGACTCGCGCAGTGAGATATCTGATAATACTTACCAGCCCCGACGCATCGTAGACAGCGCTTTCCCTCGTACGACAGACATTTCAGGCGACCACACTCTCATTATCCACTCGCGATCGCCCAATTGACGACCGCCAGGAATATCCCGCGATGCCCCGACCTGTTCCATTTGTCGCCAATCATTGCCCACACCTGAAGAACAGATTAAATGGTATGCTCAGACGTCAACAAGTACTTCCTAGAACGTCGGCTATTCCCGACCGAGATGAACCCAACTGAGATTTGTCGCCGAGGCACTCCCGATTTGGCACTTTTGCTGGCAAGTACCCTTTGTCTTTGCCAGACCTGACATGGCTGCATGTCACTTGTCGGTCATTCCTTTTTCTTCTAGAGTGTAGGTAATAACCCGTGGGTATTAGTACTTTCACTCTGCACTTGCTGATATTTAAACACCAAAATACCTATCAGAGCACACAGCTCTTGAGGAAAGTTTGTCTTACAACGAACGACTGGTGTCTATTATTGAAATCGAAGTAACTCCAAGCGACCGACCGCCGAGATAGTTAGATCTTTGACGACGTCTGGAACAAAATGAAAATGCCCGACTATATGGCTTGACACATGAACTAATGCCGCCCCTGCTCGTTTTCTGGCGCTTACAGATTAATAACAGCCGCTCGAAGAAGAAGAAACTCTTTGGCCACTTATGGTATAGAGAGCAAGGTGTGCCCCCCCAGTAAGTACCATCCCATCTGAAGCCATGGACGCGGCTGGCTGGCATCATTAACCAATCGCTGCTGTTATCCCCGCAACGACTCTCTCAGAGCATCCGAATCAGGTAATATGAGCTCAAATCGACGACTGACATCAAGCGCCTCTTTGCATGATATGTATCGGTTTTGAACGACTTCAATGGCTACGACATCAGGTACCGAGCCAAGAGTGAGATTGACGCTCGAATTTATGTTGTCTACAACATAATTCAAGTTCTGTCAGACGATTGCGACTCTTCTCCCGGGACCGCAAAGCCCGTCCTCTAAGTGATTATCAACGGGCATCGTTGAGGAGCAATGAGAGATTGTTCTGGCCCTCAAGAGAGGACGGTTAGATAGACAAGTCAAAGAAGGAAATGTAGGCCAAGCCTTTTACCCACACCACCAAGTCCTTATTACGTCGACAGCCCAAGGAATGTCCCTGGAATTCGACGTATGCCTCCATGAGTCATTGCAGACCACTTACTTGTACTCTAATCACAGGTTACAAATACGAAGCCGTCATAGGTTCCTGCCTACACACGTATTAGCGACAGCAGAATTGAGAAGAATAACCGAGTAGATTGCTTGTGTTATCATGATGCAGCATCTGCAGTTAAGCCTGCGGGGCTGGGGCATCGACGCGGGAGGCAAGAGACGAATTAGACGTGGTGTTGTTCTCCGCATGATGTTTCTTCAATAGGAAACTCTGGGAAGGGCCAGGCCAAAACTCTTACACAGTCCTAGAATGAAGAATTTAAGAGTCAGCTTGGTCTAGATAATGATTTGCCTGTTAGGATACTTACAAAGTCTTCCTGACTGTTTAGGCTTAAGGGAGTGGTAGGAAGTGGTTTTTACATCTGTCTTGGCTGTCATCTTGTCTATGGTATCATGACTGGTAGGTTTTGCGACCGCCGCGGCTTTCACATAGTGAGCTGGGTGTAATCTTGATTTCAGTCTCAGGGATCAGCTGCTAGATGCGTGAAGTAATAGTTAAATAGGTTAGACATCGGGAGAGAGACATTTTCTGTGGGCTGGTCATATCCTCGACGCTTCGATTCCGAGTCCTCCATGATGCGAAGCTGCAATGTCGCTGTGTGTGGCTACTAATTTCTCTAGTGATTAAGGTGATAGCAATGAGAAGAAGTTAGACAGAGTGGGGTGGCAGGACTGGATGATCTGGAGCCGACAGTATGTCCCGCTGTTCCCCCGCGTAACGATTTCGCCATGTCATCTTTTGCCCCTGACTTGTATATCCCATCATTCCTCCGTGATATTGTACTTGGGAAGTTAATTCAGATGCTCATTTACCAGTCTTTATAGTGAAGCCGAGAGTTTTGACAAAGTCCGCGTGCTTCTCGAGGCTAAGAGCCTCGGTAAACCCGTCAGTAGGCATCTCGTGGGTTCAATTGAAGAGGCTGGAGGTTGAAGTTGCCTCTCTTAACTTGATCAACAACCCACTTGTGTCAGGTCGGGGTTTTGAATGCAGGCTTTATTGAGTGAATGCATTAAGTTTATAAGCCTATTTCTAGGATCTCTGAGTAGTGACCAGTGGGCGTCGCCGTTCAGAGCCGAGGCCTAGAAGCTTGTGGACCCAGCGGGCCGAGAGGCTGGTTGGGGTCAGGTTCATGAACCTTGCCTCTGTAGAGTTAGCGGTGACCCAAGGCTGCCCCTTTCACTTCCATGTCACGGGACCACTATCCAAGATGACCACGTATCCTCTAGTGCTCACACGAGCAAAGTGGGAGTCATCGTAGGCGGCGTCTCTCGCGGCATGAAAGAAGTTTCAGGTCGTTTATGGACAAAGGTCCCTTGAAAGCGATGCCAATGTCAAGTGTACTAGTGATATACTGTATAAAGTACTTTATTGCGGCAAGATAATCCTTACTAGGGTTCCTATTGGCCTCTCAAGGCCCGCTGAGCGTGCAGATGATGTCTGGATGAGTATCTGTGGAGGGAAAAGTAGCAGAAGCCGTGATCTGCCTACAGATCACGGTACGGTCTGTGTCATGCTTATGTAGGGTATTTAAGTTATACCTGGCTGGTTACCTGACGGCGGCTTCGTCATCGATGGGTGTGCGGGTGGGTGGATAGAGTCCTGTATATCTGAATTTCTACGGCTCCTTGTGGCGGAGCCCTGGTGGCATAAGGCGATGAACCCTGCCGTTGATGTTGCGGTATACTTCATATCTGAGGAACTTCTGGACATCTCCCAGATCCCTCATGGCGACAAAGGTCTTGAGTAGATCCTTGAGACTGTGAGTGGTGTCGCGGTACGGGTCAGTTTATCCCACTGCTGGACGCCCTTGACGCCCTTGGCAAGCTGACTTAACCCACAGAGACGGCGCTTCCGGTGGTGCCAACGCCGGGGAACAGTCTTCTGGGGTTGAGCATGACACTGCGCGTAACGCCTATGGTGTCCTGGAGATTTTGCTTAATCTTGCCTAGCACATTATTTGAACAGCGTTAGGGCATAATAAGTCATCGCTTGCGGTGACTTTATCGTAGCAGACGCCCCTCACAGGGGTAGCTGCCCAAGCAGACCGCCAATCTGGGGCTGTCTGACGAGACGGGGAGTCATCGTACGCCTAGTCCCAAAGGATAAGTTCCGTGGACGGATGGCCGCTTGGTATACTTACACTGAGCATTGTGAGCAAAACGATTGGATGGACGCTGAATAGCTGAAGCCTCGGTTCTAGTCTCTCCTCTCGGAGGCCCTAAGCCGCGAACCCCTTTAGGGACACATTGTGACGAATGGTGTGCTCCGGGTAATTTAGAGGAAGGTGGAAGCCTTGTAGGGCGCCTTTAGCCTAGCTGACTGGCTGCCTTGGCGGGTGCAGGTAACACTGGCAAATAGACTTTTTTAGCGCTGCTTATAGCGTTGATGGCCAACCTTGGTGTAAGATAGTTTACGGAAGGTCTGCAGGTTCTTTGTGAGCTTGCTGGTGTGTACAGGGGGTGCTTGCTGGGCCAGAGAGTGTGGCGGCAGCGATGGCCGAAAGGACTAGAGGCTGGTTTTTGTCGTCCAAGTATTGTCAAGACTGATATATCCCTTGTTGCTTCCATTAGACTTGCCGTAATATGTGGTGCCATTTATTACGGTTCCTATGAAACCTAGTCTCTTTTAAGCCGGAATCTCTTTTGAGTTCCTGTTATTTCTATGTGTATATGAGTTATTTGGCTTGCGTGGTATCATCTTTCTGGCTTAGTTGTAGGTCTAGAGGTTGTGGTATTTGGCTTTGATTACTTTGTCGGCTTCGGTGGTATTCTGCAAGATGATTTCTTTGTGGGGATCTTGAATTGTGTTGCGCTGGAATCGTTATTACTACTGTTTCTCTTTGAATTGAAATACTGTATTTTAGGCAGTGCTAAAACGTCTTTAGCTAAAGAACTAAACGAATAGCAAACAAGTAGCAAGACAACATAGATGGAGTTTATTCAGCTCAGATTACATATTGGCATAGAGACAGCAACCCCTAGGCTGGATCTTATACAGATAGAGCCTGGCGAGAGGAGTTAGATTTACTAACTTTGCATTAATTCATTTATTGCTTGGTTTGCCTACATCAACTTTGACTATGACTAGATTGTATTCTCCCTGGTGTGTGTTAGGCGTTGTTCCCTATCGAAGGCTGTTGTATAGCTATGCTAAGGCGTAAAAGCACTGTAGGAGAGTACAGAGGTATTCTTGTCTGCAAGATTAGCTATAATAGCGTTGAAAGACACTCTCTAGCTGTAACAGATACAGAAGAGAATTTGAACTTAGGGGAGGGTTTTGAAACCGGCCAAAGTCTTGTCTGGTCTATGTCCTTGCTGATCTATGGCCGTAGAAAATACTGGTTACTGCTAAGGGTATAAGGCTTTCTGGCTGAGAGAAGCAGAAAGCATCACATCAGTTGTCCGCATCTACTGTTACTTGAAGAAGAGAAAACAAGGAACAAGACGGACTATTCAGCAACCTGATCCATTAAGACTCTGGATCAAAGACGCGGAAGTGAATCTGGCTCTGGCTATTCTGAACACAAAAAGGCCTCCAAGAAGGATAGCGGGGATAAATCCTTGGCTTGAGTAGCTTGCTTGTTGCTATTTCCATTGTGCATCGTGCCGCAGAACCTACTCGATACCACCTCTGGTGTCGGAGAATATCATGTGGGGAGCTAAGCTAGACTAGTTGGCCAATCTACTATCAGCAGATACCAAAGCTGTACCACCCCGCGTCATTCCGTCTCTATGCAAATACGAAAGCAACCTGCTACCAGATGCTACCAGGAAACCTAGTTTAAGGCGCTCTCCTATTCCATTTAGCCCGCTATATCCCTTTTCCATGATCGTTGACTGCCTTGAAGGCTAAGTTGTTGACATAGCCTGTGGAGGGGCAAAAATATTGCTATGAATATGGTGGCGTTGGTGATGTGTGACTCGGAAAAGGCTACTGATTAGCAAGGTGAAGAAGCTGGTGAAGGCAGTGGTCGCCTAGGTGGACCAAACTACCAACATAGCCTGTCTAACACCCTTTACTTCCTTCTCTTTCTCCTTGCCTTTGACTTTTGAGAGTCATTAAATGTCTTAACAAGGAAACCATATTTTCCAAGGTTCCTTACTGGCTCCTAGGTGTTATCCTTTGCAGCGTAATTCTTCTACTTCACCAAATACGTCTTCTCTTTAGTAATAGGGTTAATACAGGCGCTGAAAATCTTCTCCACGACATACTCCTCCCTGGTGAACTGCAGTGTGCCTAAATTTCCTTTGCAGGGAGTCTTCTTAGGGCAACTAATACCTCAGCTATAAGAGAAAGAGGCCTGTCATTCTCATGGTCAGTTTTGAATCTCAAAACACAAAGAACTAGGACACAAATACCCTCTTAGTAGGAGCAGCCTAAGCCTGAGGGATTCTGGCAGGAGCAGCTTTCTCGGAACCAAATAGAGTAGAGTTACGGGTGTTTTGAACCGATTCTATGATCCCACGTTGATTGGTTTCTGCGTATCACATCACCCGCCGCTCTCAAGGTTGGTGAAGCGCTCAAGGCCCCAGGCGGGTTGAGGACCAACCCTTAGAAACTCGTCCTCCAAATCGCCTTTATGGTGGTATTGGGTCTGTAGAAGAAGAGGATGAGAACGAAGGTGGTGCGACTGGCAAATAAAGAAAGCTGGTGGGCGTGGAGAGACTGTCGCTTAGCTTCTCGCGGCGACCAAAAGGAAAGAGGGATGGCTTCATCGAGAAAAAGGTAATATTCTTCAGCGTGACTGCAAAGGCATACTGTCCTGGAAAGATGATAAATCAGATGGATTACGCGCCTCGAAGGAATTAAACGGACCAGTAGCTGTTGCGTGCGGAAGAAGTGAGGCTGTGGGCCCGAGCGACGGTCCTGCTCGCTGCTCGAGAGTTGATGGCGATGGTTGTCTGCGTGTGTAACAAAGAAGAAGAAAGTATTTTGCTTGGCTGGCTTGGCTTGGCTTGGATTGGTATATATCATGGCATCTTGTGAGAGACCATTGGAGTTAGCAGCTTTTCTCATATTTTAGGAACATAAAGGCCTGGGGAGAAGGTGTGTGTATGCAACTGAAATATGGGACTGGGACGGGTTTCAATCTTGTTGCAAGACTAGATGGTATTTCTTGTTTAGCTTAACACTTAGGGCCAGGATGTCTTAAACGCTGTAACTTCTGGGTTTACTGCTGTTAGATGTAATGACTAACTGGTGTTACTATTTGTAGTAGTGGTTATGACAACTTAGAAGAGTGCTGTCCATTGATTGACGCGCTGAATGCGGATGTAAAGCACAGCTAACTCAGCTAGTCTCTTACACCAGGCAAGTGTGTTAATACCACCTTAAGTAAGATCCTCTTGCAACCAATGCTTCCCTAAGGCCAATAAGGCGCTCTTTGAATCTTTCTAGACTGCACTGTTGGCTAATTTGTCTAAGACATGTACTAGTAGGGAAGTTCCGTGACTTCTTTGCATCGAGCTCGGCCGGTCCGTGAAGGGAGGATGCCAAGGCTTAATAGATCGAACGCTGGCGCCTACCTGGGAGAGGTTCAGCTGCAGAGCAATGTCCAGCTTCTCTTGGATCTTACCCTTGGTTGTAGGTAGTTGATTCTCGTTGGCGGCGTTATTTTTCTTATCACCATCTGGTTTGGGAACCGAGCTATCGTTAGAAACAGACGATCTAGGGTCCTTGCGGCTCTTGGGCGACAATGATCCGCGCTTGCGTTTCCTGCTCTTCTCCGAAAGAGCGTAGACAGTTTTGCTATCCGCACACGTGTCGGCGAGTTCGTCCCAGTTGTCCCAGTCGCTGTCGGCCTGCTCAAGACATTCGATAGAGTTGAACGGAAGCCCATACCTTGGCAACCGACTGACTGGGTTCGAATTTCTAAGCTCCCAGCAACAAGAGCGGCTGCCACCAGTGGTGGCTTGCGGTTTTGCTGATACGAGAAACCCTGCTCAAGTCACAAGTAAATTCGTTAGTCAGAGGTCAAAATAACCAATCAAACAGCACGTACCAATAAACAGTATCGCCATAGGTAGTCAAGCCAACCTTGGTGCAAGATTACCCATTTCTATTGGAACGGGCAGGAGAAGAAAATGACAGGCCGGAGTCTAGGTGTGATCTGGCAACTTGGATGGGTCAAAGAGGCGCGTCGGAGATGGTTTACCGCAAAGGCTTATCAAGACGGTAATAATTAGTGGAACCTCACGCCGCCAGCAAGTTGGAGAAAGACCGGGCGACCAGCGGCGGATCAATTGTTCCGGGCCCCAAAGATGGATTTTCCGCACCAAAGTAAATTACACTTACAATAATGTCAGTGTTGACAATAGCTCAGTGACAATCGCCGTAGTGTAACTGCATGGAACGACAACGGGGATAGGTTTTCGGTTGATATTTAGGTTGCTGGGTGTGTAGAAGGAGGGAGGGAGACAAGGATACGCGATGAAACAAAAAAGAGTGTGGCGTCGCGTGGCGTCGCGTGGCGTTGCGTGGCGTGGAGACAGACAGAGGTACTAGCGGCCAGAATCCCAAGTGAGCGACGATGGTGATGGGTGATGAGCGATCCTGCTTACATACATTGGGGACCGCAAATAAACATGGAATGCGTGGAAGGGAAGTGACGGTGCCCCTGGTGGCTGCTACCTCCCCTGTATCAATCAGTACGTATCAGGCGTTTTAGCAGATTACAGAGGAATTTCCTGCCAGGCTTTGCCTGAACCCAGTTATCCTCGGGATCCTCAAGAGCGCCAAGAGACGCAGATCAAGTCAACGCAGTGCAGTGCCGGACAGTGAATACAATTCAGTACAATCATAGACGGGAAGCATGCACGTCGTCGTTCAAATAAGCTCATGTCGCGCTGGTTTGATTCCTTCTGTTTTCGGCCTGCATGTTGGTGGCAATTGGCTGCGCATGGTTTGCTTATGTAATACTATATCCGTATAGGTACATAACTAGCGACGGGAACGTTTGTTCCTGTTTTATGTTTTATGCATATGCGTGCGCACGCTTTTCTATTGCGACGTTTCCGCGAGTAATGATGACATGACACGAGAATCACAGCCGCCTCAAGTGGGAGCAGCACCTGGCTGAGGTCGTAAAAAGCGTGGACAGCGACAGCAACCCCACGGTCGGTAGCATTTGTCTGATGAATGCTTTGCCTCGAGGAGTATCGGAAAGACGTGTGTAGGGCTGGTGGAATGGAGCTAGACGAGCGGGAGCGATTTCCGAGGAGATGTGCGACGCGTGACTGGGCCTCGCTCTGCAATGACCTAATTGTCCGTCTGTTACCGCTGACCTGCTCGCATTGCGCATGCGGCGTTTCCAATTCCCCAGGGATTGGTTTGTATCTCCCAAGTCTCCTTCAAAAGTCGATGGTCATACCTTGGCTGGAGGAGCAAATGTACCTTACATTACGTGTCAAGGGCCAAAAGTTACCCCCCTCCGAGCGGAGCTGACGTCGTCGTCGGTCAAGCTGATGCAGCTGCAGAACCAGATTGAGCAGCAGGAGCAGGAGCAGGAGCAAGACAAGTACAAGAAGCAGGGCGGTGGAGGCGGCGTTGGTAACGAGGACGGGCACGACAAGGCGTGGGATGGCCAGCGGCGACGGCATCGCAGACGCGGCCTCGGCGGAGACCAGGATGTGTGGCGATGACGTCGACTTGGCGCGATGGTGGATTGACACGTTCTCTCTCTTTTTCTTTTCGCTTTGTCGCTACTGATTTGTTTGGATGCGTTATGCCGGCTTGTTTCATGGAAGAAGACATGATGTGATCAGGGTGAAGGCGACAGACAGATAAGACTGAGTGAGACAAGAGGTGAGGTGGATGGATGGATGGACAGGAATAGTCGGGGAAAACAAGGGAATAAACAGAATGTATTATGCAAAGGCCCATATACCATGCCATGTCCGCAGGCAGTGAGTGAGTGAATGCAAAAGGTTGAAAAAGGGCGGTGAGGATAGTGATGGTGGAGGAGGCATATCATGTCCCATGTCCACAGTCCAGAATGGGGGAGGAGGAGGAGTAGGAGCAGGAGCGCGGTGTAGGTACGTACATACGTGATCCACGATGGTCGATCGGGGTTCGTCCGATGTCAGATCTGATCTAGCAGGAAGCCCTACCCACATGCACCTGTCGTCTCTTTCTGCGGGGCGCTAAGGTACCGGTAGGTAGGTAGGGACAAGTAGGTACTGTACGTATCCAAGGCGGTCCGGCAGTACCAAGGTACGTATCTGCCCACGAGCAAGTGGACACACCACTCCACAGTACGGATACGTATCTGTACCTACATCGTACCTTACCAAGTGCCTGCTTGGGTGGGGAATGTACCTGTATCCTCCGGTATCTACAAATGTGGACATGTGGCAGGCACTATCATCAGTCAGATCACAGACAGACTGCCCGGATGACTGATGAGACGTGCATCAACACGTTGCACCGATAGACGGTAGGGACAGGCGAGTTGCGGGAGGCCCAGAGACATTCCCTCAACACAACTGGCAATTAACGGCACCACAGAGAGACAGCGTAGGAGGAAAGCTCTCCCAGAGAAGATAGGTAAGACAGGTTGCAACTTGCAGCAAGCAGGCGCGCGTGCGTGCAGATAGATGCAGCCGCATCAGATCTGAAGAACCATTGCGACTGGAGAGACAAACTCCTGCTGCGAACGCCTAGGGACAAACAAACCAGTAGGGGACAATGCACCGCCAAAAGGACCAGGCAATCTGACTAGGTAGGTAGGTAGTCAGTCTGCTTTACTTAATCGGTGCATTGTTCCTCTGCCTCCAAGGCACGCTCACCTTTCTCTCCAGTCTTGCTGTTCTGATGCCATCGCAGTACCACCCACTCTACTACTCCAATGTAACCACCACAACAAGAGCTGGCTGCACTACCACAAAACTTCTCTCTCTCTTCCACAGTTTTTAGCTTTTGCGGGGACGCCTGCACTTACTGATCTGGGGGAAAGGGGGAGGAGCAACTCCACGTGTACCTACACTACAGTACCACACGCTCAACAATCAACCCACTGTGGTGCCACACTCCACAGCCACCACCTACACAGTACTGCATTGGACAACAGCGACTGCAAGACTCTCTCTCCTCTCTCTTCCACGGGCCACAATTGCCTGCCTGCCTTCCACAACTGCCTCCGGGATCTCTCTTTCCCAGAACAAAGAAACAAACTCTTTTGCCCGCAGGCCCAACCAGCCGTTGCAGGGCCGGCTGCAAAGCCACCACACAACCACACAACCACACAACCCAAATCTTCCCCGTCTCTCCCGCTAAACAAAACAACAACTCAAAAAAATTAAAAAAAAAATAAAGAATAAAAAAACCCACCTTGTCATCTTGCACGCAGGCCCCACGGCCGTTGCAGGGCGGATGACAGACTTGCGCAGCAGAAATGCCAATGCGCCGCTCAATCACCACCCACCCCATCCATCCTTCTCTACTTTGACTTGCCGCTTGCTAAACAGCGAGCTGGCTTCAGGATGGGGTGTGAGCGTGTGGCGGGAGATACGGGGACAGGAAGGAGAGCAAAGCGGGGGGAGGCTTGGAGAGGGACTTTGGTGGGTTCGTCACTGTGTATTTTTATTTTCTACAATGGGTGGGTGTGTGCTCTGGTCTGGCCAGCCAGAGTGCGGACCCAACCAGTGTAAGGACGTCCTGGAACGGGACGGGAAGGGATGTCATTTTGGACTTGTGTACGTACTTTACTGTACTTTACTTTGTTGCCTCTTTTCTCTCTTCACGGTGGCGCTACACAGTGCGAATACACGTGCAGTTCTTGAACAAAAACATGCTTATCAAAACTTGGAAAGAGGGGGGTATGATGTATTTGTATAGCGTGCGTGCCTACGAGAGATGTGGCGCCGCCACACTTGAGCTTGAGCCCCTCTCCAACTCCCAATTTGGTTGTTCTCATTGGTATTGCTAGACTTGTGACCTAGTACTGTAGTTAACCAAGGTGTCTTCTTGTAAATTTTTTTTTTGCATCACGCGCGGCCCCGTACCGGATTTCTCTGGCGCCTGGGCCCCACAAGGGTGACCCACTCAAAGATACGGATTTCATTGTGCTGCACTACCCTCACACGTCGATAGTTAAGGCGTCTTCGACACAAGTCTAAAGGTCAGCTAACAACGAAACCGAGGACTCAAGCACAAGCATCAGCAATCAGAAAAAAAAGAAAAAAAAAGGAAGAAAAAAGGAAGAAAAAAGAAAGAAAAAAGAAAGAAAAAAGAAAGAAAAACACCTCAACAATGAAAACAAAGAGAAACAACAAAGATAAGATAAACAAAAGCAAAAGAACAACCACCCGCGTCACAACAGCTCCTTGAGCTTCTTCTCGTTCATGGCCCGCAGGCTCCTTTGCATGGCTTCGAGCCGTTGGGCAGGAATGTCCCCGGCAAAGTCGTCCTCGACCGTGTCCGAGAATGCTTCCACCATGGCCTTGGCCAGCGTCTTTGCCATCTTGGCCTTCTTGGATGGACGCACAAGTAACTTGGCGGTTCTGGCCTCGCGGGCACGCTTCTTGCTCTCCTCCTTCTTCTTCCTCTCGTCCTCGCGGCACTGCTCCCGAAACTTGGCCTCGAGGGCCGCGAGACGGCGGAGGCGGTGCTTGGCGGTGGCAGGGGCAGCGGGAACTTCCCGGACGACTGAGGTAGTCAGAGATGATGCCGTCTGTGCTCACTTCAGAGCACGAGTCCGAGTCGTAGCATGGCGGGGGAGGCGACGGGGTCAGGCGAGGGGGAGGGGGAGGAAGTGGAGCAAGGGGGGAAAGGGGGGGGGCCGAGGTCCTCGAGGAAGGCGTCGATGATGTGGCTGGAGGCTGTAGACGAGTCAAAGTCGTCCTTGTTGGCGGCTCTTTGGCCCTCTGGCTCCTTTTCTTCTTCTTCTTCTTCTTCCTGTCCTTGTCCTTGTGCTTCTCCTCGCCCTTGGTCTTGACCTTGGTCCTGGACCGGGACTGGGACTGTGGCTGGGACTGTGGCTGGGGCTGGGACTGGGACCGGGACTGGGGCGGGCGGAGGCGGGGGCGGGGGGATAAGGACGCCGAAATGGGTCTTCAGGTCACGAAGAGCCTGGTAAACAACATCGCCGTGGAAACGGCCTCTGCCGTTAGGGACAGCAAGGATGGCGGCGGTGAGGAAACCTGGCTGCTGACCGGGGGGCGTTAGCCCAGAGGTCCCAAAGAGACTGGTTGGGCGCATGCTTCTGAAACTCTTTGAGAAGAGACAGCATGGCGGCGCACAGCTTCGCGGTCGGCGGCATTGTGGTCGGGGGAGAGCGGGCGGGCCACCAGACGTCAGTCTGCCAGAGTACCCTGAGCGAAGCGAGGTTGCGGGCATGACGGCGGTCGGCGGCGCTGGGGGCGCGTCCCTGGGAGTCGACCTCTATATCACAGTTGGCAGACTGCTACGAGAGATGGTGCGACACGAATGCGGTCTGGATGCGGAGGTCTCTGCGGGTTGGTGCGTGGGCCGTAACCCATGGATTGTAGGCCTCTCTTGTTGGCTCTGAGGTGAAGGGGAAGGACTGCAGCAGAGTCTAAATGCTGTCTTAGTTACTTCTAGTCGCTACATTGACTCTGTGTTCAGACAGAAGACGTACCCGGTGGGTGTTTTGCTGGGGAGGAGGAGGAGGCGGAGGGGGAGGCGGAGGGGGAGGCGGGCCTTGGGGATCCATTACCCAATGCCTATAGACTATAAAACGAAACAACAAGACGACCACAAGACACAAACACAAGACACAACACAACAATCGAGACTTGACTAGGACACAAGGAGAAGCCAAGAGGAGGACGACGAGAACAGAACCAGATCGAGTGAGGTAGGTTCAGGTCTGTCTGTACCTTCCTCCTTTCAAACCCCAAGTTACCTAATTACCTACCTACATCTACCTGCCTTAGGTGCCTAACCACCCACCAGGTGCAAAATGTGCTCCTTCCAATCCTTCTCCCATACTTTCTTTCCCTTCCTTCCTCTGCATCTCCTTCTATCTCTGCTTGCAACCTTTGTCACCCGGAAGAAAGTTTCCCATAAACCAAATAAAACACACACACATACAGACAGACACTCGTTCCAGAGACCTCCAAACCCCCGTCCACCAAGTGTTCCTTGCGGATGCCGCCCAGTCTGTTTCTTGTCCTCAAAGGCGCACCCCCGCATACGACATTGCTGTTGCCATGCGATAATTCTTCCGCGCCATGACGTACTCTACTGGCCGAGCCCTTGAAGCCCAAAGCTCCCTGATCACGACCCCCCCCCATGCCTCAGTCTTGACGCCCATGCCCAGTCAGAGTCAGCCTCTCGCGAAGGCCATCCCCAAGCGGCACAGTAGCGCACCACTCGATCCATCTCCGCTTCTAGTCGTCGAGATATCTCCTTCTCATCACCCGTCTCAAGAAGGGCTCCGAGTGCCACGAGGGCTTGGATGAGACGAGAGGCCTCTGTATTGTCTTGTGACGACTTGTCGGCGAGACATGCGTGGTGGAAGCCGGATCGCCCAGAGTCATCGGGCCAGTCGTGAAGCGGTCCGTCACGGCGGATGCCCCGCGCCTCGAGGTCGCCAGCAATCCACTCCATCGTTTCCACCGAGGACGGCAGCGTGAACAAGTGTCGCACGAGGGACCCCGCCCGTAGATGGACCTCCGTGCTGCGGCATGTGGTGCGAGCCGCTCAAGCATCGCCAGCTGACAAAGAACTCGGTCGAGAGCAGACTGTCGCGTGTGATGTTCAATTCTGTGAGGCCCAGGATGGGGGCGTGGTCCACAAGACGTTGGAGGAGGTCCAGGTGGCCCTCGAGGGCGGCTGACACGAGGATGCTATCTTTCTCGGGCAGTAAGAAGCTGTGCGGATGGTCAGATCATCTGTGGCAAAGGGTAGAATTGGTTGGGTAGATTACTTGGGGGGGACGACTCACTCTCTTTCCTTGTCTGAACCCCAATAGATGTATGCCAGGTTGCCGCGTACAAGATGTAATCGGAGAGAACCACTTCGGCGTACAACAGCGGTGTGACGAGGGCGCGCCAGACGCGAGAGGTAGCAGCCAGGTTGGCGACATCTCTGAGTCCAACGGAACCACCAGCGTAGTTGGGTGAGTGAATAAGGCGGCGCGCGATGGCTATAATACTAATATCCCATATTTTAATAGAAAATTAAGCATAGGTTAAATACATAACTTAGGTATACAATGTCTAGGTCTAATATATCTTTTGATGGTGTAAAAGTAGGCGTGCTATAAATACAGGGTGGGGTAATCATACTCTAAGCATGGGTTCTATTGATTTCCCCGTCACCAAATACCTGGGATCAGCCGCCATGGGACTCTTCGGCAGTATTCGTCCCAAGACGAACCATATTTTGCCAGACATCGCTCCTCGTCTCGTAAACACCTATGGAGCAGCAATCCGGTCATGAAGATGGCGTAAAACCAAACCAGCAGCGTAGTCGTACCGACCACAGCGCACATGGAGAAACTCAATAAAAGATCTCCAGTGTAGTTCGCGTGGCGTGAAACACCCCACCAGCCGTTGCAAAGGAGGAGACTTTTGTGCAGCGTCCCATCCGAGGTCCTGTAGGGCGCGATGATGAACCGCGCGGGCTCACCCCAAATTAGGCAGTCTCCATTGGTTCTTCGACATAAATCCTTCTGAGCGTTTACGCGACGGAAGATATAGTATCCCAAAAGACCCAATGAGAGAGTGACGGCCATGTAGGCTGGCGAGGGCCTCGTCGGATACCGCCCCAGATATTGGGCCTGAAGCGTATACATGGCCGGAAGCCACGTAAAACAGCCCCAGGCCAAGTAAAACCCATAATGATCATGAGTGATGTCTATCGTCCGGAGGTACCAAGATTCGTTTGCAAAAAAGTCAACAATGTAAATGCTATGGAGAATCGTGACAAGGACGAGGCTCGCTGACAAAGTTCCGTTGCGATGTTGTAAAGCAAGGTTGGAAATATCTCTTTGGCTTGGTCAGCAAAATTTTCGTTCCACTTAGTTGTCTGGTCTTCCACGCACATCAGAGTCCAAGTCATCATGCCTGCTCGTCCATTGGTGAAGAGCTTCAGGTCGAAGTCCTCGCCGAGCCTTGGGTTCAGCTCAATTCCCATGTAAAAATCATAGGCAGTAGAGTCTTTCATCATTTAGCATTGCATCTCTCAAAAGGGTCACCGAGGCCACTGGTAGTGAGGAATGCGTTACCTGTAAACTTGCGATCACCGGAATGAGTCGGCGCAACATGTGCTTTGACAAAAGCCATCGCTGATGCAAGGAGCCCAAACAGATTCATTGCGACGAACCACCCAGACCAGTCTTCCGCCACAACCGCCACATCAATTACTCCTGCCACCCATAGTACAGAAAGCAACGAGTAGGTGAGAATCCAAGCACGAAGCCCGTTTACTCGGTAGGTGAGAAGGTGTCCTGCAGGAGTTTGTTGTCCTTGATGATTCGGCCCCGGCAGGCCAACATACAGGATTGCTTGGAGCACAATCCAGCAGGTGTAAGCCATCAGAGTTTTCAAGCTCCATCGCGGTCCGTATGTATACAAGACAGGCAGAATCCCTTGCTCTCGGTACGCTGTAAGGACCATCGCCAGCGAACCATTGAAGTGGCGAAGAGAAATCTCAAACGACACTGCTACCAATGGACCGAGCCAGAGTGGTGTTGCTGACAGGAAAGATCGCAGCCATGATCGATTGCTGCCGGATCGCCCCCAGGTCGTACCTTTGCTCGGTTGCAAGGCGTCAGAAGGCAGACCGGAGAAGGAAGCTTTCTCGTGCCGTTTCTGAGCTGCTGTATTCCGAAGCGACGTCTGTATGACTTTCGGGCCTTCTTCGATCCTCATCTTTGCGTAGTATTTGGTCGTTGAAGAGAACGCGATATGGTGTGTACGGTGGTTAGTAGAGCTTGATCTTGAGGTCATGTATACTGGTTATACTCGATACTCTATCTTTCTGTTTGAACGATTAGAGTTTATTGAATTCTACTAAAACCTAAGGAATCAAATCATGTATCGTTTAGAGTTCATCCTACAGGGAAGCATCAAGTAAGCTTTGACAAATTAAATTACGAGTGTGCCAGGGTTCGCTGTAGAGCGGGATGACTAGGGTGAACTTAGCCCTGTTCTGTAATCTACTGTACTCTGTACATACTACGGATACGTAGTTCGTATTAAGAAATCCTAATTTATGCAATCAGTCGCCATTTAACATTTTCCCAGTCATTTCTCTGTCGAAATGTCACGTTGGCAGGTTGCTTCGGTTTCGGCACGCTCTGCCCGGCCAGGTTAGCATAACCGCATTGGGGTATCGTGTCGACATCAAGACCCTTCACTTCAAACCCGACAGCTAATGCCGCAAGGAATATGATGTTCTCGGCGAAGGCAAAGTTCCGACCAGGACAGAGATGTTTGCCGCCACCAAACGGCCAGAACGCCTTTCTCTGCGCTAAGGGTTCCGAAACTATGAGTTCTCTCGGATTACGATTTTCGGATACACGGCGGAGCGACCGTTCCGGGTTGAAGTCTTCGGGATCATGCGATCCCCAAGTCTCCTCCATTCGATGCGCAACCGCCGAGGGCATATCGACTAACGCTCCAGATTTCAGGAGCGTACCGTCGGGCAGGGTGATGTCCTCATCTACGAAACGCGTTCCGGTCGCAGAGTCGCAGAGCCGCATGACCTCGTAGTTCACGGCCGCCACGTAAGGGCAGAGGTTGCGATCCGTCAGCTGGGAGGCGCACAGGGTGGCCGTCCAATCGGTGACCTCGACCAGCTTTTCGACCTCCGCACGCGGATTAGCAAGAACTTTGGGCCTGGAAAAGATACTGACGACCATCCAAAAGAGAATTGGCGCGGTATTTGCGACGGCGGCGTTGAACATGCCGATTTCCATATTACCAACGTCAACGTCAGTCACTCCGTACATCCTCAGAAGACGTGCGCGCATGCGCGTGAGTTCTGCAGCGTCGTCTGGGAAGCTCGAATCATCCGGATATTTTTGGAAGGATTCGATGAGAACTTCTTGCAAACGACCGCGGGCTTTGTGGCCTGCTGGTGCAGTGAATGTGGGGGCGATGTTGAACAAGAGGATGAACATAGCCTCGTCGAAAGTCCTTGCATGGTGTTCAGTCAATTTCCCAATATCGTTACGACGAAAAAAATGAAGACTTCACATAGCAAACGTCCTGTACAAGTTCAGTTTTAATGCGTACCGGATTCGTTTTGGTGCCCTAGAGCCCGTCAGTGGTAGCCAGGACGAGCCTGTCACGTAGGAAACGGTAGAGGTCTATCGGCCCCTTTCCAGCCTTACAGCTAGAAGCAGCAAGCTCGTTGAGATCTGCTGATAAAGTCCTAAGTGCCGTTGACGTCATGTTGCGCAACGGTTCCGGTCCTACCGCCAGTGGCCTGAAGCAGATTGCTATGCTCGAGTAGATGCTTGCCCCGGGCACTGAGACCAACTACACCGGTGGCGGCCTGGACATTGAACCGTTCTGATGTGAGGTATCTGTTTCGAAAAGCTGCCTGGACAATGGAAGGTGACAAAAGAAAGTAGAACTTCTGGCCCAAGATACTCAGCGTCACAGGGTGGGTTTTGGTGCCCAAACGACGATAGATATCCACGTAGTAGCCGCCTCCATCGCGCCACATTCGCACTATATGGCCGATGATTGGAATCCTTGATTTGAAGAGTGGTGGCTCGCGAGGATCCAACACCAAGTTTGATTTCTGTTGTATCCAGAAAGAAAATAGCGAGTAGGAGGGCGACACCTGAGCCGGACGGCATATATTATTAGAGACAATCCAAGGAAGTCTGGGAAGCTGGGTGCCGTGGTGCCGAAACGAGGCATTGGTGATGCGTTCGCACAATACCCTTGAAATGTTGACCCGAGAGGAACGACTCGTCCGATGGACATACAACACTGTTGATTTTTAGCGCCAAGCTCGTAATAGGTACAGCCACGTGGGGAACTACATACGTGTTGTCATAAGCGATATAAGGTATTAATTAATGGCTGTAATCTATGGTGTCGATTTTGCACCAGATATAAGCCTGGTTATTTACATCTGTTATTGAGTTACATTTAGTGAGGCAGCGAATCACTGAGTACTTTACACCCTATACCCGGGGGCAACTTAGTCAGCGCTGTGAGCTAAATACCCCCTCCTCACGGAGGGGGCGAAAAAATGGGGTTGCTACTCTAAAAAAGGGGTTACTAACCCCTATCACAAATACCCTCACTTTTGTGTACATTATATAGTATAGTTAACTTTTTATTTCTTAAAGCAATAATGCCTATAACGTTATATAATAATAAGAGTAGTATTAATTAATAGCCTTAATTAAGGGCTTTATAATAGTACTTTTTTTTCTTTTTTTATATAATAACTATAAATTTATATTACTACTATAATATAGGTATTACTTTTATTATTATTTACTATATATTACTAGTCCTTTTTTATTTATATTAATAAAGGTATAAATAAGTAATTTTATAGTATAACCTTTATAGCCCTTTAGCTATTTATTTTATCTTTTATAGTATAATATTATAACTTATATTATAAAGGACCTTATAATATTAAAAGGCTAGCTACTAGTATTATTAGTAATAATAGTAATAATATATAACTATTATTATTATTATTACTCTTAGGTATACTAACTAATTTTTTACTTAATATAACTAAATTAATGTCCTTGTTAATAAGGTTATTAATATCTATAAAGATCTTAGGGTTAAATTTTAGCCTTACTACCTCTATAGCTATATTAACTAATGCTTAATTAATATTACCTTAACTAAGAGGTCTTATTATATACTTAAATTAGTTAAGTATATACTATAGTAAAAGAGCTAAGTTAAAGTTAATAGTAAATTTCTTTTTACTTTTAGTATTATTATTATATTATTATAGATCTAAAGGGTTAAATAAAATATATAATTAATCTTTTCTAGTATAGACTAGCTACTATTTAAAGGTTAATTACTTTATTTATCTATTTACCTCTTAATACTTAGTAGTACTATATTACTACTAGACTTCTTTTTTTTACTTATAGGGTATTCTTTTTACTACTACTTATTAGTACTATATTTCTACTTATATTACCTTTATAACTTACTTATTATATATTTTCTTTATATTTATAATAATAATACTAGTTATAAAGGAGTATTATAGTTTAATAGCTTACTAGTACTAGCTTTTTTATTACTATATTTCTAGTCTAGTATTTTAGTCCTTAAGGTGTTACTACTAGTACTTATAAGTAAAAGATCTTTTATAAATTACTTACTTTACTACTTTAAATCCCCTCTTTAAAGGACTACTTTATATACTACTATATTTCTCTTTTATATAGTTAATAGTAAGAATTACCTTATTAAAGTAGTTATTATATAGTAAATAATAAATAAAATATAATAGTATATCCTTATTACTTTATTATATTTTCTTAACTAGTTAACTAAGTATAATATTATTATATATAGGCTATATATTTACCTTCTTAAAACCTTTTATAATATAGGTAGTAGTAAAAGCCTCTTTAACTATAGTATTAAGGGTAGTAATAAAGTTACTGTTGCAATGTTAACTATTATAGATAAATATTAGAGTTATTAGGTTAACCCTAATAACTTATTGCTAGCAAATCCTTAGATATTCAGCTATAGATTCTCTAAGGATTTATAAGCAATAAGTTAGTTATTTAACTAACTAACCTATAATAATTATTCTTCTTTTCTTTATGTATAATAAAGAACTACAGTTACCTCTATTATTTATTAATTACTACTAATATATATAGTTAACTATATTAACCTATCCTTTAGTATTACTAACACTAATTAGTAGTTAACTTTACTATTAACTATATAGGTTAACTTTATTATCTAAACTATAGATTAGTAAGGACTATAAGAAGAGGTAATTATTACTAGTTAATTATTTATATGCCTAGAGTAGGCAAAGACTAAAAAATGCCTCTATAAATACCCTTACTATAATATTATACTAATTACCTATTATAATAGGTTAATTAATAGATCTATAACTAGTCCCTTTAACTAGTAGAAACCTTATTAATTTATATCTATTATATAAGCTTTATTACCTTTAGAGAAGTACTCTTAACTATAAAAAACCTCTTACTTTATATACCTATAGCTAACTAGTAATTATTTACTATATCCTATTTATTATAAGCTCTTTAGCTTACTAACTTCTTTTTCCTATATATATACTCCTTTTACTAACTAACAGCGTTAATAAGTTACTAATATAATAGCCTATTATTTCCCCTTCTTTTACTAACTAACAGTGTTAATAAGTAGCTAATATAATAGCCTATTATTTTTCTCTAAGTTATTTACCTACAAGAGTATATTTTTCCTTAGTTGTTTATACTACTAGTAGTAATCTCTCTAATAAACGTATACGCCTTTTAGTCTATTAAAAGAAACGCCTATATTTAAGAGGTTATTAGGCTAATAGAGAATAATAATAAATAATACTACACCTATAAGTAAAAAACCTAAGCTAAAATAAATAAATAAAATAAGCTTATAAGTAAGTAAGGCTCTTAGGTTACTACACCTTTACCTATAAGGTAACAAGAAAAGAAGATTTATAGTAAATATAATATACTACTTAACGTAGTAAAGAAGATAGTAGTAATAAATAATATTATTACTATACCTTTTGCCTTTATATAGTATATTCTTTTATACTAATAAGGGAAGGATTATATTATAAGGTTACTAACTAACCTTATAAAGAAGTAATAGTCCCTTATACTTAACACTATTATTATATTTTACCTTAGTAAATCTAAGTATAATAACTACCTTAGTAGTAAATTACTTTACTATATATAAGAAGACCTTATTAACTAGCTTATTAATAACTTTAAGGCTATTAACCTAAAGGTCTTAATAAGTCTATATAACTTCCTTGTTAACTATAAAGTATAGGTTAACTATAGTAAATACCTATTAATTACTTAATATATATTTAATACTCTTTAACAAGAGAAAGGTACCTACTAGACTAATAAAATAATTACTATTATTAAGAGGTTATTATATAACTTTAGAGAACGCCTTAAAGACCTTAACTTTATTAAAAATATTAAAGGCTATAAAATAATTATATATAGAGTAAAAATAGTTAAAGTATACCTATTACTAATAACTAGCTACTAAACCTTCTATAATAACCTAACTTTTACCTTACTACTGCCTACGTTAACACTAAAACCCTATATAATAGCTAAAATTAATAGCCTATATATAATAACTACTATATAACTATAGGAGCTCTTATTAACTATAGTAACGTTAATAGTAATATTAAGACTAATACTAAAGTAAATAAATAACCTTAGAAAGATATACTCTAATAACTAGGCTATAAAGTACACTAGTAGCTAATATAAGACTATTAACTTAAAATTACTACTATTCTATAACCTTTATGTCTAGGTAGATATAATATAAGACTACTATAGAGTAGTAATTTAAGTAATACTTTAAGGTAAACTACAAGAGTATTATACTTTTACCTTTTACTAATAAGTAGGTAATTTTAACGCTCTAATAGTAAAGCTTAAAGAATAATTTAAAGGTAATAAAGTACACTTAGCCTATATTACTAAGCTTTACTATATATTATTTAACTTAATTACTTATAAAAACTATAGTAAGAATAAGCTTAAGATCCTTAAGTTACTTATTAAAAAGGTTACTAAACTAGTTAAAATAACTACTTATAATAGCTTACCTAAGGATAAGGATTATTATAAGTGCTTTATTACCTATTACTATAGTATACCTAAGTGTACTATAGCTCTTCTTAACCTACTAGCTATATTCTATAGCCTTTATATATAACTATATAATAAAGTAGTAAATACTTTACTTTACTATAAGCTACCTATATAATACCTTATAGATAAATCTACTATAAAAGATAAGTAATTTTAGGTTAACTATAAGTATAATAGTAGCTATAATAATTACACTAATCTATAGTAAACATAAGGTTCTTTATAAAGTAACTACTATAATAAAAACTAGTATAGTAATAAATTAACTAAGAAGTACTTTATCTATAGTAAGCCTAGTTATTAATTAACTAAGTACACTAAAGAAGAGTAGTAATCCTTATTTAACTAGTATAAAAGCACTTACTTTATATAAGCTTTACTAGCTACCTTTAACTACTTTCTTCTTAACTATAAAGGTTATAATATAAGTTATCTTTAAGAAGTAAGTAATAGTAAAGAATAACCTTTTAGTAATAATAATAACTATATAGATATAGTATTCTTTATATTTACTACTTTCTTTATATAACTATTAATTAATAGCCTAACTATATTCTCTAAGTTATATAACTAGGTAACTACCTATATACTTACTTATAAGAACCTACTAGAGAAGCTATTACCTAGTAAGACTATAAAAACTAATAAAATATTTATACTTAATAAGCGCTATTTAGTAGTAACTTTTTATAGTATTATACCTAATACTAGTATAGCTAAGAAATTAACTACTAGCTATAAGTAATACTTTACCCTTTAGTACTACTTAGGTAAAAAGATACTTATAAATACTACCTAAGTAAGTAAAGTAAGTATTTACTTTAGTAGTAGTAATTACTTTAAATCCCTAGGGGTAATTAATATACTTATACTACTTAGTAACCTTGTTTTTTATATAATAACTACTAATACCTTATTTCTCTTTTACTTAAGGGATATAGACTATTATAGTATAAAATTTAATAACTTTACTAACTAGCTAATCTAGGGTAATAATATTATACCTATTGTCTA